TCATCATGGCTTCCATCACCATCTTCATGTTGTCACCACCACAACCACCCCGTCATCTTCAGCGTGATCACCACGAGCACCACCCTCATCATCATCATCATGGTCATCATTGTTGTTGTCATCACAATTGCAAAAGTGCAGGTGGTCACTCCCCACGCAAGTCACTCCGTCTTCGGCACCGAGTACAAACTCTCGTCCCACACCCGCGACACAACCACAAAAACACGCGAGCACGCCAGTTGCAATCATCACACCGTCTTTCTCGATCAGGAGCGCAGCTGGGCTGATGAAGGCGGAAGCGGAAACGAGCCCACTCCTCGACGCGGCCATGTCGACAGTCCGCCCCCGCCTCCATCAGCCCCCTTGCAATATTGTCGACGTCGGCCCCGGGACTCCCTTCAACAGCGGCGACAGCGACGGCCCGACGAAGATATAGGTGCTCGTTCCAGTCGGGGCAGTCACATGTTTTCCAGGGGGCGTTGCATTCGTAGCAGAATTCGGTTTTGCAGAGGCATCTATATAGTGGATAGAGCATTAGTGACGGTTCGGTCCGAGTAGTGATAGTGACAAAGTGACAAACAGCAAGGGAAAAGGAAAAGGAAAAGTGAGGCTCAAGTGAGGCTCAAGTGACTTACTCGATATTGTTGCAACCTTGAGAAAGGAGGATGACGCGGTGACAGGTGGGACAAGTTGCTGCTGCGTTTTCTTTTTTCCATTGCTCGAATGCTAGTGCCTCTTCACTTTCAGGAGCAGGGGCGCAGTTTGAGTGTGAATAGTATTGTAGCTTGCAGGCTGCGCAAGTTGTTTCCTGGCAAACTGGACAGATGGCTTTGTTGTCTGTGGTGATAGTGTTTGGATTGATGAAAGTCGAGCATGTGGGCACGTGGCAGTATGTTCTGTCTTTGGTGGCATATTCGATGGTTTTTGCTTTGACTTTTTGCGTCAATTCGGTGCCGAGCGCAGCTGCGACTTGTGGGTTGGTGACTGAGATAATAACGCGTGGTTCACAACATCGCACTTGGTGGTCATATTCGCTTTTCACGGCGAGCTGGAATCGTCGTGAGAGACATTGGCGACACCAGATGTGAGGGCAACTGTTGCTGACCTTGACAGTTTCTAAGGGGTGGACTGATTTGCGGCAGATGTGGCATTCTTTTGAAGCCTTAGACCAAGCTTGAGCTGCGGATGCTGAGGCCATAGTGTAGGTTTATTCTATTTATCAATAGAGTAGGGAGCCTTTTCAGATCGGTTAGTATCCGCGCTTTTATATCGATGGATTGAAGGTGACTTACTGATAGAGCGCGGCTGGAGAAGACCTTGATGAACAAGAGTTTTGGTATTGTGCGACCTTGTGAAGCAGAAGAGTGTGGATGTGAAAGGACAAAGGAGAGAAGAGAAGAGAAGAACAGAGGAGAAGAGTTTGCTATAAGTAGGAAATGAAAACAATTCAACGCGCCAAGGGTAAATGTCCGGATTAGTATTTATGGTCTTCACGTGAAGGCACTTACATTCACCGCAGGCAGTGCTAAAAGACATTGCGGTGCTGTTGGGCATGGGGAGGACGCCAGATCAGAGACAGAGCTGAAGTTGTTGAAGGCGGCTTCCAACCAGCCAGCGATCTACGGGCTGGACCCCATCTGCTACTTACATGAGGACAAATGCCCTGGAAATTGGGATTGAGTTTCATCAATGGCCTGGCGGCTGGTTCAGAGCCTTTTCCCAAGTGATTAGGGATTGGCAGCATTGTCAAGGTTCTGGAGGAGGTTTCTTCGGTGTGATATCAAAGTTGATATTGACACTGCAAAGCCAATTCGGCCAGGGGCAAGGCTGGGCAAGGCTGAGGAGGCTTATGTCATCCCTGTGTCACGTGCAAGCCCCTCCACCCGGGCATCCAACTGCCAATCATGTGTCAGTACCGCCCGTGCAGACATGTTCCGGAGTGGCGCGATGCAGATGCGGCGCCGTTTTGCTGATCGACTGATGAACCGCCGCAATTGCGCTGACCGACTCTCCGCACCCGACACCGGCCAAAATTTTGAGGGACTCGGACTTGGATCAATCCCAGCAGACCATACTATACTGTTTACTCGACCGCCTCGCTCGATTGCAACGTATATATTTTCTGCTGGACCTGGAGCAGCGGTGACCGAACCAAGCATTGTCCTACCCCGAGCGCATTGACTTAGTCTCACTTCGTTCCCAACACCAACTACATCATGGCTTCCAACGGTGCCAATGGAATCCCCCACCAGAAACCGGCATTGCCTTCTGTGTACATTGTTGCGGCGGCGCGGACTCCTGTCGGCTCGTTCCTAGGGTCAGTTTGACAACGACAACGGACTATAATGTTGTTTCCGAACTGACTGTCTGTCTATAGATCGCTGTCCTCGCTGACTGCCCCTCAATTGGGATCCCACGCCATCAAGTGTACGAGTCCTCCTTGAGGTAGTCTATTCCACAACCCAATGCTGACCCGCATTGCTAGCTGCCCTTGAAAGAGTGCCGGAGATCAAGCCTCAAGATGTGCAGGAAGTCTTCTTTGGCAACGTCCTGTCCGCCAAGTAAGCATCACTCCAACAACCACCTATGGTTCTTGCTGACTTGCCCACCACAGTCTCGGTCAAAACCCTGCACGTCAATGCGCACTCGGCGCCGGCCTCGAAGCCTCGACGGTGTGCACGACGGTCAACAAAGTCTGTGCATCCGGAGTCAAGGCGATTGTGCTCGGCGCGCAAACCATCATGACGGGCAACGCCGACATCGTTGTTGCCGGTGGTGCAGAATCCATGTCCAACTGTCCTCACTACGTCCCTAACATGCGAACCGGAGTGAAATTCGGGAACCAGACGCTGGTGGATGGCGTGTTAAGAGATGGTCTGACAGACGCGTACGGAAAACAAGAACACATGGGGCTGCAGGGAGAAGAATGCGCCCGGGACCATGACTTCAACCGCGAACAGCAGGATGACTACGCAATCCAATCCTACCAAAAAGCACAGGCTGCTCAAAAGGAAGGTCTATTCGATTTCGAGGTTGCCCCCATCCAATTGCCAGGCGCTCGGGGTAAGCCTGGTGTCACGGTCGACAAGGACGACGAACCGAAGAATCTCAACGTTGACAAGCTACGGTCCATCAAGCCAGCATTTATTCCCGACAAGGGGACGGTGACTGCACCGAATGCCTCTCCTCTGAGCGATGGCGGCGCGGCTGTTGTGCTTGTTTCCGAGGCCAAACTGAAAGAGCTCAACATCAAGCCGCTGGCTAAGATTCTCGGCTGGGGAGACGCCGCCCAGCAGCCCAACAAGTTCACCACTGCGCCCGCACTGGCCATTCCCAAGGCCCTGAAACACGCTGGTGTCAGCCCGGACGACGTGGACGCCTACGAGATCAACGAGGCCTTTAGCGTCGTGGCCCTCGCCAATATGAAGATTCTCGGCTTGTCTGCTGATAAAGTCAACCTCCACGGCGGTGCGGTTGCTCTCGGACACCCACTGGGCGCCTCGGGTGCGCGCATCGTCACGACTTTGCTGGGGGTTTTGAAAGCTAAGAAGGGCAAGATTGGCTGCGTTGGCATTTGCAATGGCGGCGGTGGAGCCAGTGCTTTGGTCATCGAGTCCTTGATGTGAATTTTTGGGGCTGTCTCGCCCGTCTGTCCTTACAGCGGAATGCATGGCCTCATGGGTTGCACGTGCGTACGAATGGATAGCAAAAAGAACAAAAGCATGAGGATTGGCGCCGGTGCTTTCGTTTGATCTCAGCACATGAGACATGAGATAGAGTATCTCTCTGCTTGTGTAGCAAATTTGGGCAAGTTTCAGGTCATGACTAATAAGCACGTCCAACAATATATCCACAGAGTGGCAGATGACCCTCGTATACTCCAGTCGCAACTCTAGCTCTGAAAGGCTATTGCTTAGGAAGTGGTGGTCATCTCCCAACTTGAACTCGTACCAATTCAACTCGCATTCATTGCTACTACAGTACCTAGGTAGTCCTGAAAGCTGCAGTGGTAGCTGCACACTTCGGGCAAATGTCGACCGAGACCTGGATATTAGGGGGGGGAAGTTATATCGGCACCACACTTCGATCCAACTGCCTTTGCTGCAGTGAAAGCTTTGTTGAAGGTGGAGGTGGAGATATTCCATACCTACCCAGATACTAAGGTACACTGCCGATGGTGTGTAACAGGCATTTCGAACGTAACCCTTCGAAACCACTCTAACCGACCGGACTGACCATTAGCAACAATGGAAGGAAACGTTCAGAAACCTTCATGGAAGTCCTACTAGTACAACAGCAAGCATCTGAACAATCAGGTAACCCACTGGTGACCACCGGTGAGTTTCTGCCTTTGATGTACATCATGTACCACTGTGGAACCTGGTTACACTCTGTGGACTTCAAGTTCCTCAAACGGCACGGCACCCCTGTCAAAATGTAGATCTGGGGATGCGGAGGATCAGCGACCCTTGCTATACTACGACCTTACATGGAAGGTCGATATGCACAATGACCCAGTGCCTGTGGAAACCTTCACCCCGCCACCGGAGCATCTGTATGAACATGGCAGCCATACGGATGGATACGGTGACCACGGTCGAGGCACCGGATGTTCAAAAGGCAAAGCATTGAACCTGCACTGGGCTGGAAAATTGCAAGTATCCTTCAGCAAGGACGATTGCACGATTCCGCGAGCAGCCGATGACAATGAGACTGACGCTTCTTTCCGCGGTGCTCGCCATATTGGCCGTCCAAGTTACTGGACTTGTTGCCCGTCCTCGGACCCTCGGTGGCTTCAGCATTGTCGAACATCCGGATCCAGAAAAACGGGCTCTCTTGCAAAACATCGTGGGTGCAAAACCAAAACCGCCATACTGTGGCTGTGGCTTCAGATGAAAGTGTCCCAGGCTGAGATTTGATGGCAGGTGACTTGGGATGAGCGGTCGCTGTTCATCCATGGCGAGCGGATCATGATCTTCAGTGGTGAAGTGCATCCATTTAGGTAAGCTGGTAGCGAGAGAACTGAAATCTGGTCCCAGGGACTCCTGGCTGTTCTGTTTGCGTTGAGAAAAAGACAACAGTTGACCAAGCAAACGAACAGATTGCCTGTGCCCTCACTATGGCTTGATGTCTTCCAGAAAATCAAAGCACTCGGCTTTAACTGTGTGTCATTCTATGTCGATTGGGCTCTGCTGGAAGGGACTCCTGGAAACTACAGTGCCGAGGGGGTGTTTGCGCTCGAACCTTTCTTTGAAGCCGCTAGCTCGGCGGGCATATATCTCCTTGCCCGACCGGGACCTTACATCAATGCCGAAGTCTCAGGAGGAGGCTTTCCAGGCTGGCTTCAAAGACTGCGAGGGACTCTAAGGACAACAGATGCCGATTTTTTGGCGGCTACCGAGAAGTAATAAGAAGAAAAGGAAAATGCCTCTCGTTGTTTCTGACTTTTGATACAGCTATGTCCGCCACGTCGCATCAACAATCGCCAAAGCACAGATCACCAATGGCGGGCCCGTCATACTGTATCAGCCGGAGAACGAGTACTCGGGATTCTGCTGTGGTTACACCAAGCCGGACGGCCAGTACATGCAGGATGTCATGGACCAGGCTAGACAGGCTGGGATTGTTGTTCCCATGCTGAGCAATGATGCTGGCGTCAATGGTTACAATGCTCCTGGCACGGGTGTTGGAGCGGTAGACATCTATGGCCATGATGGTTACCCGTGAGTGTGTCCTTAGTATCTATGATACCATGCCCTGCTGACGGCTCCCTAGACTGGGCTTCGACTGTGTAAGTATCCAGAAACAAGTGGGACTAACGACGTTGACGGTTCAAAGGCGAATCCGACTGTTTGGCCCCGAGGAAAATTGCCCACCGACTGGTGGCAGAAGCACCTCAACCAGAGTCCTACGACGCCTTATAGCGTCACGGAGGTAAGTACATACACTAACACCAACCATAAGGCCGTGCTGACCTCCGTCAGTTCCAAGCTGGCTCTTTTGATCCCTGGGGAGGGCCAGGCTTCGAGAAATGCGGCGTCCTGGTCAACAGCGAGTTCGAGAGGGTCTTTTACAAGAATGATTTGAGCTTTGGGGTGAAAATATTGAATCTATACATGGTCAGAATCCCCTCCCGAGATATCATTGCCTCTCTCGAAGTGCTGTTGTGTTGACGCTCTACTTAGACTTTCGGAGGCACTAACTGGGGAAATCTGGGACATCCCGGGGGATACACTTCATATGACTATGCTGCTCCGATTGACGAAAATCGTCAAGTCGAACGTGAGAAGTACAGTCAGCTGAAGTTGATTGCAAATTTTGTCAAGACATCGCCCTCCTACTTCGATGCGGAGCAGTTGCCCAACTCCACCACAATGTATACGACCACTGCGGATTTGACAGTGACGCCTGTGAAAAGCAACAGCAGTCTTTCGACCTTCTGGGCGGTCAGGCACACTGACTATGCAAGTCAAGAGTCGACGTCTTACAAGCTGACCATACCAACCAGTGCTGGAAATCTGACCATTCCCCAGCTCGGGGGCGGCGTACTGACTCTCAACGGCCGTGACTCGAAAATCCACGTTTCAGACTACGACATCCGCGGCACGACGCTCTTGTACAGTACTGCAGAGATACTGACGTGGAAGGTCTTTGGGTCAAGGAAAGTCGTGATTCTGTACGGTGCGGAAGGAGAGCATCATGAGGTTTCGGTCTTGTCCACGGCGGCGGCGTCCCTCGTAGAGGGTTCAGATGCCGGTGTAACCTTCGGCACAGGCACAGGCACAGGCTCGTCAGCTACGATTGCATGGCATACTTCTCCTTCACGGCGCGTCGTCAAAGTGGGAGACTTGGAAATCTATATCCTTGGTAAGCATTAAAGCTTCAACGGACCGTCTACCGGGGAAAATATCTCAAGCTGACTCTAAGCAGATAGAAACTCGGCTTACAACTACTGGATCCCCGAATTGTCAACAAACGGCACCTCCGCATCGTTTGGCTCACAGGAAGCCACTGCATCGTCAATCATCGTGAAGGCGGGCTACCTTGTCAGATCAGCTTCCCTGGTAGACGACCAGCTTCAGATCACAGCCGATTTCAATGCAACGACCGCAATTGAGATCATTGGCGTCCCTTCCGCGGCAAAGACACTCTGCGTGAATGGACAGAGTGTGCAGTATAGCGCAGACGCTCGCTCCGGCGACTGGTCAAACATTACAGTTTCGTGGACAGATCCTGGCATAACATTACCCGCATTAAACAGCCTCGACTGGAAGTACATCGACAGTCTCCCAGAAGTCAACGACCCGGATTATGATGATTCAAAATGGGTTGTTGCCGACCATGCCACGACGAACAACACCGTGCGGAACTTGACGACTCCCACATCGCTATATGCTTCCGACTACGGGTTCCACACCGGCTCACTCATATATCGCGGGCACTTCAGGGCTGCTGACACCAACAACGAATCGAATGTGAGCCTGTATCTGAACACTCAAGGTGGCTCTGCCTTTGGCCACTCTGTCTGGCTGAACCAGACATATCTCGGGTCGTGGGCCGGAGTCAGCACCGAAAACAACACGAATGCCACATATAATCTACCTCAACTCGATGCTGGCAAGGACTATGTCGTGACGGTGCTCATTGACCATATGGGCTTGGAAGAGAGCGGTACAGTGGGCGCCGACAAGATGAAGACACCGCGTGGAATCCTGAACTATGCTTTGCTGTCTGGAAGCGATACTTTGGCTTCGTCAGACATCACCTGGAAACTCACCGGCAATCTAGGCGGCGAACACTATCAAGACCGTGTCCGAGGCCCGCTCAACGAAGGTGGTCTGTACGCCGAACGCCAGGGTTTCCACCTCCCTTATCCGCCGAGCACGACTTGGGAATCCGCCAGTCCCTTTCAGGGGCTTTCTGGACCTGGTGTCGCCTTCTACACGGCCCAGTTCGACTTGGACATACCTCAAGGTTGGGATGTTCCCATGTCGTTCAATTTTGGCAATACTACTAGTAGCACCACTGGCGGTTCGCCGGCAAAGTTCCGCGTGCAGCTGTTTGTTAATGGCTTTCAGTATGGCAAGTATATCAACCACATTGGCCCGCAGACGAGCTTTCCTGTCCCAGAAGGGATTCTGAACTATCATGGGACAAATTGGTTGGCTTTGACACTGTGGGCTCATGAGCCTAGTGGAGCTAAGCTCGACAGCTTTGAGCTTGTGCATGGGACTCCTGTCTTGACTGCTTTGAGGGATATTGCTTTTGTTGGACAGGAGGGATGGACACAACGGCAGGACGCGTACTAAGTAGGGTGGTAGTGTCTTGAAGATGTTGCTGTCGAGTCTGGCAGATATCGTGGCTAGCTTACCGTATAGTTTGCCTGGGTGTCGTCCATAATATTTCATCCATAGTAGAGGCACTTCTTGGAATGAACTAATCGACACAAGATTGTTTTGTGCGCCAGATAACTGAGCATACACATGTTGGAAGAGTGCCCTTCCATCGCAGTCTGGAATGAATCAGGGGCAAGGCTGAAGTATCTTATCTTATCAACCATGTACGGGCGAGCACAAATGCCATAACGCAGCGAACCGCAATAATGCTCATGCTCAGGCTGGGCGGCGGATTTTCTATGCTTGAACTCGCAGGTTGAAACTTTTGCGCCGCGCCGTGCTGTAACCGACAAACAAGCCCAAGCCGCCAGCATGGACGATCTTTATGACGAGTGAGTTTGCATGACCGTATCCATACTGATTCTCTCTAACGGCATGACACAGGTTCGGCAACTTCATCGGCGAAGCAGTCTCCGAAGATGAAGGGACGCAAGATGGCGGCGACGCGGGCCAGAACTACGTCTACGACGAGGACTCGGACACGGAGCAGCAGCAGCAGCAACAGCACGATCAGTTGATGGAAGTGGACGATGAGGGACCTTCGAACGCCGTGATCCTACACGAAGACAAGCAATACTATCCCACAGCGCAGCAGGTATATGGCGAGGATGTGGAAACACTGGTTCAAGAGGAAGATGCGCAACCGCTCTCGCAGCCGATTGTGGCGCCTGTGACGCAGAAGAAATTCCAGGTTCAAGAGGCCGACCTGCCGCCTGTGTTTTACTCGCGAGATTTCATGACCGACCTGCTCAGTTTCCCTGAAGGAATCCGAAACATTGCCGTGGCGGGACATCTACACCATGGAAAAACGGCGTTTGTGGACATGTTGGTGATGCAAACACATGATTTGCAGGAGAGGCTGGATCGACGCGTCGGCAAGAGAAGGGATGAACAGCTGAGGTACACGGATACACATTTCCTGGAGCGGGAGAGAGGTGTCTCGATCAAGGCTGCGCCCATCAGTCTTGTCATGCAGGGCACGCGGGGGAAATCGCACATTCTCAACATCATCGATACGCCTGGTCATGTCAACTTTGTGGACGAGGTCGCTTCCAGTCTCCGACTTGTTGATGGAGTTGTTCTGGTGGTGGATGTGGTTGAAGGCGTCCAGATCAACACGGAGCAAGTTATCAAACATGCCGTGCTGGAAGATTTGCCCATGGTGTTGGTCATCAACAAGATGGACCGCTTGATTTTGGAACTGAAGATCCCGCCGACGGACGCGTATTTCAAACTCAAGCACGTGGTTGAAGAAGTCAATACCATTATTGAGAATACCATTCCCGGCCAAGGAGAGAAGAGGCGGCTGTCGCCTGAAAAGGGTAATGTCGCCTTTGCCTGCACGTCCATGGAATGGATCTTTACGCTACCGTCGTTTGCCAAAATGTACGCCGAAACCTATCCCAAAGTCGACGCGACCGAATTCTCCCGCAGATTGTGGGGTGATATCTTCTTTAACCCTCGGAGTCGGAAATTTACGAGAAAGGGAATGGAGGAGGGGTCGAAACGAGCCTTTGTCAATTTTGTCCTCGAACCCATCTACAAATTGTACTCTCTTACTATTAGCGAGAGTCCTGAGGATCTGGAAGCGACACTCAAGACCCTGGGAATCTCGTTGAAGCCATCCGAGCTTAAGTCCGATGCAAAGGTGCTACTGAAGTTGGTGTGCGCTCAGTTTTTCGGCCCCGCAAGTGGGTTTGTCGACATGATTGTTCAACACCTACCATCTCCTGTGGACGGCGCGAAACGGCTACTGGAACACTATTACACCGGACCTGTGGAGGAGTCGTCTGTCGGAGAGTCGATGATCAAATGCGACTCAGATGGCCCTTTGGTCGTGCACGTCACCAAACTGTTCAACACTTCAGACGCCAAGACATTCAACGCTTTTGGCCGCATTTTGTCCGGCACTGCCTTGCCTGAACAGATCGTTCGAGTCCTTGGTGAATCGTACAGTCTGGAAGACGAGGAAGACTCGACCACCGCCACCATTACATCTACTTTCTTGGACTGTTCGCGCTACAACATCCCTGTTTCGGGGGTTCCGGCAGGAAACCTCGTGCTTCTTGCTGGCATCGACAATTCCATTGTCAAGACGGCAACTGTGGTCGCGGAGGAGTTTCCCAACGGCGAGGGAGCATACATCTTCCGACCGATCCGCCACTTTACGGAATCCGTCTTCAAGGTTGCAGTCGAGCCCATCAACCCGTCGGAATTGCCCAAGATGTTGGAAGGCTTGCGGAAAATCAACAAATCGTACCCGCTGATCACGACCAAAGTGGAAGAATCCGGTGAACATGTCGTCCTGGGCACAGGCGAACTGTACATGGACTGCGTTTTACACGACCTGCGGACACTCTACGCCGAAATGGACATCAAGGTTTCCGATCCGGTCACTCGGTTCTGTGAGACCGTGACCGAAACCAGCGCGATCATGTGCTACGCGTTGACACCGAATAAGAAAAACAAGCTTACCATGATTGCGGAGCCGTTGGATGATGGGATTGCCGAAGATATCGAGGCCGGGGTGGTGAGGATACGAGATCCGATCCGCAAGGTGGCCAAGTTCTTTGAGGAGAAATACGAATGGGACAAATTGGCGGCGCGGTCGATCTGGGCGTTCGGTCCGGACGAGATGGGTCCCAATATTCTTTGCGACGACACCTTGCCCTCGACCACGGACAAGAAGTTACTGCGGACGGTGCAGGAAAGCATCAAACAAGGTTTCTCATGGGGTACGCGCGAAGGACCACTGTGCGAAGAGCCTATCCGCAACACCAAGTTCAGACTGACGGGTGCTGAGCTGGCGGCCGAGCCGATTTTCCGCGGAGGCGGCCAGATTATTCCAACCGCTCGACGGGCGGTGTATTCGTCGTTTCTGATGGGCGGGCCCAGACTAATGGAGCCCATCTACAGTGTGCATATGACGGGACCGGCAGACTCGATCCAGGGTTTGTATACTGTATTGATGAAGAGGCGGGGACATGTGATTTCGGATGGGCCCGTGGCTGGTACCCCGCTGTATGCGGCCAAGGCTTTGCTGCCGGTCATCGACAGCTTTGGGTTTGAGACCGATCTTCGCATCCACAGCCAGGGAGCTGCCAGTGTGTCGTTGGTGTTTGATCGCTGGGATGTCGTTCCTGGTGATCCGCTCGATAAGAGCATCAAGATCCGCCCTCTAGAGATGGCGGGACCACAGCAGGCTGCAAGGGATTTTGTCCTCAAAACGAGACGGAGGAAGGGTTTGAGCGAGGATGTTGATGTGAAACGATTCTTGGAGCCGGAATTGTTGGCTGGGTTGAGGGAAAGTGGTATTTTGGATTGATGTACAGCGATGATATGAATCAAACACACGTCCAGTTGTCGCAATGAGCATTCTGTAGAACGAGGCTCACCAATGATAGTGCGCAATAATGTTGTAAACCATGGCCCCAGACGTGGCCAAGAGCGATACTCACGATCCAGATCCAGACCCTGAAAGTGCCGCTAGTGTGTAATCCGGTATACGATACTAGTTCCATTCAGGGTCTTCCGCAAACAGACTAGCGCGTTGTCCCGTCGGAGATAGCGGCGGCGGCGAATCTTGGCCAAAATTTTTGGGTCCCTGGCTTGGAAAATTTATGTGGCCCGCTTCGCCCAACTGAATCTTGCAAAAGTTCGAGTTGGCCTGCGCCTTAATAGTCCGCTCGACATCTTTTCCACACCTTCGTCCTCTTGTCTCTTTCTCCCTCCACTGCCTCTGCTCATCCCGATAAACCTTGCAGAGTTCATATCAACAGTCCTCTCCTTCCCGCGACCATGGCTGACGAAGTTTACGATGGTGCCATCGGCATCGATCTGGGTACGATGGCTTTTGCGACCTCTTCACCGTTGTTGTGCAGCATCTAACACGACTCAAACAGGTACCACCTACTCCTGTGTTGCCAACTACGAGGGCAACAATGTCGAAATCAGTATGTATTGGTCCGTCTGGTCTGCTGTGAACTCGACTAATCTGTTTTGCAGTCGCCAACGAGCAGGGTAGCTTCACCACCCCTTCCTTCGTCTCCTTCACCGACGAAGAGCGTCTCATCGGTGAGGCGGCCAAAAACCAGGCTGCCATGAACCCGGAAAACACCGTTTTCGATGTCAAGTTAGTTTTGTCGAGGAAACTGAAAAAGATGCGGGGTTCTAACAAAGTTTCTAGGCGATTGATCGGACGACGGTTCGATGACCCGATTGTCAAGAAGGATGTTGAGTCCTGGCCATTCAAGGTCGTCGACCAAGGTGGCAACCCTATGGTCCAAGTTAGATATCTGGGCGAGACCAAGACTTTCTCTCCTCAGGAAATCTCCGCAATGGTCCTCATGAAGGTACGGATTGGTTGTACGACGAATAAGATGACAGTTCTAACTATGGCCACAGATGAAGGAAGTCGCCGAGACCAAGCTGGGCAAGAAAGTCGAGAAGGCCGTCATCACCGTGCCCGCCTACTTCAACGACAACCAGCGACAAGCCACCAAGGACGCCGGTGCCATTGCTGGCCTGAACGTTCTGCGTATCATTAACGAGCCTACCGCGGCTGCCATTGCTTACGGTTTGGGCTCCGGCAAGTCCGACAAGGAGCGAAACGTTCTCATCTACGATCTCGGTGGTGGTACTTTCGATGTGTCTCTGCTGAACATCCAGGGCGGTGTTTTCACTGTCAAGGCCACCGCCGGTGACACTCACTTGGGTGGTCAAGATTTCGACACCAACCTCCTTGAGCACTTCAAGAAGGAGTTCACGCGGAAGACCAAGAAGGATCTCTCTGGGGATGCCCGTGCTCTCCGAAGACTGCGGACCGCTTGCGAGCGTGCCAAGAGAACCCTGTCCAGCGCCACCCAGACCACTGTCGAGATCGACTCGCTCTTTGACGGTGAAGACTTCAACACTCAAATTACCCGTGCTCGTTTCGAGGATCTCAATGCCAAGGCTTTCAGCGGCACTCTCGAGCCTGTCCAACAGGTGCTCAAGGATGCCAACATTGACAAGTCTGGCGTTGACGTGATTGTCCTTGTTGGTGGTTCCACCCGTATCCCTCGTATTCAGAAACTCCTTAGCGACTTTTTCGATGGCAAGAAGTTGGAGAAGGTGAGCAATCTCCCTTTGCAACATGTCGGGTAAATACTAATTTGTTTTCAGAGCATCAACCCCGATGAGGCCGTCGCCTACGGTGCCGCCGTCCAGGCTGGTATCCTTTCCGGCAAAGCCACTTCCGCCGAGACTGCTGATTTGCTGCTGCTCGATGTCGTCCCGCTTTCCCTGGGTGTTGCTATGGAAGGCAACATTTTTGCTCCTGTCGTTCCTCGTGGACAGACTGTCCCGACCATCAAGAAGAGGTGTGTATTTCTCGCATTTTGCTTGCGATCATATCTAACGTGTTACATAGAACCTTCACTACTGTCCAGGATGGCCAAGCTTCCGTCGTGTTCCCTGTTTACCAGGGTGAACGGACCAACTGCGAAGACAACACCTCCCTGGGTGAATTCACTTTGGCTCCTATCCCTCCCATGAAGGCTGGCGAGGCTCAACTTGAAGTCGTCTTCGAGGTCGACGTCAACGGTATCCTCAAGGTTACTGCTACCGAGAAGTCGTCCGGCCGAAGCGCCAACATCACCATCTCCAACGCTGTCGGCAAGCTGTCCAGCTCGGAGATTGAGAAGATGGTTGAGGATGCCGCCAAGTTCAAGACCACCGATGAGGCTTTCACCAAGAAATTCGAGGCCAAGCAGCAACTCGAGTCGTACATTGGCCGTGTCGAGGAAATGATCTCCGACCCGGGTTTGTCCATGAAGATGAAGCGTGGCAACAAGGCCAAGATCGAGGAGGCCCTCAGCGATGCCATGCAACAGCTTGAGTTGGAGGACTCGACTCCTGATGACCTGAAGAAGAAGGAGTTGGCCCTGAAGAGAGCCATGACCAAGGCCATGGCCACGAGATAATTGTGCTTTGTGCTTTGTACACTAGACAGGCAAGGCATACTGTACCATCGATTTGCGGCTCAAAATCAAGGCGTTTCTCGAACAGTACAGTCACAGTCACAACCGTCATTGTCAATCCGGAGGAACGCGAAAAGAAAAAAACACTGGTTTCTCATGACATTTACGAGTATGCATGCATGCCATTTTCAGGGATTGGCTGGCGTCGTTTCGGATTTTCTTTGCAGGTCCGAACCGTGACTTTGACATCAAAAGGCAAGGCTGGCTGGGCTGGACTGGGCTAGGTCTGGTTCTAGCTAGGTCAGGCCAGGCGAGGAGAAAAGTTGTGGCTTATGATCAATCAGATAGAGCGGCAGTTTTCTTGCCGTTGCAGAATGACATGTTTTTGGTCGATTCAATTCAACGACAATTTGTTTGTATATCTTGACCTGACTGCTCGTAGCCAGTGGTCCTGTAGAAGTGTACACAACAGAAGCTGGAAAGTGTTAGTACTGTTCAGCCGATATCAAGGCCTACGAGACCTACACAGTATTATTACTCCGAGTCTCTCGATGTAATGTTTATGTTGAGCCGAACGTCTTCAATTGCACTACCAGTATGTACAGTACCGTATCGACAGTTGAGGCTCGAACCAAGGGCTCTCTAGACCGTATGGGCTCGCTCAGTTTTTGTTATATGAGGTAACGGGAATGTTCCGAATACACGCCGCTTTTGAACCCGCCCTGCCGTGAGGTGAGGTCGGAGTCACTCCAATAATAAAATCAGAGTGGAACTTATTACATTTGCACGCCAATGCTTCAGCTTTGGCTTCTCCAACTTTCGAAATATCAACATTGCACCCTCAAAGCTTCAAGTTCACTGCAAGGGAGACGAGACACTTTATGTAACTCCTGGGTAGTAACAATCCTGCACTATCTCCCTCTCCGGCGTTCGGAAACTCTGAACTCAATAAACAAGAATGCCTCCTCGTCGAAGCAAAGACGCAGCGCTCCAGCTCGCGCAAGCCCTCGTCCGGCCGCAAGCAGCACAAGTGCCCATTTCACAAAGTTCAAGTTCGATATGTATTCAATGCCGACGGACCATGATGACCCTGCCGAAACGACAACCAGACACGGGGCTACGACCACTATCGCAACCGCGTACACAATTAGCATTGCCATTGCGCAATCCCAATCCATCGGCCTTGAAGTCCTCGGCTTCGCCATTCACCACCTCAAGTCCCCAACTCAAAAAACAATCCTCATGCAAAAAATCCGCCCGAAAATCCCCCTCCGTCCAACCTCCCAATCCCGAGACCGTGATCCCCGACAACGCGGCCGAACGGGAACGCGAGCACGAAATCGACCCGTACGATTTCTCGGATCTGAACAACAAAATCGCCAAGGCTATTCAACGTCTCAAGGACGGCTTACTCAAGACACGGGATGCCGGAAGAGTCACTCCGCAAATGGTCGAGGGATTGCCTGTGGAGATAAATGTCAAGGGTCATGATGCCCATGGGGCGCCGCCGCATAAGGAGAGGATGAAGATTGGGGATTTGGCGAGTGTTACGCCTAGAGGAGGGAGGATGATGCAGGTGTTTTGTGCGGAACAGGCGGTAAGCTAAGCACCTCTCATCTTTTGCAAGGTCCTACGTCTTTGCGGTTGCAGTTGCGGTTGCTGACAATGTTCTCTTGTTGTTCTTTTTAGCACGTCAAACCAATTTGTTCCTCAATCCTCGGAAGTCCATATAGTCTTGTCCCCCAAGTCGACGCCAACAATCCCCTGTTGGTCCTGGTTCCCGTGCCGCCCATGACGGCCGAGACGCGCGCACAGGCCCGCGCCGAAGCCAAAAAGGTCTATGATCGCGCAACTCTCGAGGTGCGTAATGCCAGGGGTGATGCACAGAAACGGTTCCGCAAGATGGAGAATCAGAAATTGGTTATTGTGGATGAGTTGCATAAGGCGCATAAGCAGATGGAGGAGATTGTGAGGAAGGCGGGGGATGAATGTAAGAAACTTTATGAGGGGGCTGTTAAGGCTATGGAGGGTTGAAAAAAAAACATCGTCAGTTCTTCTTGGGTGTAGGGTATTCAGGAGAAGGAAGGGTTGGGTTCATGGCCGCATTATATCATATCATACTATACTCGAAATCGGAACCCCCACCATACTATAGAGCTGCGGGTGAAATCCGAAAGTTCTTGTGCCATGGGGTGTATATATATACTGTCCAAGAGAGGTGAAGCTCCATCTATGGTCGTAGGTTATTCTCTGCGTGTATACATACATACATATACATACTGTCCAAAAAGGGGTGAAAAGCACGGAGAAGGGACTGGCGGGAGGAGACAGTAGACAGACAAGAAAAAAGAGAGCGTGCGGGCAAGTGGAAGAAGATGAACAAATGGAGGATATACCTAGGTAGGTAGGAGGTAGTGTCCATTAAATAAATACCTAAACTTATGGCATAGGCTTACGACCTGTTTGCAGTGGTCACTGACCATGGAATACGACATAATTCACCCACACTGACAGTCATACTGGCCCTGATATTGATCCAGGCTTTGACCTAACCGTAACGATGATCATGAACCAGGGGCACATTCTGTCTCACTTCCGCCTTCGAGTCCGCATCCGCCATGCATCGATTATGCAATTTGCGCTCGGCCACCCACCATGTACCGACTGTATCAGACTATCATCTGGTTGATTTAAGCGGCGGCGCTTCGACGAACGACTTCGAACGGCAGTGAAAATGCTCACCTTGATGTGGAGATATTGATCGTGTGAGCTGACGGCACCGTACATAGGTAGTTACTCGACTTGTTTTGGGGTAGAGGGTAGAGAACTTCTTCTGCTCCATGCTGAGAGGATTGATCAAGAGCATGTAAGCGGCGCTCTCTCTCCATTTTCGTCCAGGTGACGAGTTCAAAGCCCTCGAAAATGGTCATGCGCCTTGGGTTGCGCAGCCGCACTCGGAGCAACCATCGAGAGCCGCCTTCATGGGATAGGACTTGCAATTCCAGCCTTTGCTTCCTCCACTGGCGCCGCCTGCTCGTTTCTTTTTCATACTGAGACGTACGCCACCCCTATGGCGTGTGACCGAGCTTCACTTCTCTTTTCTGATTTTGATCACTTCTCACCATCTCTTTCTTCGTCCGCTTCTCTCCGTTCTTTCTCATCTGTGTCTGTACCAGACTCATCTGGAACAGACTCTGGAGGCGGTGGAGGTGGTGCCGGAGAAGGAGGAGCAGCAACGGCAGTAGGAGGAGTTTGTTTCAAGCCAGGGTTGCCTTTTGGTTGTGAGACGTCCTGGATAAATCCCTGGCTCCGCCGACGCAACCGCGGGTCGTGCCATTTCGTGGCATCTGGAATACCATACGCTTTTGTAATCACTGGTCGGCCGACCAGACTCTTCGCTTTGGGAGAATAGACCGCGAAGACATCCAACCGCAGTTTACCACGCTCCCCAACGAACTCAATATGCCCGATGATATGACACGGATCACGGGCATCTGTATGTGCCGCTTTGCTTTGGCCCAAAGACCAATGTAGCCGGAACATAGTACATGCGGATTCAATGGCATCCTGGTACGTCATTGTGCGCACAGCATCGCGGTAACCTTGCATGGATTCGTGTTGTCCATATTCGCCCCGGAGGAAAGGCAGCATTTTCTTCATGTCATTCTCGGGAATCCGTCGGATCGGAAGTTGCTGGGCAGCCTTTTCTTCCTCACTGAGATTTCTTCTTGCTGTTGGTAGGTGAGATAGATAGAATGGGCGGATGTTGTTTAGGGTGCTGGTGTTGCTGGATGATAAAAGCCCGGCCGAAGTCAAGCGGTCCACAGCACGAGCTTTTGTGATCCGGTATGATATGACCCAAAACTCCTTGAGTCCGTAATAGAATGCTTTTCCGAGGATGATCGGATGGAGAGCACGGTCCAGTCTGCTTCCATACGATTCTGGTAGTTGTCGCCAGGCGACCGAAGTTTGCCCAGGTTTGAGGACAAGATATTTCACCTCGTACACAGGAGGGCGATTCAACGGGACGACCAGTTCAAGGCTGACTCGCATTTCTTGTGGTTGGATGACCCGGAAAAATCCAATCAACTGTTCCCGCCTTGTGGCTTCCTTCTCGACCAATTTTGCAACTTGCACCTTTATGTCGTGGACCAGTTTGTGGTCCTGTTGGAGTTTCTGGAATGTCTTCCATTCTGGATCTTCGGGTCTATAAGGCAGACCCCTCCGCTTGCGGATGGACCAAAGGAGGGGAAGGCTGATTTCGTTCGGTTGGAAATCAGAACCTGGGAGTGAGGCATTCTGTGGCGGCTGTTCGGGTAGCCTAGATGCCACTGTATTCTGGTCCGACTTTTTGGGCTGTTCTTTGGGAAGCAGTTGGTTTATGGTGGAGATGACGCAGTAACTGAGGACGAAACTGGTCAGGATGCGGGAAATGACGGGTCTAGTTGTGCAGTTAGAGAAGTCTCAAGTTGTAGGCTGATAGTTTGGACCTACTTGGATTGCCGTGTCACCGACACTCTTTGCACGTCAATGTGTCCACTCTGGAGCGGCACACGCGCTGTCCGCGACCGACGGAACAGGGACTTGAGCATGGGTATACAGCCACCTCAGTTGCGGACATTGCGCGAAGAGTTAAGAGGGTCGAATGTCGCCGCGCCCGCGGTCACTGCCGTGGCACGAATGCCTCAAGCGGTACTTGCTCGTGGAAGGCGGGAGGCCGTCATGCGCATGTATTGCTGAGAGAATACCAATACAGAAGATATCGCTGTCTTGCGGTCATAGACGTAGGAAGGCAAAGATGATATTGTGATACAGATGGTGGTGCGGGTTGACGCTCGTAAGAATACGGATGTTGAAGACACGTGAAGGCGTATTGTAGGCGTCGAGTGGTGTAAATTACGGTATTGCTATGTCAGTAGTCGGCCTCGATAAGGTAATCGTATCTATACACACTATTGTACGTCAACCTGACAGGCGAACTAAAGATCCGCCTCGCGTCGAATTCAACATCCATCCTATCCTGCTGCCAGCACAGAACAAAACGTCGGAGCTGGCACAGGAACTGGAAAGATGAAGACCCTCGCCGCCCTTCTGCCTTGCGTGGCACTTCTGCAGCATGTCGCTGCTCAAGGCGCATATCTATTCACGGTCGATCCCGAAGCCGGCTCACAGTCTCCGTCGACGTCCATGATCGACTCGAAACTGGCCAGCGCGATTCTTGCCCGACGAAGAGGACTCACGGCCGACCGAAAACTAGAAATCACAGAGGAGAGTCTGCTCCAGGACATCAACGCATATGGAGGCTACCAAGCACCGCTTTTCCCCGAAGGCCAGCAGCCTACAGAAACACCGGGCAAACTGTTCATAAGGATATCAGGGGTGGACATGCAGATCGACGACTTCGACACTGTCATGCCTGATCTATGGATCCAAGAGCCGGGTCGTGACTTGCTTACGGACTTCAAGGTCATCCCCAAGAGGCACAAGAAGGACTCGACATGCGAATACATTGTCCCCCCGAGCCTCAACGCAGTCAATGGGAGAGGAGTTGAAGTTATATTTTCATATCCAATGGAGAATGTGAGTTGCTTGGAGTGTGCGAGGTTTCTGCTCGACTGATCTGACCTACTATAGGAGCCGCTATGTCTTGCGGCCTCGGAAATCCCAAATATTCCTATTATTATGTCGCTGCACGGATACTTGCCCACGAATCCGACCGAAGTCAAAGAGAAACTGCCCTCGTTGGTTCGCATCCTTAAGCATTTGTCGGCAGCCGACAATGTCGAGTCTACGTTGCTCTTGCTTCCATCGAAACTAGGAAAGCAGACGCATCAACACAAAGTGCGGGCACCCAAAAAGGTCGAAGAGACACCGCTGGATTTGCCTGCCGACCGCTCGTCTTCTCCCGCCGCCGCGTCCAATTCCAGTCAGAACTTTACTCTCCCCTCTGTCATCCCAGAATGCTTTGCCTCCAAATCGGCATGCGAGAACACGACCAATTCCTGCTCCGGGCACGGCTCGTGCTACCAAGCACATACCAACTGCTTCAAATGCCGCTGTGGCACAACAGTGGCGCGGGTGAACGAAGACGGCACAAAGAAGACGATCCAATGGGGTGGTGCGGCGTGTCAGAAAAAGGACGTCAGCACGCCGTTTATTCTCTTTGCGGGCTTTGGGGTGGTGTTGGCAGCCTTGATTGCCGGCGCCATTGGCATGTTGTTCAACATGGGCAGGGAAGAATTGCCCAGCGTGATCGGTGCGGGTGTTGCAGGGCCCAAAGCTGGAAAGTGAAACAATGCAACAATTAGTACAATATCTACATGAACAGGGGCTGGTACAGGTTGGGGACTTGCTGCAGTGTATATGTACTGCGCCTGGCCTGTTTGTTTCATTCGAGTCTGCCATAGAACACCTATGAAGTGCTGTGAGCAGGACATGATGCATATTATGATTGATCGAAACAAGAATATTCCCTCTTCTGCCACAGCTTATCCCGTTGTTCTACTGCTGCCGCTGTAGTCATCGTGTATCCGGGAACCATTCAAAGACAACTCCTCCTGAACTGGCTCTTGACTCGTTCGATTCCGTCGAATCGCGTAAAAGCGATACAAGGATGCTCGTCGGCTCGATGCATGTTTCCTTTGTCCCCGACTCTGGCCACTCGAAGGACAAGACACAAAACACAAGCGCCCTGGAACCGCCATCCCGCCATCCCGGTCGGCTGCCTACATGGGGCGCCTGTATCTTCTACCAGTCAAACGCGGGTAACTTGTTGCCCTGCAGTGCAGTGGTCCAAAGCATTCATTCCCCTCTCGAGCTGTTCATACCAGGTACACAGCATCCATGCCCTACTGTATGCACATGTTCCTGGACTTGAAGTTGGAGACTCATGGCACATTCCTGTAGTCACCACTGCATTTGAAGCTTTCCGTCAAGCTCTGAACCTGCAGGGTTCTCAGGGTCCTCATGAGGTGAGCCGAGCCACCGGAGGAACCCCGTTCATAACAAGATGTTGTTTCATGTTATATCTATGGCACAGGTAGGTAGCTACCTCTACAGTTCGGGGTCCGGCTCTAGGATGTCTCTTTCTGCCTTTTCAGCCCTTTGTCGGCACTGCAGTGGGTTGCACTGTTGCCCCGTCCTGCTCTGACCTTTGTCCAGGCTGATATTCTGTCTGCATACTGACTTGGCTTTAATCGCTGACTTACCCACTAACTGATTGACTGGCTCACTGTGTCTGGCCCCCTACCTTGTTCATGTGGTAGTATCTCAAGAACAAACACACTACCATTCACTACCGGGCAACAATGGGAGCAGTCAGCGTGGCATCAGTAGTGGCATCCATCATCTCCGCCTTCGGCAGCGGGATGGAAATACTCCACCGCCTCGGCGTCGGGAAACACAAAAAGTCTCGATGTCGAGCGAGACCTCCCCAACCATGGGAGGAAGCGGAATGGGAATCAGTCCAAGAGTCACTGCAAAGCCGACCCTTACAAATCAAACATGAATATGACCAAAGCGTGGGCCGGTTTGGTCGTCGCTTCGAAGTTGGCGACAGTACGGCTCATTCGAGTCTGGCACAGACACTCCTGGTGCTCAACACGGGGCTGATCAAGCTTATCAATCATGCTTTGTCAGACAATCAGTCGAAAGAGAATGTCATGTCGTCGAACAAGGCACTGTTCAGTCTGTCCGAGGCCGCGGCGTCGGATACCATGGCGGCACTGGAACAGCTCAGGACGCGGCTTAGTGTGATGGCACCACGGCGGCCTCTAGTTAGAATTCCTCTTCAGAATCACCAAGCGGAAGAAGAAGAAGAGGGCCAAAATCGAATTGGTCGCCACGATCGGCATCATCAAACTCACCAAGAAAGTTCCCTGTCACTGTCACTGCCAGAGAAACGGCCACAGCAACAGCAACAATCTCGGGCATCGACAGCGCTACTAGTGCGAGGTGGATGGGTGAGATCCAAAAATGGCGGCACATCGTCAGTTGTTCTTCCCAGCGCCCCAGCAGCGGTGAGAAAGGGGGCAAAGCGTGCGAGAAAGACGGATCAGAATCAGGACTCTACGACTAGTAGTCAGAGTAAGTCCAGTTCCGGTTCAACTGCGACAATGAGGACGAGGACGCGGACGCAGACGAGGACACCTGTTTTCCCACAACTTGAACCTGGGCGGCATGCCGGGAACCAAACTGGCAACGAGACATCCAGATGTGTGTCCCCAGATAGGGTCCGTCGGCATCGTCAAGAATCACTCAAACACGATGCACTGGCAGTGCTTGATCACGACGGGGACTCGAAACCTCAACGACAACCGAGCATGTTGATTGTGCCGTCAGACTTTTTCGAGCTTCAAGTCGTTTCTGCTGTCCAAGTTCATCCAGAACAGTCTTGTGGCCGGCGGCGGGATCCTCCTCCACCTCGCCCGCCAAAGATCCCACTGGATTCAAAACCACCCCCTCCTCCCCCACCGCCTCCACGACGAGCCTTCATTGACGGTGGTCGCCGTGCGCCGCGTCCAACGTCGACCATGACGTTCATGACGGCGAGTACCAAGATTGGAGAGATTCCCGAGTCCCGCTGGCAGGGCCAGGGTAAGATCCTACCTATCTCTGCGGAAGGACATGCCGATAATAATAAGACTTGGGTACCGGCGGATACCCTGCCACCGCCACTGGAACCTCTAGGTAATGGAGCGAAGACGACGAAGAAGAGTTGTTTCAAGTTCTGGAGGAGAGATGGAAAGGGTTGAAAGAGTGGTGGTCAGACTCGAGCACGGAATAATAAATATAAAATCAGAAACATCAAGCATGGCAGAAACAAATCTGGTATTTGGAAGGGTGAATTGGATACATATCAGACCTGTACCTTGTGGTTGTGAAGTGCAAGTCCGTAACTTGAATATAATTTTTAGAAAATCAAAATATCCTACCCAGTAGCGCGTACGGAGTTTAATTCATTTGTCTTATACCTACCTAGGTAGGTAGTATTACCGAGTTCATACCTCAAACATCAAACCAATTTGTCTCGTTAAACGGATCGAAAACTAGATCGAGCAAACGACACTCCGAGTCAGACTCTCCAGTAAAAGCATCCGAATACTTTGGTCCAAAAAAGAACATCCACCTCTGTGCAACGGCGACTGCAACCTACAACCTAAAACCGACATCCTTCCACTCCTCCGCAGCAGTCCAAGGCCATCCAGCGCATCAAACACTGCAACATCCAATTCGAAATAAATGGCCTCCGGCACGATCCCCGTCCCCAAGCCGGGCGAGGGGGAACCGATTGTGTTTTTCGACATCACGCTTGGTGGTAAGTCGATTCACGGCGAGTTCCTACGGCTACTCATTTCCTGGTCTCCTTCTCGTTCTTGTTCTTCTCTCCTACCAGCACACATTTTTCAATTTCGATCTGGCGTGGCTGGCGGATGGAAACGGTCATCAGATGCTGCATTGCCGATTTGCACGTTAAGCACAGGAAGGAACGAAACACCGAAGGACTGCATGTCCGCCTTGAAGGACGGCCGAAAATGAGACATGTGGAGAGGGTATACTATCTATGGTATCCTATGGCATACAGTATGGTGCATGGTATCAGTGATTCAGCGCTGGTGCGGGATACCTTAATACATACCTACCTAGGTATACCTATCGACCTTGATTCTTCTCGGAGCACCTCTCTACTCCTACTTCCACCTTCACTCTTTGCTCATGGTCCATTCCGACTGCAGGACGATACGGGCACTAACTGTGCACATCGCATACTCCCGCTTCAAGCTCTCCAAGCACTGCATCACTCACTGGCCAACCATTTCTTTTCCAGCGGTTTCAAGTCCTTCAACTAACACAAGTCCACCTCTGGCAAAATAGGTGAACCACTGGGCCGGATCAAAATGCACTTGTTTGCCAACACGGTGCCCAAAACGGCCGAGAATTTCCGCCAGTTTTGCACCGGCGAGCATAAAGTCGCTGGTCGGCCGCAGGGGTACAAGGGGAGCAAGTTCCATCGAGTGGTAAGTCAATAGCTACTAGTACAGTACCTCACACAGAGAACCCCGTACAAGGACTGCACAATACGGGACAACCCATAACGCAAACACAAACACATCAGTGAGCCGGCCAACCGAGCGAGTACTTGAGCACCTAAGGGGTGAAGCTCAGCTCCAGCTCCCTTCTACCAGCCGAACCTATCTGAGGCTATCTCTCTCCACCCCCGTTGTCTTGCTTCCCTCAGCTGTCCAAGCTCCTAACCCATCACCTACCCACTCACTCACGCCGTCATTAACTCCCTCATCATTCATTCGGCACTCACTCACCGCGTTCGTTCTTATGTGTTCCAGATCAAAAACTTCATGATCCAAGGCGGCGACTTTCTCCACTCCGACGGCACCGGCAGCACAAGCATCTACCACAACGCCGCGTTCCCCGACGAATCCTTCCAGCACAAACACACCTCGGCCGGTCTGTTGTCCATGGCCAATTCCGGCCCCAACACCAACGGATGCCAGTTTTTCATCACCTGTGCCCCGACCCCGCATCTGGACAATAAACACGTCGTTTTTGGTCAGGTCGCCGACGACGAGAGCATGAAAGTCGTCCGGATGATTGAAAACACTAGAACCGCTGGGCCCGGTGGGAGGGGCCAGGGCGAGAGGCCTGTCTTGGACGTGCGGATTGCAGAGTGTGGTGAATTGTGATAGACCAAAAAATCGGTTCCCAGCTTCGTCCTCGCATGTCATTACAGTATCATTATTTGTATGCTCCATCTACTAGTACTGTAGGTTCAACGATGGAAAACCTGCAAAGCTGGGCCTGAGGCGGACTTTGCACTGTTACTACCTAGGTACCTTATGGAAGAAAGCTTACACTCTTAGTAACTGTACATTATTGTACACTGCTCGGAACAGGCGAGCAAAAGCTGGCAATGGCATTTATGCCAGAAAAACAATCACGTGCTTGTTTTTATTCAGCTTTGATAGATAACTAGAAGTGCTCGAGATGCTTTTGCTTGTCGGCCAAAAAGAAGTGCTGGGTAATCAAGCTTTGAATTGCGCAGACATTCCTGGATGCCGGCACTCGACACGCTCCAACGATGTCTGTCCATCCGCAGTCCCTCGGTGGCAAAACGCCCCGGGGTGATTGTCACGGGCGTGCTTCCAAGTGGAAAAGAGCAGGATATCAATTATAGGCTCCGTTGCAAGGTAGTAGAGTCTTACTTCCTATACTCCAGGGTTATCACATCAGGAGGCCTTTCGTCGCCGAGGAGGACTTCAACAGTGTCGGTTACTCCAGTCCCTTCTCAATCTCGTCCTCCTCGTCTTTGATGGCTGCATCTGGACAATAGATCCACGAAGTCGTCCAGGGCGGCCTCGTCATCATCGGAGGCGGGGCAGAGGTCGTTACCAGTGCTGTCCAGGAATTTTTCATCTTCTTTGTCGGACTCCAACACAGCTGCTTTTCTTTTGGACGCCCTTTCCGAGTTATCGGGACGAGGATCGCTCTTTGAAAGACACCCAGGCCTTGATTAACACGTAGAGGATAAGGCCTGGGAGCGATAAAGGACAAACTTCTGAGCAAAGACCGTTGCAGTCAGATAGCACCTAGGTTACCCCAGGGCTATCTGAACGAAGTAGAACATACCGACACACAGCAAACTGCTCAAACAACAAAAACAGAAGAGAGCGGTCATACAGCTTCCGACGTACAGACGTGCTCGAAATCCACAGCAGTTGAAGCCGAAGAGACCATGCTGAAGACAAAAGAAAATTTCAAGCAGGTGGCACCTCACCTCTGCGCCCGGAGTAAGCATACCTAGGTACATAAGCTCTTGCCGCCATACTAGTAGTACCGTGTATCGTCACCTTCCTCATTAGACAGACTTGCCATTTCGTGATGACTGTGCAATCAATGCAAGCTACCGCAGCTCGCACAATAATGCTCTCGCACAATAATGCTCTCGCACAATAATGCTCTCGCACAATAATGCTCTCGCACAATAATGCTCAAGGGTTGGAAGACTCAAGCTCGCCATCGCCTCGCAACCTCAATGTGGCTTGACCCTCACATGCAATACCCACCTTATCTCCCCGTACATTGCCACAGGGCCAGTATCGCAGTTGCACTCTCAGTTGCATGGGCGCGCAACTGCAGTGTAGTACTCGTAGTAGAAGTAAAATTCTGTCAGGCTAGATTCTTGGCACACGGTGCAACCACCGAGTCTGGCACTAGCAGGTGACCAGTACCGCACCTGGATCTAAGCGAGTGGAGTTCGCGAAAATTTGGCCATTATTTAATCAAAAGGCAAAACTTCTGTCAACAATTGAGCACTCAAGTTGAGCACATCAACTCGCTTCAATACCCCGAATGGCGCAGTTGGTAGCGCAGTCGGCTGTAATTGATTAATTGATACCGAAAGGTCACCGGCTCGAATCCGGTTTCGGGGAAACATTAATCCATCTAAGGATTTCTTTTTTGTTCAGCGATGCTACCTGGTATTACCTAGGTAGTATTATAATTTTTTTGATCAGCTCTGATGTTCTGTCGGATTGATCAGGCTTAGTAACGCATGAGATTCGAACATCACGTGCCACTAGATGCACTAATACACGTGAACGAACTGGTCCCGGGTGCGCTCCAAAAAGAACTCCAATTTCAAGCACTCCGAGTCATGCTTGAGAAGCCTAGCCCTGTAACAGACCTCCGCGGTCTCTTGTCACCTGGAGCAGGCCGCGACATTTCGCAGGCAGCAGAGCGGTTGAATATAAAGGACCTACCGGAAACGGGGATCAAAGCAGGTAAGTCATACAAGGTAAACAGAAAAGTACAGACCTGAAAGTCCGCTCCTGGCAATACTACCAATGCATTGATTGGCGCAACTCTATCACACCTCTCTAACATCTATATCCCTAATCCATAAGTTACGTGTTTGTTCATCAAGTTGCATAATATCCATCACCGCCTCAAGCCTTAAGCTCCTCAACGTTGCCGTGGTCCGGAGCAGGGGTGACGGTGCCACTGCCCGATTTCTCCGAGACGGCCTTGCCAGCATCAGGCAAAACGCCCTCGACGACGGTCGTCCGTGTGGTGCTGCTGCTGCCGCCAAAAACCTCGCCGACAAACTCGCGCCAGAAGCGTCTGGTCTCCCAGACGGGCAGGATGCCACAAAGACCGAAAGCGGCAAAGACCCAGATGAAGCTGATGACGACGTAAAAGGTGAAGAAGGCCTTGGAATAGATGTAGTGGCTGAGAAACATGGGGATGGGGACGATGACGTCCATGGTGATGGACAGCACGGTGGACAGGACCAAAGCCATCATAAACGTGCGTTGCAGTGCCTTGGGATTTTCCAGCACCGCGGCGTCCTCGGCTTCTTCTTTCTCCTCGTCAATCACAGTCGGGAGATTGCGATTCGCTTCCTGTTGCTGTTCGGGGGCTCTGTCGACCGAAGCATCAACTGTCGTCTCGCCGCCATACAGGGAAGACGGCGCGTTGATGTCGCGGGTGACGGACCAGTCGAAATTGTCGGGTCTGGCCCAGGAGACGACCGTGGTCACGATCAACCCCGTCAAGACTGCCGCCATGTTCCCGGCCAGTGTCGGATACGATGAACCGGTGGTGGCAATGGTGAACTCGCCGTAGTACACTTTGGTCTCGACCAGCCATGCGATGAGACCGGCGGCCAATCCGGACAGAGCACCCGCGATGGCGCCGGCTCGGGTTTGGCCTTTCCAGGTGACGGCAAACGCGGCGGGGAACACGGCACCACCGATCAAGAGACCCATGACCAGAAAGAGCCAACCCAGACTGATGCCGATGGCCTGCCAGATACAAGCAAACGCGGCCATGACCACGGCGAAGACGCAAATCATGACATGAGAAACAAAGATGAGGTCTTTCGGCGTGGCCTTGGGCTTGACATAGACCTTGTACACGTCGAAGGTCAGGATGGACGACACGGCGATCAACTCGGACGACGAGGACGACGTGACGGCCATGAAAAGCGTCAACAGCAACGCGACACAGCCGTGCTGGCCTAGCAACGCCGCGGCCCCAAACGGAGCCGCCAGACCTGCCGACACCTGCTCCGCGGTCATGTTGTTGGGGTACGTGGGATACGCCGGGTTGTCGGTGAGTGCGACCGCCGCCAGACCCAAAGTGGTGGCGAACCCGAACGGAATGGCGTACCAGGCAAAGCCGCCCATGATGTAGCCTCGCACCGCCGTGGTCGGGCGGCTCGCAATGGCGCGTTGCCAATACCCTTGATCCAGAAACACGGTGCCCATACCGGAGCAAAGCTGGATGACACCAAAGATCAAGCCGTAATTGGACTTGAGGGTGACGTACGATCCGTTTTGGTTGCCGTCGACGGGTCGCACTTCACCCGCATGGACCAACAGGTCGTACATCTTGCCGGGAGATCCGATCAGATCGTTGGAAGTGTAGACCTGTGGTGGAATCAGCGGTCTGTCACAAAATGCTGGCATGCGTGCACAACTTACCGAGAACATAAAGTACAAGATGATGACCATGACGATGACGGTGTGAGAATAGTCGCAGAGGAACGTCGCCCGAAGACCTCCCAGGACGACGTAAATGGCGACACCGAGAGGAATGAGGAAAATGGCCGCGTACACGTTCATGCCCGTCAGTGTGGTGACGACGGCGCTACCACCCAGCAGCAGCTGGGAGGCGACCAGGATGTTGGTCATCAAAGCAAAAAAGATGAAGATGATGTGAGTCACCCTGCCGTAACGGTAGTAGATGATCTCCAGGAACGTGTGGCATCGAGGAGCGTTCTGCTTGACTTTGCATGCCAGGACCGAGAACATGAAGATCTGGACCGTCGCGCCGGCGGCGTACCAGAAGGGGCCCGAGACGCCATATTCGTACGCAACGGTGCTGGATTGCAGCAAGGTGGCCGCCCACGTCCACGCCGATACCACGCCGCTGGCTATCAGGCCCGGCTTGACGCTGCGACTGGCCGTGTTGAATTCTTCACTCATCTTGGTCGAGTATTTGGTGTAACGATTCTGTCAGCAATGTAAGTGTCAGTAGGGTTTCACTGTACACTCTCAAGCATTCAAAGCCTACGTACCTGCAAGTACGAAACGCCAGACATGACCAAGGCGAAGAAGAACCCGATTCCAATGACGACGCCATAGCCGGCGCCTTGGGGAAGAATGGGCTGAACGGCGGTCGACATGATGAAGAATAGCGCAAATGAGGGGACTGTCTGGATGCAGTGTGCGTTCTGAGTCGACAGACTGGTCTAGGACTTGCAAGGCGGCGATGCTACAAATGCCTGCCCTTATATCCAACCCACGCTCCTAGCGGATGTTCCGAGGCAGAGGGTCCATCTTCTCGGAAAGATATCGATCCTGAACGGAACACCATTACTCGCTTGGGACCTGACATGTTGTCATCCTGGAGTGTCGTTATCAAAGTTTCCGACATGCCGGACCGCGTCCTCCTGGCTGCTGGCCCGTCGACATATTGTCGCAATGACAACGTCGCTCACGGTGGAGCACACCCCAAGGAACCGCGAGCAGAACGATAAGGCCATTATCGCAGAAGTGGAAACCCATGACGATCTTGGAGCCACCATCGTCTGCATTTGCAAAAAGGCAGGCCACGACGACTGATACTCACCCGGTTAAATCACTTCCGCCCCCATCAACTGGCGGCAGAACGTTCCGCGCCGCTGTACGAGCGTCAGTTCCATGGTCAACATGAATGATAAGGAGTTGTGGTTGTCACAGTACTAGACTGTTGGATAGAGGGCGAATACTCGAACTCCTAACCGAACGAGGAAACTGGCAACAGCGTCGAACTCCGGACCCACAAAATAAGCCCGTTATCAAGGCTGGAGAAAAGAGGATACCGTATGGCGCCTTACAGACCCCCATTTCACCCGCGACCGTTCTATCCACTTCGGTCCCTGCAGCCCTGCCTCCAACTCGTCCCTGAAATCTGTGGCTGTCGGCTGTCCCGACGCATACCGGGACCAAATGTCGACACCCTTCGTGGAAGCGCTCGCTCAAGTGCAGCACATACTGTATGTGAACAGTATCTGTCATCACGGACTATCCCATCTAGCCCCAGAGTTGTGGATGACACGATGCCGAGGTTAATGTCTTCGTGGGGTCGCCGAAGGACAATGTTGGAAGAGATAAGCGGTGTTCAGCAAGCAGAGAGCGACGGGATCGACTCTGAACAGACCCGCGCGGGTTGGACGTGTTCTTGAGGCAAGACACGACGAGGCTCAAAGGGTACTTTATACACCCATCCGGACTCAAATATCTTGCTCAAGACACTTCCTTTTTTTCTTTTCTTTGCGTTTTTCTCCTTCCAGCATACCCCGGAGACCAGCCATTTCGACTGCCGGTGTCCGTCCAAGATGTTCAAGTGTTCAATCACCCCTGCCATCCTGGGCAGAGGCTCAGTTGCCGCCAACAGGACCAGGAACCCCGTTCTCAGATTGAGAAGTGTGCGTGCATACGCGACGGTCAAGAACGCACCGCTGGCGGAGAAGCTCAGCATCAACGGCGACAGACTATGGTAAGTAAGAAGGGGTAGTGGCGTTTTGCCAACCTTAACATAACTGCAGCACTTTTGGTTGACCACGCTTACGCAGGCACGATATCCACTACACTGCTCAATGGAGCGCACCATCGCCCGGCGGCGTGACGCGACTCTGTGCGGATGAGAACGACAAGAAGGTCCGTGACTGGTTCCGGGACCAGCTGTTAGCACTGGGGGCGGACTACAAGGTTGGTTATCTAGTACTCAGGTCCCAGCAATGGGGCCGCTCCGCACTGCATGAGACCGATTTATTTGACTGACAATCCAATCCAATCCGCAGGTCAACGCCACCGGCACCCAGTTCGGGGTGTTTGAAGGAGAAGACAACAGCATCCCTCCCATTGCCATGGGCAGTCACCTGGACACGGTGGCGACTGGTGGGAAATTCGATGGGCCACTTGGGGTAAGAAAGAAGAAGAAGAAAACATACTGTTTCGCATCGACTGCTAACGATCTGTGTCACAGGTCCTGGGAGCGCTCGAAGTGATGCGAAGCTTCAAAGAACAAGGAATCAAGACTCGAGCGCCGATAGTGCTGATCAACTGGACCAACGAGGAAGGGGCACGGTTTTTCCCATTGTTGGGCTCGTCCATTGTCTACGCGGGCCGGTCGACGGTGGAAGAAGCGCACGCAGCGCGATCCAACGACGCGTCCGAATTGACCATGGGCAGCGAGTTGAAGAAGATCGGATACGTCGGGGACGGGCCCAACACGTTTCAAGAATTCCCCATCTCGGCACACTTTGAGATCCACTGTGAACAGTCGACCGATTTGGAAAAGGCAGGCAAGCCAGTCGGTTGGGTCGAGGGCTGGCAAGGGCTGACTTGGTACGATGTGACCTTCCACGGCGAAAACGGCCACGCCAACACATACCCGATGTACGGCCGACGCGACGCCCTGGTCGGGGCTGCCAAGTTGATCTGTGAGCTGGAAAAGGTGGCTTACGACAAGAACGGCGGCTCGACCGTCACGGGCATCCACAGCCGGCCCTGGGGAGCGTGCAACATCCAGTCCAAGACGAAAATCACTTTTTGTCTCATGAACAAGGATGGTCAATTGCTCGAAGACATGGGCAAGACCATCATGGATCGCGTCAAGAGCATTGCCTCCCTCCATGGTCTCGAGGCCGAGGTTGACCGAACCGTCCATTTGCTGCCGGGCAACTTTTGGCCCGAGGCCATCGATTGCGTCCGAAGGGCTTGTGGTGATAAGGGCATTGCCTCGCGCACCGGCACTGGCCACGATTCAACAATGACTACCCTGCTGTGTCCGACCGCCATGATCTTTGCCCGTGCTAAGGACGGCATCAGCCATTCCCCAAAGGAGTGGACTGACAAGGACGACTGCGCTGAAAGCGCTTTGGTGTTGGGCAGGTCGGTCCTGAACTTTGACGACTACATGAAGCAGAAAGCCACCGCTACCGCTTGAGGGAGAAGCCAGACATTTGTATATACTTTGTTCAGATCCATGGTTGCATGACAATTTCATGCGATTAGACTGCCTAAAGAGCGCTGGGGAGCTGTCTCAGCTCTAACGACAGTATACTATACCATCAAAGCTAAGCGACAGCACACAGAGTACATTTGAGAACAGTAATGGCGAAGAGTCGCCCTAACAGCGGCCATGTATCTTATCACCACGTTGAGCACGGTCAAGGGTCTCGCTCCAACATCGTTCTTCAGACCGGCTACGGCTGATTCCAGGAAAGGAAGTTCGGCAATGCCGAAAACACGTGTACCAAGGTCTAAACATGATAGCAGGCCCTCAAAGCCGTAACGGTAGTGCTGGGGCCTGATAAGAAACCAGACCATTGGGACACCATAGAATGAGAGAATGCAGTCTGCCCATATTCTCCATAATAGACCAGATAAGGGAGAGATACTGCTGAGATATGGGGCGGTGGTCTTAGTGACCTCAACAGCAGTACCCCCTCGAATAGAAAAGAAGTCCAAGAGATATTGGGCTGGTGGCTCTTGGGCGACAGCACACTAGCTTTCAACCCATTGGGAGTCCAGGTATGGTTTAGGTCGTGTCATAGTTCTGACGGACAGCCTGGCGGTAGTATCAATCTGAGGAAGATCAGTGATGGAGGAATTCCCCAGACATAACTGTACAAGGTACTAACCAGCACTGACCTAGTATGAGTGGCAACGTTTTCGGGTGTGGCTGACAATCATAAAAGTGACCTGCTGGAGGGAGGTTCGGCCTGTTTAGCTGAACAGACAAGCAGCAAACATGATCAGAAAAGAGCCAATATCTGTTCATAAGTCTGCGTATATGGTATACCACCCGATATCGATTGGTGGTATGGGGAAGAACGGACCTGGAGCGTTATCTCTGGGAATGATAAACGCTATACCCGACCCCTCGCCTTGTTCCCAAGACCCACATCTTCAACTGTTGACACTGTGCCGTATCTTCGCGACATGATTGGTTTCAGGGTAACAGTCTCTGACCGCTATGCTGGAACGATGTCTTTTTGCTAAGCTAGACCCCAATATGTTGTAGATGGGGAGCATGCTCACATCGCCCAACTCCGCTCTCGCGGCTCTAGGCGACATGCTGGGAGATGATTAAGGGCACCCCTGCACGACCAAAGACGCAGAGTTTGACTCCGGCAGACCCTCCACTCGCCCTCAGCATTTCATTCAGGGTCTTCATTGTTTGAAGACCATAGTAAACACCTCGACTCAAGCGGGGTATATGGTCTCCCCATGCCAGAGATCTCTTTCTTGGCCGGCGTCCAAGACTGAAAGCATTTCTCTTCACATGCCACAATCGACCAAAATATCAAAGCCAAAGCGTGCAACAAAGACTTTCTCCGGATGCTGGACTTGTCGCGAACGCCACGTAAAGTGCGATGAAGGGCGGCCAACTTGCGCTCGGTGCATAAGAGGGGGGTTCGTTTGCCATGGCTATGGAATCAAACTCGTGTGGATTGACCCGGAAACACGCGGGTGGGAGCGAAAGATCCGACGGCTGGTCAGCGCGCCAGCTTTGTACCACGACAAGTCACCGTTTCTGCAAGTGGACGTTCAGGAGGCACTGGATCGACTGGATCAAGGGGACATCTGCTCTGTCGGTCCATTTTCCGTGTTCCCTATCGAAGAGGAGTTGAACCATAGTGTGCTCAAAGTCGCAACGGATGTCGAGAAATCCAACCAGATCAAAACTGCTTACGTGCTCAGATGGCTGAGGCAGATGATGGACGACTTTCATGAGCAAGAAAATATCACATCACCCACAAGTCATGTCAGTACTCCTGCAGAAGCCCGGTCGCCGTGTATATACCGTCATGTCGACCTTTTACCTCGTCCTGCAGAACAGCGCCAGCTCATCCATCACTGGGTCACCTTTGTCTCCTGGCATTTGGTGCCTGTCGACCACCCGGACAATCCGTTCAGGAGTGTGTTCACTCCAATGGCGCTCGCCGGCTTGAACAGTGTTTCACATGAGTCAAATGGCCAGATTGCTCTTTTCCACTCACTCTGCGCCACGTCGGCGTATAGTCGAGGACAGTTCTTGGGCAACAACAAAACATTAACCTTGGCCGGGAAACACTATCACCTGGCGATTTTGCACCTGAGACACAGCCTCGCGAATCTCACAGGGGACAACTTCGACTCGCAGCGGAACTCCATTATTGCCACCATCACCATGTTCTCGGTCATGGACATGATCACCGGTCGGTCGACCGAATGGCGAACCCACGTCCAGGGAGGGGCATCGTTGCTGGCCTCGATCGAGGACAGAATCTGGAATGAAGACAAGAACTCGTCCATGATCTACCAGAGCTACCTCGCGGTCGCTGCGCTGTGTAATATTGACTTACCTTCGACCATCGACATGGTTGTGAGTGGCAGCAAACATTATGTTCTCGACCAGTTTTTTGGACTGGCACGCCCGATCCTGCGGCATATTGTCAGGATCAATGCGCTGCTGAAAGACACCCGGGCCGCCGACCTAGATCCGGACTTGGTGGAGGATCTAGAGAGTGAACTCTGGGCACACAACCCGGAGAATCTCGACTTTGACGGCCTGGAAGACTCTCGCAATAGAACAATGGCTCGCCATCATGCTTTTCTGTTCTACTATGCAAGCCTCATACATTTCCAGCGAACTGTACGGCAGATGCCACCGTCGACGATGCAGCATCTAGTGAGGCAGGCGGTTGAACACTTTGAGGAGATTGAACGTCTGGGAGCGGACACCGTAGGATGCACACTTATTTGGCCACCGCTTGTCGTAGCATGCGAATGCGAGAGCAGCAGTCTGCGGGAACGTATGCTGGCATGGTATAAGATGAAACGCCGGCATGGATTCATGAACCTGGAGATCTCCAAAGACGTAGCTCAAGAAGTGTGGCGCCGGAGACGGTCTGCTGCTACGGCGACAGACGTGCATTGGCAGGACGTTTTGGAGGAGATGAACCTAGATATTGTCCTCGCGTAGGACTGGAGCACAAGTACACCTCAAGGATGTTCATCCGTAGCGAATTCAATGGAGGTGAGCTCCTCGAAGTTCACAATCTGAACTGCGGTCAAAAAGCCAGTCACGTGCGCGTATTCACGTGATTGCATGCCAAGGCACTAACTGGGTGCTTACAGTTTGTTTATGCTTCTCCCAACTCGGAACGAGACTGACGAAGCGGACCAGACGTATACACTGTATGTACCAGTACCCGACACACCTCGATTGTCCCAACATCGACACCATCCTCTCCGCTCCGGTCTTGAGATATCTTCTAGCCAGTCCAACTTGCCGTCGTGAAGCCATGGCTCCCGGTAATGCACGCAAGAGAAAGTCGGACGAGATGGAGGAGACCCCACGCGCAGTTACGCCCACAGGCAGTCCAGTACACAAGAAGATGAAGATCACGCAGACGCAGAAGCAAGCATTGATGGACAACCTACAACTCGAAAGTGAGGACGGCCATATGACTATCGACGGAGAATTGTCTGTTAACCCACACACGCAGTAACCGAACGAGCTCGACAGCTCCGGGCTGGATATGCACTCCAATGCGCCGACCTACGAGCTCGAATCGAACGACGCGTCAACCGAATTCCAATTGCTCTGCGTAAAATGACCATGAGAGAATTGATGGACCAGCATGACGCCGCCCGAAAGAAAACTACGACACAGTCCAAAATAAACAGCAAGTCATCGCCATCCAAAACAGGCACTTCAGTAGCCGACGAAAGACCACTTCCCCCGCTGCCGCAACATCAGCAGAAAGAACAGCGATCAAAACCGACCTCACCTATACGTCCACAGCCTCAAGCAGCCGCCCCTCGAGGCAGGAAACGCAAGAGCTCCGACATCCACATTGCGTCCGACAAGGAAAACGAGGCGATTGACTCGTTACCCGTTGCGAAGAACAACAAGCGCGTCAAAGCTGGAACCGCAACTGCAGCTGCAACGCGCACTGTGTCCCGAACAGGGAAGAACGCGTCGGTATTATCTCCCAGATCGAACAATTCCAGGACGCTCCCTCGATCACCCGTCAAGGATTATCCCACGGCCGCACCGTCGTCTCCAGCCAAGAGCATGATTGCGCGGCCCATATCACCGTTGAAACCCACATCTCCTCTCAAGACAGCCGCGACTGCCGCGACCTCGGCCATTTCGGCATCTGTGCATGGGATGATTGAACACGCCAAGCGGGGCACCACGTCCAGACTCGCCAGGACGGCATCTAAGGAGAAACAGCCTGTTACTGCTGCAACTTCGAAGGGACAAATGCTGCCGCCGCCACGCCCTGGCGCAGGTACAATCACAGTGTCAGGAACCGGACAGGGACAGTCCTCGCCCCAACGTGCATTCAGCCAAACCAGCACCCACAGCGCCACGACCGATGTCTCCACCGCGTCAAGCAGCACGACCGTAGTCAAGCCAAAGCGAGGGGGCCGAGCTGGGGCCACTGCCACCACAGCGGCCAAGACAGCGGGACAGCAGCAGCAACAATCACAAAAGAGTCCCGGCGCGACCAGAAGAGGTGTTGCAAAGGCAGCCAGTGCCGCCAAGACAGCATTGAAGCGGAACAACACGACAGCCAACAAGAAGGTGGCACCCGAGCCCGCTGCGCCGCGGAGGATCTTGAGGAAGAGAAACTGAACAAGTGCAACTAGTAAACGATGGTTCTGGAACGGTTTACGATGCTTAAACGGGGTTAAGAACGGGAAGTCTTGAGGTGTATATGATTTCAATGCTGGAGTCATGGTTCAATCTGATATGGAGAAGAAGAAGAAGACTTTGGAGCTTGAATCGGCCAGGACGAGACTGAGGTCATTGAACCACTTATTTTTTCTTTCTTTTTTCTTGAAACGTCATGCAAGCGAGGGGCGGGCAAGCCATCATCGGTTTTGGGTTCATTGCCGCAGAGGATTTGATTCTTTCCACGTTGTCCCATGGAAGGGCGAAGCCTGTTGGGGCTAGGGCACGATGTGTGTTTGCTTCTTGTTCACTACCAGTGTTGTTTGAGTTGGAGTTTCAAATTCAACCATGAGAGACGACGCGCGAACGAACATGATGTTGATTAATCGTCCCGCCCCACTGCAGTAGATGTAGCTTGGACGTAGGCATTGGAGTCTGAAGGTTGGTTCTGTGTTTCTGTCTCTGTCTTTGGATCGAGTTCGTTGCTTTCTCCGTTTTAGGTGGGTTATCCATATCGCGTACATAAACTCGAACAGTAACAACCTCTCAGTCCCGATCGACCAAAGATGGACGTTTTACCTGTTGTGCTAACCTATCGGTCTTGTCTCAACTATGCATTTGTTCAGCTGCAGTGTTTCAGCAACCATCACATGGAATTGAATCGACTGTGATGGGTAGCAGGAGGAATAGATAGAGTACCAAAATATTACTGTGGGACATAGTATATTTACTGGAGATATACCTTTAACCCCTTCACCCCAGCGCAACGATGCAAGACGAAACTCCGAAACTCATCATCGTATAAACTTAATAAAGGAAACGCATCGCACGGACCATCTATTTATCGCACTGCTCAACTTGACCTTGGATGCCCGTTATGTACCTTTACTTCACAATAAGCTAGGTAGGTGGTACTACCTTAGTTAGTACCTTACTTCTCCATACTTGGATCGGCAGGTAAGGGACAAAGTACAACCATAGTATGAGCTACCGTACCTATGTTACATGCTCGTTTTCATCTCGCTGCTGCCAAGGTACCTCTGCGGGCGAGCTTCTCGTTCACACTCCGACAGACCTGTGCACCATCGAGTAATTCAATTCGTATTCTGACATTCGTCAAGGATTCTTCCTCGACTCTGAAGAGTATCCCTCATCCGAAGCCCCTGGACACGCTGGTGCATAATCCGTGATTCCCATATCTGTTTCTCTTCCATACTACTACTAGTACAGCCTCTCTGGCGGCAACCACTTCCACCTCGAGCCCCGACTGCTCCTCCAGCTCCTCGCCTTGTTCCAGAGTGCCCCTTCATGCCACTTCTAGACCGTTCAAATCGTGGCAGGCGACATCAATAATCTAGTTCGGCGCCACTTCCCGCTTGCGCAGCAGCCTGGGCACCTGCACCACCTCCAGCCCCGTTGGGTTGAGCATCAAGATCCTCGTAGCTCTTTATGCTTCGGCCTTGGACGGCCTCTCGAGGTCCGACGGCATTCATGCCCCCGCCGGCTCCATCTCCCCATTTCCCGCCACCACCTCCACCGCCTTGCGCGATAAACCCGGGATTAAGTCCAGGTAGAAGGTTGCCTCTCATCATCGACCCCACATTGTTGTACCCGCGTTGAGTGTTGCGCTGGTTGCGGTCATATGGACCCGACCGATTGCCATACCTTCCTCCACCGCGACGAATAGGACCCCCAGAATGACCCCCGCCACCATTCATCCCGTCCGTGTTGAAGTTGACACCCGGCACAAATGGTGTTTGCGCGTTGGCCATGCCCAACATGGCGTTCTGGCCAAAGTTCATCATGTTCATCCCCATGTTCTGCAGACTGAATCCACGAGGAGTCCCGTTGTTGAGGTGATGATTGCTAGGTAGTGGGAAATGGCCGTTCGAGTTGGCATCGGAGCGCGACGGTGCAATATGCGATGGGTCCAGCACATATCGGTTGACGAGTTCGAGCTGCCACAGAGTTAGTAACCAAATCAAATCAGGAGCAAAACCAATACTCACGTCATTTTTGAGACCTTGGAACCATTCCTCGTGTCTCTTTTCCACGTGCTTCCTCCAAAAATGCTCGGCTTTAAACAACTTGGTACACTCTGGAACTTTGCATCGAAACTTGGCTTCGTCTTCTTGTTTGACGAATTTGGCAAGTTCTTCGTTCAACGCTTCTTCCACAGGCCGCCCACCGATCTTCTTCAAGTCGACATATTCGGGCTCCAGGATCTGCAAGACCTTTTCTTCAAAAGTCTTGACCCAATTGAACGCCCGCAGGAGCTGCTGATCGTTCTTGTTGTACTTGGAAGGTCGCTTTTCCTGCACGGGACTGAGGGGCTCGCCGTCGTAGCCTTCCTTCTTGCTTCCCGGGAACGGTTCGCCAAGAGCGCTGGCTCGGGCAGCAGCTTTGGCCGCACTACTCAGCCCAGCCCTTGGTCGTCGAAGATGACCTCCAGGACACTTTCGAACGAGCTCGTGAACCGAATCGGACTCGAAGACGCAGAACAGACAGAAATTGTAGACTCGTCGAAGATATTCCACCATCAAGTCGAGTTTCTTCTTGATCACCAACAGCTCTTCGTCATCCTGCTCCTCTTCATTTTCTTCTCCTTCCTCACCCTCTTCGTCAAATTTGATTTCATCGTCGTTGTCCTCGAAGTTTGGCTTCTTGGGCTTCGGTGGAGGTTGCAGCAGACCCTGATTCCTCATCTGCTCCACTCTAGCGTCGATCTTGACCAGCCCGCCGTCTGTCTCATCCTTGCCCATTTCCGAGTCGAGCTTCGAGATCAGTCTCCTGGCGAGCTCGTAATCCCGCTCGATCCGCTCCGGGGCCGAGAACAAATCCCAAAGAGCCTTCTTTCGAGGGGCATTGGGTGCGTTGTGAACACCAACGTGGCATGTGAAGTCCCCGCGATCAGGATCGGTGATTGTCTTGCCATTGATCAGCTCCAAGGCCTTTTGAGCAACACTTTTCTTTTCCGATTCCGCTTTTTCTTCACCCTCCTCACCGTCATCGTCACGACCATCCCCTCGCTCGACCTCCTGCATGGCGTCACCATCTTCATCCGGGCCAGGTTTGAGCATGATCCACCCAATGCGGTGAAACTTCTTGGCCGGATTGGGGTCGCTCAACGACAAACCCTTGAAGCCGCCCTCGTCCTCACCGAGATGTTCCTTGCAGAACTCCTCGATCCGATCGCGGCCGACATTTGGTGCCAGGGTTTTGATAAGAAGGGCTGGCTCATACATTGACTCGTCTTTCAGATCGCCTCCTTTGGCCGGGACCAGGTCTAGCACGCCCAAAACCTCCCCGCCACCGACGGCCTCGCCTTCTTCCTTTTCCACCATACCACCAGCGCCGTCACTGTCGTTCTTGTAGATTCCCTCCAGTGTGAATTCGTCAAAGACGCCGGTCTCGATGTCGTTGCACCATCGGTCGAAAGCACCTTGGCGGGACTGCATCAGGCGCTTCCGGATCGGATCCCGTACCTCGGGGACGTAGCGTTCTTTGAACCATTCTTCATTCTTGTGCTGCATGACGAATTGCTTGGCCATCTTGATCTGGAATTCTTGTTTGTACTGATCGTATGCTTGCTGGATCTGTGCCCGTTCTTTTTCTCGTTCTTCTCGGGCCTCTCGCTCACCCTTGACGCGATCCGAGGGTCGTCGTCCGCCATGCTTGGCTCGCTCTTTCTCTTCTTTGATCTGGTTTTCGCATCTCCACCAATCGGCAAAAAAGCTGAATCCGGCTTGTGTGTCGAGCGAGAGCGGGTTTGCCAGTGGATTAACCCGAACTACAGGTTTACTAGGTTCTTGTCCGGGCACGTACCGGTCGATATTGGCACCACCTGGGGACGGGGCCCGTCTTCGGTCATCTCTTTCTCTGGGCGCAGCTCTTGCTGCATCGTAGTAGTCGTCCCGTGTGGTGCGATCGCGGTCAGGCTGATAACGGTCAATGCCCACGGGCGAGCGCGAACGATTTCGAGGCGGTGGACGTCGGCGGTCACTCACTAATTTGATTGTTAGTTAGGCCGGGTGCTTCTTTATGAAACCACATACCTGGGGATCGTCTCCGGTACGAATCCGTCCGATCGTATGGTGGCTCCTCATCGCGAGGTCGGTATCTGGCCGGTGGGGATCTCTCTGATCTGTCGTTGGGAGGAGAACCGTATGCTTCATACGGATTCATCTTGACTTGTTTGGTTGACTTTTGGGGAGGGTATCTGCTCTTGGAGCCCGGTCAATCCTGGTTCAGGACTGTCTCATTCAATCCTCCACGGCCTGCTGTGAAGATTAAGTGATGTCGTTCTAGGTAATCCCGTCTTCGTGTATTCGTGCGATGGCGATTCGAAAGCTAAGAGGAAAGAGAGTAAAGGTTAGATTTGGGTCAAAGACAGTGTGACTGGAGGATGGCATCGTGGTGGGATTGTGGTCGATGATCAAGAAAGAAGAAAAAAAATCCGTTGGCCTCGATGCCACAACGTGGAAGGGATATGTAGTCAAGCAAGAAGGGCGTAGATATGTAGTGCAAGAATGTAGACCTTGGTCAAGAGTCCGTCAAGCTATCGGGGGATCAAGATGACAAGGTAAAGAGCCGCGATCGGGACCGCAAAGCGAGGGAAATGGAATGATGACAATATGATTCGAGGCGATGAACCTACAAGATAGGGAGGTAGAGGGCGACAGAACGCTGGTCTGGCGATGCAAAGCCAGATGATTGAAGTTGTGTTGAAGTGAATTAAGGCGACTGAGGAACCGCTGGCGCGCTGAGGCACTGCGCCAGACACAAGAGGCGACGCTGCCGTTGACAGGTGATGCGGCGGCGCAGGAAGCTAGTAACGCTGTCAGGAAGAGCGCGCTGCAGGTCAGGTTCGTGTCAGTAGCAATGATTGGCAGGAAAGTACAAATAATGGGCTGCCACTGCAATGGATAGTCTACGGTGGTGCATAAGTACAGCCGATAACTTGGATGAGGCTCTGGTCTTGCACGTGATATGGCTTTCGGTTCACCATGCCGCGCTGATGCTGTCCTTGAGTTGAAATCAAGGCAGAAGTCATTGGTTCTTTGGTACGCGACGCGGTCTGAAGACAACCTTATGATGCCAATATACCTATATAGGTATCTAAGTAGTATGGAAACGAGTGTGAGACCACTATACTCAACCAATGAATATCGTGGACGGCCTCGGGCCATATCCTTCCACGTCGATTTCACGCAGTCATTCCATTTCATTATTGCTCTTAGAGTCCACAAGTGGCCATATCGACACTGGAGTCGTACCACATAATCCATCAAACAGAAACCGGGTTAGACACGTCCTCGCGTGATCTTGCTTCATCGCTCGACGTGCTCTCCCACCGGCATCCCCTTTCCCATCCACTCAGTGAGAAGCTCCCAATCTCGCTCATCTAGGGCGGGGTCATGGATACCGTACCGCGCGATCAGCAAGCCTACCAGACTTCCGCTCTTGGCTCCAGCCCTGTGGCCGGGCCGCTCGTCAGGTTCGTCGACCCAGTCGTGTTCCCGCAAGATCTCGTCCCGGTTGGCCACCGAGACATTATCAGTAAAGCGCTTGAGCAAGTTCAGGCTGTCTTGGTCGAACACTGCATCCTCGGTGCCCTGCAGGTTGATGATCGAGCAAGCGAGCTTGTGCTCACGGATCTGTTCACCGGTGTTCCCTGTGTGGCATGGTAGTCAGAGCTTGGGTTAGACATGAGCAGTCCATCTCATAGTTGTGTTTGTGTTTTTCTTCAGGTAGGGAGGCTTCGCGCCGCCTGTTATTCAGCAGCGGCCGGAGGGTTCTCATCTTACATGTGCCTTTTGTGTTCGACATGACGCCGACTGTATGTAGCCCGTCAGATATGCTGTCTGGAGAAGGTGAGTAGTAAACTTCAGGTAAGCGAATATAGGTACACTGGCTGTCGAACACATCCACAGACAGGGAAGATGTTGTTCGGTGGCCAGGGAGACAACCGTGAGGTTTCAAGGGACAACCTCCAACCTAGAACCCTGTCAATGTCAGGTCAAAAGTTTAGTACCAACCGATGCCTGCCCAAGTGTGTGTGATCGCCCGCATAGGTCTCCTGCCTGCTTTCAGGAACACCGCATCAAGCACAGTTCTACGCATACTTCCTGACACAGTACTAGGCGACAGATAAAGTCCAGGGAAAGACAATAAATGAATGTCCAACTTGAACTTGAGGTGGGAGGTTAATGGATCTTAGAGATCATGTGATATCACATGATCGGAACCGCCCAATCGATGATCGCAGACTGGCCGCGCAAGGTCCTCACTTCCGAAGGCAGCCCGATTTCTTCCTAGCCCAACTTCCACCTCGAATTGGACAAATCGTAGCAGAGCATTTACTGATTCCTGGCCGTGCGAAAGAGGCTCCCGGGTCAGGGTCTCTTCGCCCTCGGGCCAGCAATGATGATGATATATGGAACAGAGAATACTTTAGTTGTCCCTCTCGAACTTTCACAGGTGTTCGATGTAAGCATTTTTGTCAGTACTGCATTTATTGCCCACGATCGCAACCAACGCTGCCATTCTTTTCTGCTCGATCGTTTCGCCGGAACTTTGCGCATGTTGGTGCTGTGCGTAAGCGGCTTGTCACTAATCGATTTCGGATCATGAGATATCAAACACTGCGGTTCACGATGTTCTACAAAGAGCCCAAAGACGACAGTAGGCACATGCACACCACGCAGTCCCCTAGCGCTACGTCGTCTGCCTCGAGCCTTCGTTCTCCCACCTCGAGTGTATCCTTGCTGTCAAGATATTCCACAAGTTCTGCGCACCACACAGGGTCGAGAACAGATGGAGATCAGAGGAAGAGCTGATATACAGAACTGAAAGAGGACAAATAACGTACCCGATACGGGACAGGCCGTCGATTGTGGGAAAGGTATACATGAAGCGACGAACTACCGTTTGGCGCAGCCGTGCGGACACCCAGGTCAAGAGGTCCATCATGCATATGCTGCCCAAAAATCATACAGGCACGCACCACATCAACAGGTTGGCGGTCTTCAAGTCGCCTCTCGGCGCAGGTCATGACATTGTGAGATGCGAGGCCTCGACTGGCATGCAGCACGATGCAATGCGTAACGTCTCAACGCGGCACAGCGATCTGGTGCAGCAGAGGCTTCATGATTAAGAAGATATCAAAATCACCGTGCCCACGGTTGACAGGATAAGACGATCTCCATTGAGGTTTAAATAATGAAGAGAGCGTGGGCTGAATATGTTATACGCCGTTGTTATACAATTATGCAAGGGCCGGGATGGTGGCGCGGGATGGTATGGCTTGTATGTGTGGAGGGTTACCTTGGAGTCGGACACCATTTGGCTGTGCTTTGATTGGATCTGGGATATTAAGCATGGTGTTGTTCAAGTTGGGTGCATGTGGACGAGGACGTCAGCTTCTACTAGTAGCGTTTGGATGCAGTGTTGGTCTCGTGAGTCAAGGAGTTTTTGTCTCCAAACTGAAGGAACACTTTGGAACATTTTCACATGCGACCATATAATTGCCCAACTGGTTCGTTCAGGAAATATCGGCCGAGACAGACTGGTCCGCAACCTATAAGATGTCAGATGACTGTAATGAGGAGTTGACGTATCATAATAGCCAGAGATGGAGGACTGGCGTTGTGCAGAAGAGCCAATAGTGGGCACGGGGAAAGTCTCCGAGGCAACTGGCATGTGAAGTGCGAAGAGGGCGCAGTAGTACTCGCAGTAGTAGCTGAGGGTGTGTTTTTGGGTCGTCGGTCTTTGGCCGAATATTAAATGGAACCCAACGCTTACAATCGAACCAAAGTCTTTGGGGTACGAGTTGTGGGCGAAACCGGGGCTTATGGGCCTGTCGGTGCCTCCAAACTAGTAGCTAGACTGTTCAAGCCCTCAGTGGAGAGAACAGCGAGCGCTGGCCCCCCATGCTGGAACCTAGACACACCATAATCATATCAGGTGCTGTGTCGCCCAGCGCCCATGTTTTGGGCATTATTCCCCAAAGCCGGAGGCCCGGAGCATGGGCCGTGAGACAGCCCGGCGACATGAACGGCACAGCAGAATGGATCAAGAAATAAAATGGACGATATACTAGCACAGTAATATATATACACACACTAACCCCAGGATAGAGTCGGGCGACATACAAAATACTACTGACTGTGTTCTGTAGCTGTGTCAGTGAACAGTTACTGTGGGCGGATTTGTGGGCACCAGTCAGCGACGGCATATTACTGTGTACCCAGATCGTACTACTAGTAGTCCTATAAACACCTGCTTTCGCTTGACTGCAGTGCTCGGCCATCATACATCGGTGCCGAGGTTCACATCAATCTCACTCCCACGCAGCGCATTTGCATTACCACGACTCTGCCCCTGCGCTGCTGTGACCACGAGGCGGCTTCTGCGGCGATTTACACCTGAGCATCCACGACAGCCATCTATTACTGTTCCCCTGCAGCTCGGCCTCTGGCAGGTGATCGATTCACCTTCCATACAAAAACCGTCCTTCTCCCTCTTCCTACCGTCCTCACTCCATCCACTTCGCTCCCTGAGTCCGTCTACTCGCCTTCAAGATGTCTTCTCCTCGTGTTATTGTCGTTGGCGGTGGCCGTAAGATGACCCTTCTGCGATTCCTTTCCGGTCTTGTCTGACATGTTTTCGCAGTTTCCGGCCTCAGCGCAGCCCACACTGTCTATCTCAATGGAGGCAGCGTCCTGCTTCTGGACAAGAACAGTGAGTGTCCATCTTCACATTCCACTTCGTGCGATTTCATCTAACCGTGCCGACAGACTTCTTTGGTGGTAACTCGACCAAGGCCACCTCTGGCATCAACGGTGCCTTGACCCGGACGCAGGTCGACCTCGGCATCCAGGACAGTGTCAAGGCATTCTACGAGGACACACTCAAATCAGCCCGTGACAAGGCCCGGCCAGACCTCATCCGAGTCCTGACGTATCAGTCCGCAGCGGCCGTCGAATGGCTGCAGGATGTTTTCAACCTCGATTTGACGCTTGTCTCGCGACTTGGGTATGTAAACTTTGTCAAATCATGCATCGTACAGTGGCTAATCAGATACGCAGTGGACATTCCTTCCCTCGAACACACAGAGGACACGATGCCAAATTCCCCGGCATGGCCATCACCTATGCGTTGATGCAGAGATTGGAAGAGCTGTGCGAGTCCGACCCTGAAAGAGTACAGGTCATCAAGAAGGCCAAAGTCACATCGTTGAACCACGAGGGTAACCTCGTGACCGGCGTCACGTATGAGTATGGCGGCGAGAAGCACTCGGTGGACGGCGTGGTAATTCTCGCCACCGGCGGCTACGCTGCGGATTTTGGTCCCGACTCTCTGCTCAAGAAACACAGACCTGATACTTTCGACTTGTCGTCCACCAACGGCACTCACGCCACCGGAGATGGCCACAAGATGTTGATGGCCATCGGCGCCAACGACATTGACATGGACAAGGTCCAAGTCCATCCCACCGGTCTGGTAGATCCCAAGGATCCTCATTCGAAGTGGAAGTTCTTGGCTGCCGAAGCCCTCCGAGGCGAAGGCGGTATTCTTCTGAACAGCGATGGACAGCGATTCTGCGATGATCTCGGTCACCGGGACTACGTGTCGGGAAAAATGTGGGAAGAACGGGACAAGGGCAAGTGGCCCATCCGACTTGTGCTCAACTCCAAGGCGTCCAACGTCTTGGACTTCCATACCCGCCACTACTCTGGTCGTGGTCTGATGAAGAAGATGACTGGCCGAGAGTTGGCCAAGGAGATTGGCTGCGGAGAGGAGGCCCTCGACCGACAGTTCAAGGAATACAACGCCATCGCCGAGGGTAAGAAGAAGGATCCTTGGGGCAAGAAGTATTTCCACAACATGCCCTTCGATATTAACGATACTTTCCACGTCGCCGTGATGGAGCCTGTTCTTCACTTCACCATGGGTGGAATGGAGATCAACGACAAGGCGCAAGTCCTAAACAAGGAACACAAGCCCTTCGAGGCATTGTGGGCCTGTGGTGAGTTGGCCGGTGGTGTTCACGGTGCCAACCGTTTGGGTGGATCGTCGCTTTTGGGTTGTGTGGTTTACGGTCGTGTTGCCGGAGCTTCGGCATCCCAATATTTGTTCCAGAAACTCACGGCTGGAGGTGCCACCGGGGCAGCACAACGTCTGGGTCAGATTTCGCTACATATTGACCCTAACAGCCCTGGCAAGATTTCAGTGGAGTGGGGCAGCGGCAGTTCTGGAGCAACTGGATCATCTGGCGGCTCTGGAGGCTCGGCCGGTACTGAAACCACGGCAAAGCAGGCTCAGAAGACGGCTGCTCCCGTGATGGATGGCAACAAAAGCCAAGATCCTGGCAAGAAAAAGGAACACAACGACATAAGCTCGTTTAAGGTCCCAGAGAAGGAGTTCAGCTTGGAAGAGATTGCCAAGCACAACAAGAAGGATGACCTCTGGATCGCCGTCAAGGGCGTTGTTATGGATGTCACCAACTGGCTCGATGAGCACCCGGGTGGCCCTCAGGCCCTTTTCAGCCACATGGGCCGGGATGCCACTGAAGGTAAGTTATTGCATCCGGTATGATTGATGGAAGCATAAGACTAACTTGGCGTCTATAGAGTTCGAAATGCTGCACGACGACGAAGTCATCCCCAAATATGCCGCGGACATTGTCATCGGGCGTGTCAAGGGTCAAGAGGTGCGACTAGAGTACTAATCAGTAGTACTGTACGTCGTGTGCCAGTGGGTGGCCAGTATAGTGTTCAACTTTGGTTTTGTGGAGGAGAAGCATGGAGTTGAGCCTTGTATAACGGACAGCATTGAGAAAGCCGGAATAATAAAGAAACATTCTTGAAGCTTTGTGTTCCATTGTACTGTAGCTACCAGGTATTCTGTTTGCACTGACGGTCGATCGGGCCTACAGTAGCCTGGGAGTGGCGGTCGTTGAAGGGCTATCCCAGATATATCGATGGCGATGAGATGAAATGAAATGACTGTGGAGAAAGTGCGGCGTGCAGGACCGAGTTTCAGTCTGACCGCGAACGTGGGCGACCGGCGGCCTTAATTCCCCAGCCTGACTGAATCACTGATTAGGTATTGACTCTGAGCCGATCTGTGCAGAATTGCTGCCCGCTTCACTTTCAACGTCGCGTGCGACCGACTTTGAGTTCTTCCAACATCAAGCTCTTCACCATTTGTATTGATTGTTGCACACTACACCTCACATCAATCCTCCTGCTTTAGACGTCCACCGCATCTTCTAGCCACCAGTCGCAGTCTTCTTGAAAGGTAAGAAATTACTTGCCGACCGTTTGCCCTTTGTTCTCAGTATGCGCCTGCTCGCTCTCTTCTCTGCCCTGTGCAACTACAACAGCCTGAGGTTCATGTCCGCACAACCGTTTCTGGTGAAACAGGTTACGGATAGTCTTAAATGAGGCAGTGGACAACACACAAAATAGTCCGTCTGTTTAGGGTTCTGAAAGTCAAGGCGAGGCGAGGCGAGGCTCAGATGCAGAGGGCGGCGCGCAGGCAGTCTCTTATGATTGCTTTCTTGCACTGCACCCCACGGGGGCGATGAGACAATGCTGGATGTGGTGGCGACTGCTCGAAGGGACTTGCTAATTACTGCCACAGTAGAACTACCTACCAGTCGGGAATTTCCTCGCTCAGACAACTTCTCCTCCCGTGCCTTGACGGCCCTTCATATTGCACACCGGTCACCTCAGCCTCAACCTTCTCTTTCCGCACGCACGCCCACAAGATGGATCGACGGGAGATTCTTTCCAAAGGGTCAGCGATCCAAAAGGCGATTGCGGCGAAAGAGCCATCGGAAAACATATTGACGATTCTGCGGGACCTGAAGGCGAATGTGCGACCGAGCGAAGACCTACTGCGATCGACGGGGATCGGCAAGATCGTGAACAAAGTCAAGGGAATCCCCGGCATGGATCCGCAAGTGGCACAGTTGGCTTCAGAGATTATTAGTCGATGGAGACACATTGTGAACGAGCAGAAGCTGGCCAGCGGGACTTCGACGCCAGTCGGGGCGCGATCCAACGGGACGAGTTCACCGGCACCGAAAGCAAACACGCCGACGCCCAAGGCGGCCAGTCCGGCCGGCGTGGCACCAGACAAGCGAAACTGGAAGGCCGACAAAGTGCCGCGCGACGACCTGACCAACGACACGGCGCGGAATAACTGCATAGGACTCATGTACGATGGATTGTGTCTGGGGTCGGACTTGCCGATGAAGCAGATTCTGGATCTGGCCAAAGAGATTGAGTCGGCGGCGCTGAACTTGCCGGAAGCCAAGGGGTCGTCCAGTTCGCCCGTGTACAAGGACAAGATCCGGTCTTTGTATCAAAACCTCAAGAATAAATCCAACCCGGGGCTACGCAAGCGGATCCTCAGCGGGGAAGTGACGGCGGTGCGGTTTGTGAGCATGACACACGAGGAAATGAAGTCCAAGCAGCAGCGGGAGGAGGAAATCAAAATCGCAAAGGAGAACATGAACAATGCCATGGTTGCCCAAGAGGAAAAATCCGTCAGCACCAGTCTCGAGTGTGGCAAGTGTCATCAGAAGAAAGTCAGTTACTCCCAGGCCCAGACTAGGAGTGCTGATGAACCGATGACTACCTTTTGCGAATGTTTGAATTGTGGGAATCGGTGGAAGTTTTCATGAACAAGGAACGAATCAGACAACAATAATACCAAAAGTTTGTTCATACAAACAAGCCAGCTATTTTGTTTCGTGGGGAAAGGAAACGAAACGAAAACGGGAACATGCTCGTCCTTACTTCGCGGTGCTTGTGTGTGTGTGAGTACAGTATCAGCCATGGCGCGGGCTGTGGCGTTGGTGAGGTTGGGGCTCACGTCCTCGACCTGGCTGGATGAGAGAGCAAGCCCGAAGAGAGTTGTGTGGCTGCTGCTATTCCTCGCTCGCTCGCGATCTCACTTACTCACTGTATCAACTGGTCTTCTCTCGGTGCGAAATTGAATGATCGGGTCTCGACTCAGGCGGCGGAACGGAATCAGGTACTAGCGAGCCTGGTACACTTACATATGCCGATTGCGGGTCTGGCTGGCAGCATATCTCTGGATGCAACAAACGGTTCTTTGGCATACGCAAAAAACTCAATGCAATATCATCCGAGATCGAGGCATTATCTTTCCCAAAGAAGGAGAGAAGCCAGAGGTCGATTCGACAAGCATGGTTCGATTCTCTTATTGGTTGAGGCCAGGGCTGAAGAGGGACGACAATCGGCCTCGTTTGGCACTGCATGGCATGGGATGGCTTGGACATGGACATGGCAATGAATGGAAATGCCTGACCTGCTTCTTCAGGCACTGCAATATGGACTGAATCACTACCTTATCCGATGACCCTCCTCAGCTGTGGCCTGCCTCTGGAATTGATACTGTCGTTGGAATGCAGTGGGATGCGGACAGGATGGGATGGGATGGGATGGGACGGTTTGGGTCACGACTGAGTCACAGTCACAGTGCGCGCGTCCATCAATCACCTTTTTCTACCTACTTTGCTTTTTGGTCAAGGGTCCAATTGAATGCAATCATTGAATGCCGTGAGATGCTCCACGATATGATCCCATACCCACTGCATGGCATGGCAATAGCAGTTCAGAAACTCGAATGGATGTTACTTTTCGTTTCCAATTAGTACCTTTATGTCTCAATGGTTCCCTTCTCTGTTGAACATTACTAGTATGTAGCTGATATTATAATAGTAGAGAAATGCAGTGGGAAGAGGGTGTACTAGTATGTACTATATGTATGTATACCTTCTACTTACCTTACCTTTGGCCCTCCATTTCAGCATTGTTTGGGGTCTCTGGACTGAAACCTCTACTCTTACACTATAGAAAGGTACATTTGCAAAAGCTGAGGTATAACGTTTTTACAGTAGGGACCTTAGTTCGCTGGCGCGGTCCGCAGCATTACACTGCATCGTGTATTACATCGTGTATTTACAACCTCGACTCAGCGACAACGCCCGAAACAGCCTTGGCCACCGTTCTGCCCGCAACGTACCCCGAGAAAATACAGCCTCCTAGAAACGTGCCTTCGAGAGACGCGTAGCCGTGCATTCCGCCGCCGCCGAAGCCGGCTGCTTCACCTGCGGCGTAGAGACCTGGGAAGGGACGTAGATGATTTGAACCCTCACTGTCACCCCAACCCTTCGGAGTCGAACTTGAACTCTCACCCTCCGGGTTCGAGTTCGGGTTCGAGTTGGTCATGACATTACCATCCAAATTGGTCTGCAGACCACCAAGGGATTTGCCCGTCAACAAGTTCATGCGCACGGCGATCAAAGGCCCAGCGGCGGGATCGAGAATCTTGTGAGGGGGCGCAACTCGAAGTTTCTCTGGCCAGTGTTTGCGCGCGTTGGCGATGAGCATGATCTGCGAGTCTTTGGTGTAGTTGTTGTCGAGTTGCATGTCGCGGGTTTGGATTGCGGTGAGAATCTGAGTGTAGTCTAGAACCGGAACGTCCCTGGGACTGTCATTTCCATCTTCTTCTTGTTGTTCATGTTCTTTTCTCTTCCGTTCATTAAGTCGATTCATGCCCTCGACCAGCGCACGCAAATCGTTTTCGACGACAAAATCCTCACCATGCTGAAGGAACGCCTGCACCGCATCCGTCCCCCTGTCGGACCAATACCTCTGCCGAAAAAACTGCAAGTAACTTTTCCCCGTGACGTCCGGGTTCTGCTCGGACCCCGAAAGGGCAAACTCGCGCGCGACGATCTTGCGGTTCAAAATGAACCAGGTGTACCCATAACCCGTGGCGCAGATGTGTTTGAGCGTCGCGAGCGTGTCGCAGCCAGGATACAGCGGCGGAGGTAATCGGTTTCCCATGGCGTCCAGCCATAGTGACGACGGACCTGGGATCACGCGGATCCCGTGGTTCGGCCAGATCGGGTCCCAGTTCACCAGGCCTTCAGTGTAATGCCACATGCGGTCCATGTTGGTCAATCGCGCCCCGGCGGCCGATGCGATCTCGAGCATCCGTCCGTCCACGTGTGCTGGGACCCCGATCACGAAAGAGTGGCTGTCGGGGATGGTTGGTCCCAGGCGCGAAACGGGCCAGTTGCGTCGAACGAGTGGTAGATTCCCTCCGATCCCGCCTGTTGCGATGATCACTGCTCGTCCGTGGATGGAGAAGGGCCCAACTGTCGTTCGGGGTGATGCTGCTCCCCGCGCCAGTGTGGTGGGTGTCAGGATTTGTCCGGATACACCGACCGCTGCGCCGGTTGAAGGGTCCAGAATGAGTGAGTCGACGCGGTGGCGGTAGCGGAATGTTACGAGGTGTTGTTGGTGGTGAGTGCCGCTGTCTGCTTTCGGTTGCGTCTCCTGCTGCTGTTCCTGTTCCTGTTGCTGTTGCTGCTCCTCTTGAGGTTGGGCCTTGTTCTTGGTCGACCACCACCATGACGATGATGATGATCCTCCCGGAGGTGAGATAGGTGTCTTTGAAGCCCGGACAATAGGCTCGGCGAATGCCCTCACAATCTCAGGCCCGGTGCCCCATGTCAAATGAAATCGGGGCACCGAGTTGCCATGTCCGTCTGCACGACCATCTCCCCGTTCGGCCCAGCCCACTGACAGAAACTTGACGCCTCGGTCTTGGAGATAGCGTTCCATTTTGTTGGTCGCAAAATCGACGAATGCTTCGGCCCATTGATGCGCCCAGAAGTCTTGGTCCTGGTCCTGGTCCTGGTCCCGCTCGTCATTCTCATCATCCATTGGCACCCTCTCCGCCTTGCTGGTGGCGGATGAAGCTTGGAGACTTTGCACGGGGTCGTTACTGTTGCTGTCCCCTCCCGTTTTGGGCTGCTGGTTGCTTTTTGTGCTGTTCTGCTTTCGCTTGGGTAGACGATCGAACTTGGCAGTGTTCATCCAGTCTGCCAGGGCCAGTGCATGGCTGTCGCGGACGCCATACCTACGCTGTGTGGCGGAATTCACGCAGAAAATGCCGCCTAGTGACCAGTAGGCCTGGCCACCGAGGTTATTTTCGTTCTCTTGCTCGACAATCGTCACGGGGACATCTTTGCGAGTCAGTTCGTACGCGGCCACCAGACCCGCAAGACCAGCGCCGATGATGATTACCGGTTGATGTTGGGATGGTAGTAGTTGTTGATGTTGATGTTCGGCCATTGTGGCCTGCCTGCCTTTGCCTGTAAGATCCTAATACTGCTGATGAACTCCAAGTGTCATAAAAGGGTTGACGTTGACAGTTGCTCCGGAGAGTCCTATAGCTGATTGAGTCTGGGGCCGTGTGTACTCCAATGGGTTGCGGCAATCTACGGATGAATATGTACCGGCAAGAAGAGAGACAAGAAGACATGTATCAGATGATGTGATGCTCGCTTACCGGAGAGTTTTGTCCTTCAGATTCAATGTTACCTGAACTAGTGATAGAGTTGTACACTGCAGTACATAGTAGAGCATTGCCGAGCCCCCAAAGCATGCTCTAGGCTGGGTTGATGCGTCGGCTGTTGGCAGTACACATGTTGCCTTTTGGAGTTCACAGGTACACATGGAACGCGGTTCTAAGCGGATCTGCGACCTCTTGACGATGCTTGATCGAAGTCCTTTCCACTGTTACTGTGGTATGCCAATTCACATTTGACAAGAAAAGTGACAGAGGTGTTGCGGTTTCATGCGTGTTTGACCCATTGTCACTCATCGCAATACATTCTCCCCGACACTTCTTCCTGGCCAGTTCTGTCACTGACTAAGCGGACGATTCGGAGAGCATGGAAATTGTCACTGGCAGTGAGAATCCCCGAAACGTCCGGCACTGCAAGATGCACTGCACTGCGCCGCACGCGTCTCATGCTTTGATTCCTTTTTTTGTAACTGGCCAACAGAACTTGAGTCCGAGTATATGGACGCAGGTTCAGCAAGACAAACACAGCGGTCGTGATGTCTCACGGAGGTCAGTTGTCCACACCGGCTTCAGGCTGTTCTCAGCAGTGCTAACAAATCAGTAACAGACTACGATGTAACGCGGCTCCCGCTCGAACTGCTGCATGCAGAACTCTTGCGCCGACAGGAGAAGCCAACATGTGGTACACCAGGGAAGCAAGGCTCCTACAACACGGGCATCCATGTGTTTGCCCTGTTCCTCATTCTCGTGCTGAGCACACTAGGTAGGCTACACATATAGGTTCAAGTTGTGGTTGACCATGATTAACCTGACTTGATAGCATGCTCATTCCCAATCATCGCCCACCGGTTCCCTGATCTCCCCATCCCTCACCGATTTCTGTTCCTGTCTCGACATTTCGGCACCGGCGTCCTGATAGCCACGGCGTTTATCCATCTGTTACCCACCGCCTTCATCTCCATGACGAATCCATGTCTGCCGGACTTCTGGAGCAAACGATATCGGCCGATGCCGGGGTTCATTGCCATGGTTTCGGTCTTTGTGGTGGTGTCGATTGAAATGTTTTTTGCGTCCAAAGGAGCAGGTCACAGCCACAGCAGCGAGTGGGATGGATTGCCAGAACCGAGTCATCGAGAAGCCCAAGGCAACGGTCACATTGCGTTGAATCATCTAGCCACTCCTCTCACCCCGTATGCGGACGGGACGCCGAAGCCCCGGATGTCCACGTCAAGCGAGTCGGATTCAGGAGGCGACGATGATCTTGACGGGTTGGATCCTATGGCGGAACAATCTGCCACGCTCAATCATCCACACAGGCGGAAAATATCACAGCATGAAAATCACCATAGCCATCATGACGAAAACCCCAAGAGACTGTTCCTGCAGTGTCTTCTCCTGGAAGCCGGCATCCTTTTCCACAGCATCTTTATCGGAATGGCTGTTTCTGTCGCGACGGGCACCGAGTTTGTGGTGTTGTTGGTGGCAATTTGTTTCCACCAAACCTTTGAAGGGTTCGCATTGGGATCCCGCATTGCAGCGCTCATTCCGAAGCTTTTCGACGCCAACAGCCCCAAGCCCTGGCTTATGGCGCTGGCTTACGGAGCCACCACGCCTATCGGACAGGCCATTGGGATCTTGATGAATGAGCTGTACGATCCTGCCTCTGAGGCGGGCTTGTTGATGGTGGGCATCACGAATGCCATCAGTAGTGGCCTTTTACTATTCGCAGGCCTTGTGCAGCTGATTGCAGAGGATTTTCTAAGCGAGAGAAGTTATGAGGTTCTTCACGGTCGCCGCAGATTGGAGGCTTGTGCTGCCGTCGGTCTGGGTGGCTTGCTGATGGCGATTGTGGGAGCGTTCGCGTGAAGGGTTGCAAAACTCAAAATTGGATCTACTTTGAGAAACTTGCCAGGCTCTGGCAGAACATTTGTGGTTGAGCAATCAAATGTCTGAGCCCAAGCATGGCTCAACACAGAGTTGGATGATGGGCACCCGCTGGCAGGAAAATGATGGGACGCGTGATGTACCGCGCATCTCGACGGACGAGAAACCTTGAAGGGGACGCGTTAAGCCTTCGAACGCGTCTGCCTGTTCAGCAGCACTTCAAGTTCCAAGTATTGCAGTGAGTGGTACGCGCCGTGATCCCGTCTGCAGTCGTCACCTGCCAGTGAAGATCAACTTGAAACTGCAACACTCACTGCAGTTCCGGTACCAGTGCCAGAGTGGATCCCGCCAGCTTCAAGTTCTGGCTTGCGACATTCAAGCTTCGATCCTGCGTATGACTCACGTCCAGGGTATATAAGTCCTTATTTCCCTCGCCCTTTTGCCCTTCCACTCTCCAACAGAACATTGTTCTCTTGTGCCTCAACTTTCGGTCTTCCACTCTTCATCAGAGCAAGTTATGCTTCTCCAGCAGCGCCAGGTTGCCCCCTTAGCCACAGTGCCTAGGCACTGCTGCATTAACGAGGGCGCACTCCCTGAAGGGAGAGTGGCGGCTGCTCTTGGATACTTGCCACGCGGACCCCGTTATCAAGCAAAGAGCAAGGGGGTCGACCACAGCTTCAGGATTTCCATGCACAATGAAGTGCTTGAATTTCCAGTCCTTTTGAAGCGTACGCCCATCCGATCCATTCTCCTCCATCCTTGATGCGCAGCAATGTCACAAATCAATCTCAACATCCGCTATAATGCGTTGCCCCGGGCGGTAGCCGAGCTGCACAGAACGAAGAAGCCAGAGAACACCGGCACTGCGCAGGGGATTTTCAAGAAGGATCACGGCACAGACAGCAAAGAGATTGAGAAGACATACACCGCGGATGGTTTGCAGACTGACACGGTGGCCAAGAGCATGACTGAGACACAGAAAATAAGCACCTCAATGGTCAGGCGGCAGAATGCTTCCAGTACGATGCACCACATCGCATTGCACAGATTGAAAGTTACTTGAGGAAAATCTCAGCACTGCATCACATGTTGGCCCAGGAAGCCATCGAACTGAACAACACACTGCAGGCGATTCGGGAAACCCGAGCCACAATGGACCGACAACGGACCGCCGACGTCAGACTGGAAGTAAGAGAGAGAATCAGGGCAGGTCAGTTGCGGATTCTTCTTTTCTTTCCACGAAGATGTCTAATGATTTGTCACAGGCACAAAACGGAAAGCCAACTCAGAATTTCCTTCGCATATTTTCATCGAATTCGGGATCGACGAGCTGGACATGCTTCGTGACAATTACACTGCACACATGAAATTCATGGAGCATGTGGAGACGTGGCGGATAGGAAACTTGAATGCTGTTTCGGATGGTGCTTCGTTGTCGACCATTTCAATGCTCTTTTCGCCTGACACGGCGGCCCAATGTCTGGGCGCGGCGGGAATCGACACCGCCGGAATACGAGGAGCTGCGTTGCGGGAGAATGGGATTCCGTACTATGGAGCGCCATTCTACGACACTGTGGAAGCCGCTGATGGTACCTACGACACCGCTGAAGATGCTGATCTATTATGGTGATGCGTCACCAAAAAATACTATGATCGGAGCGCAGTGGTGGCCGCTCACATCATCCCAGCGAATACAGCGCACGGCACCACCCAACACTCCTTCGGCGAACTTAATTCCCAGGCCATGCTGAATTCCCCTCGGAACTTCATTATGATGCATCACAACCTTGGACAGGCTTTTTATAAGGGCCAGATCACCATCGTACCAATGGCCGAGGCATCGACATCGACATCTGCAGATGGGGGCACCCTTCCAGAGCCGACAGAATATCGACTTTTTCCCATCGACCGCTCCCTCGCTTGTGACCGCCAGACTGCCGTTCGGATCAGCGGCGACGAATTCGTTTACTGGTCCGACCTTGCCCAAAAACCTCAACTAGAATTTCGGAACGAGAACCGACCGGGCCAAGGCAACCTTTTTTTGGCACTGCCTTATCAGTTTCACGAAGGCCAAATGCCAGGGGCACATCGGTCTTACTGACGCACTAGAGGAGTTCGAGAAACAAGTGGTGTGGGACAAGCCCGGAAAGTGGATCGAACAATCGATGCTGGCAAACATGGCTTCAGAAGCCATGACGCCTCAGTTGTTCCGAGCAGATGCCACCTTCATCGATGATGGAGAGCTGGGGAAGACGGCAAAGGAACTTGCTAAAATGGCGACTTTGGGACTCTCAATACTCCCAGAATCCAAGGTTTCTTCCAGCCTTTACCCTGATGAAGAGTCAGACGATGAAAAGTCCGATTTGGAGGGGATGATTCAGCCATCCTTCGTTCCTGAACAATACTACTCTCCGCTGCCTGCGTTGCCCCTGGATCCCGCCGCCTGTTGTATTTGACGCAACGCAACGTACTGGTGGTTGATTGTTGAGATGACAACCGACGAGATCAACCCATATGGCAAACTTGTCGCTCAGAAGCGTACCGACGAGATCAACCCATATGGCAAACTTGTCGCTCAGGAGCGTACCGCCAAGACGAAAGATTTGTTCCATTTTCGCTTCTGGCTGTACGCCCCGGCCGTGTTTTGTCGCCTGCATTGGTTGTCGAGCGGTTAGTAGCGGCAACTCCGCCCGTCGTCCAGTGGCTCCTCGGTGGGAAAAAGCCGGACTCACCGTTGTTGCGCAACTACGCTCCGCTGATCACAAATCAGCACAAGGAGACGACGGGGATGTTATGGCAATTTTCGGCAATAATGTGGAAACCGGTGAAGACGCCGATTATGTCGGTAGCTCCGTCGATGTGCGCGGACGAAGGAACCAGCACGACCGCGTTATCCAGAGGAATGCCGTGGCGTGGCTGTCGAGGAAACCCTGCCAAAGCACTACCGAGTGCTTCGGGGAAGGGTTAGGTACCCCATTTCCGGTTGTTGATGATGTTCGAGGACAATCTGCATCAGATATGGTCATTCTATGGTGAATCAGTTCTGATGATCCTCATCGACAGTAATGCCAACACGGAGATCAACCCCTACAATCCACCATGTACTGGTGAGTTTGTAGACCAGGTACGATCAGCCCTGGTTGGTACCTTGTCAAGTTGAACAGAGCCCTGCCCTGCCTCTGTTGCAGGGCGTTCGTTGGCAAGGATTACCGGCCAAAAGTCTGTGCCCACTGCAAGGCCACACCAGAGACTCAGTCTCCTCGCCTGGCCATAGCATGCGGATCAAGGCTCAGAAAGTCTTCCACCCCTGGTGGTTTTCTGCACAAGCCGAACCGACACCCCGCTGGAACAATTTCTATGCCGGCTGTACTGTGTTACCATTTTCAGTTCGAGAAGGGAACACTGCCACCGCCAGAACGCATCGCCCAGTGGGAAGAGGTCAAAAGGGCAGGTATACTTTGACCCTGCTCACTCCCAAGGACGAGGATGTCGACCGCTCTCAGTGCCAATACTGTCAGGCGTCCTCCGCAGAAAGGAGGCTGGCGTGGTGTGGGCCATTACAACCGTGCTGTGCACGGTTTGTCTGAAGGAGAACGACGCCGAAATCAGGAAAAGAATGGCGGCCGAGCGCGAACGACGTGGCCTGCCACCTCTCGAAGCACCAGGACATGGACACTGCAGCAAGGCCCTCACGCCAAATGCCAGAATATCCGTAGATGGAGTTCTGTATTGCCGGTCGTGCTGGGACTACTGGAGGAGGCACGATAAGCAGTGGAAACCGCTGGACCAGTTAAAGCCCAGCAGGCAACGAGTGAGTCGGCCAAAAGACAAGCCCAAGGCCACCAAGTGCGAGCACTGCAACACCGCGGAGGGGAAGATCGGTTGGTGTGGGGCGGTACGAAGGGATCTGTGCTCTCGTTGCGGCTCTAAAGCAAGACAAGGCAGCTTGACATTTGAAGATTGAACTTTTGATGACCAAGTTGGGCATCGGAATGGCCAGGTTAAAGGTAATAGGTATTTTGTTACCTATACATGCGGCGCTGCTTCAGAAGAACTTGTTGAATCCCCTCACTGCAGCTATACTCACTCCTACAACACTAGCTTCGGGCAGCCGAGATGGTCTTGTAAGACCATCGTACTCCTATGTAATAATTGCTTACAAGTTGTGATCGAGAACATCTATCTCGTCATCAAATAATTAAGGGGAACGTTTGTTGTTTAAGGAAGTTAGTTACAGCATTTTGCCGCTCGACCGTCCCGTCCCGTTCCGTCCGCTTCCCTCTGCTTTAAGGACATCCGCAGCACCATCGTCCCCACCTCGATTAAAGATATATCTGTATAACAAAAAATCATGTCATCGTAACCCCGTCAAAAAACGACTTTCTCTGTCTGTTTCACCTGATCAATCAGTCATTCACTCACTGGTACAACCGATCCTTTCTCACAGGCGCAATATTATTCCCATTCCCATCTCCCTCCGCCAGATCCAAACTAGTCAGAGCAATATGTCCGACCGGTTCACCAGGTTTGACATCACACAACATGACCGGCATATTCATAACCTTGCGGGAATATTCATGACCATCAAGAGCAGACCCACCTTCCGGGACAGGAGTATACGGATTCTCTTTCACCAACATACTGACCGTACCCAGAACATCAGGCACGAGGGTGCGATACTGCAAGACCAGGGCGAGGACTCCCGCCACAAGGGCCACCAGACAGCAAACCAAGTATACAGCCAGCCAGGCGAAATTGACGACAAAGTGCTGGCCCGCAATGGACATTTGGGCATCGACAGATCGAAACATGACGTTGGGGGGAAACATGGATCCGAAGCCGAGTCCGATTTCCGACTGCGTCATGGCCTGTAAATTGCAAAACGAGTGCCAGTACGTATTGAACAGGAGCGAGAACCGCTCGGTGAATGTGCGCAGGTCCATGTCGGCCACGTTGACGTACGACGTGCCGCCGTCGTTGTCGTGGTCGGAACTGTTGAACCCCAGCCAGTCCGTGGCCACGAGGATGGAATTGGTACTGCCTGACGCAGACTCGGAGCTGATATCATTGATGAACCGTTCGGTCGGGGATGATGTGCCGGAGGGAATCGTCCCTGTCGCCAGGGGCCACTGCCCAAAAAATCGCTGTGCGATCCGGTACGTCGCGTCGAGGGGTGTGTATGGGTCCAACTCGACGTGTGCTGGGTCTCGACGCACTCGATCGACGTAGCACGCTCCAGCGGACGTGCGTCCAGATGCCGTTTTGTCAATGTTCCAGAGCGGCGCGGTGAAGTTGCAGTTCACTTCGGCTAGCACATATGACATGGCGGCCGTGCATGTTGCCATTGACGTCCCGTTGTTGGGAGCTCGCGATCCAAATAGGATGGTCCGCGGTGAGATGTCTGATCCTGATCCTGACCCGCCAGAACGAGCATCCCCTTCGGCCAGTCCAACGCCTGCTAAAGGTGTCGTGGTGTCGATAAAAAACGTGCTGGGATGATCTGCATTGCCGCTGTCCCAGATCGAAGACGAATTGTCCGTGTCGTAGCTACCTCTGCCAGGGATCGACGAGTTGAACCGCTCCGCGCGATCGATGTAGTCCAAAGAGCTACAGTTGAGCACCCAATAACTGGCCGACAGGGTGAAGTTTTGGAATCCCACGCCATATTCGCCGCCGACAACCGGCAGACCACTGAGTGAGGTCCACGTCCCGGCAGTAACCAAAGTGTTGTTCAACGTATTCTTGTCGAGCAGAGCACGGGAGCACCAACCGCCCGCGTCACAACCATTGTTGCGCTCGAGCCATTCGAGCGACGGGATTTTGACGTTGCTCCAGGGGTCCTGAGGCCCCGCCATGGCCCCCGGCGTAAGGATCAGTGTGCTGTAGATGGCGTTGACGGCATACGTATAGAATTGGAGTTCGTCGTTCTCCGTTTGCAGTCCTGTAGGAATGGCGCTGGTGTTCATGTAGTTGACCGTGGTGGTGTCGACATAGGTGCCGTTGGCGCTGATGATCCTGAGACCGGCCTGAGATCCTACAGGGCCCAGTGCCCAAATGGCCAGAAGAACCACCCCGACCCAATTGATGATGGAAAGGCCCCACAAAGATGCGACGGTGCCGCCCAAAGAGGTGCTTCCCATCAGTTGTTCGATGAAACCGAGATGAGTCCCGGTCTGAGCCCGCCACAGAGCGAATGCTTGGATCAGCCGCGCAACAGTCACACCGAATGCCATGGGGAAGAATGTGGGGATGTAGTTCTGCACGATGAGCATTGCCGGGCCGTACAATTCACCTGACCAGTTGTAGCCATCGTCGCCAAAGTAGAAGGATGCAGTCGGCCGCCCATGCAGACATGCAGCCAGCACACCGTAGACGATAAACACCAGAGGCAGGGCGGTCAAGACAATGTCGAGGAGGAAATACCAAAAATTGGGAGGTAGAGCCGAAAGTTTCTCAGGTTCTGCAGGAAAGCTCTCGATACATTGGGAGTAGCGTTGAGGTTTCTCGTTTGCTGCGGAGGGAGGCGTGTCATCGTCACTCGCAGCCGTGGCCGCAACCTCGACATCAGGGATCTTGCTCAGCCTGTGTGAGCCGGAAATGGGTCGAAACATGCTCTCAAACTTGTCACCAAGTAGAGGAGATGACGGCGAATGGAGGCTCGACAGACCCAGACTTGCCATGGAGCCGGGCCGTGACTTCTGGGAGCCCCAAGAGGTCGGACGAGGTCGAGGACTGGTTGATGCACCGTCGTGGGGGACAGTTGCCACAGGATCTTGCTGAGACGTTTCCATATTGGATTGATGTCCTATACACGGAAGTTCTTTGTTGAGGGAACGTTGCACTGGCTGTGGAGCAGGGCAGCAAATTCAAACAGATTTATATTCCAGCTGCACAAGAGTGCGACAATGGGCATCGCAGGTGTAAGAGGCCTGTACCGACACACCGGGGCTGATAGAAACATCCTGGTAGGCATGTTCAGCCCAACGAAGGTGACGCTCCGCTAACATGTCGCCCACTTCATCTATATGCACCAGGTCGGTGGTGAACCCTGGGAAGGTAGTCACACGCGGTCAAAGGTGTAGTAGATTTGGACGTTATAGGCTGTACCTTGTGATGACTTGGCTAGGCGAAGCTTTCAAGCCGATGTGGCCGCCGTCACGCGGGGACTGCCATTGGCATTGTAGAATGAAGGCTGAAAAGGCTGGCTGAAAGGACCTAGGTAGTAGGTAGGTGAGTATAAGACGGCTGGCAGATACGAGGCAGAAAGACGTTCAGCCGGACACTCGTCAGGTCGAGAACCCAAAAGGCCTTACGGTGATTCGGCGGTACACGATGATTCGTCGACAATAGCAGCGATCCTGCATGCTGAATGACCGACCCGACCAATGGATCGGATATCCAAAACAAGCCACAGTTCGGGCACCAGACCTGGACTTAACTCCTTGCAGTGGTCTGGCTACGCCCGAGTTGTTGACCATCCTAATCGGTGTTGTCAGTAGGTTGAATAAAAGATCGAACGTAATGACACTAGAGCAGCCGCCAGTCGTTGAAGGGAAGATGGCCGAAAACAAGTCGCATGAAAGTTGTTAAAGGTTTAGTGAGAGCGCCACTGTTGATCTAGCCATCTGTCAACCAGGCCTGATAGAATTCCAATGTAAGGTATAGCAGCCCGCAATGACCAGAAATGTCGAGCTGGGAAACGTAGAGCTGGTAAAGGTGATGAAACCCGCTCATGGTTAATCCTTGATTTATTCACTCTTTCCCTCACTCTCATCTGCAGTTTGTTCCGGAGACTTAATGGTCCAACCGTTCAGATAACCAGTTCCCGCAGTCAGATATGTCGCAAAGCCCAACCAAGCCAGATATGGAGCCATGAGATAGGCGGCCGTCTTATCAACCTTGCTCCAGACATAAGTCAGATAGCCCACTGTTCCCGTAAGGGCGGTAATGTCTAGCATGGCCTCGATGGGCCTGCCCAGGCCAAAGAACAAAGGCATCCAAATGATATTCAGGCCCAGCTGCAAGGTGTACAAAGTGGCGCCTCTTCTTGCATGTTCCACAACCGCTGGGCTGAGGCTGGCCATGCCGATCGTCCATGCCCGGTGGGCAGCATAGCCCATGGTCAAGTACAAAGTAGTCCAAGCTGGCGCAAAGACCCAGGGAGGTGGTCTGAACGGCGGCTGCTTGAGTGCAACATATTGTTCCCGCGTGCTCCTGAACTTCCCTCGCTCTTTGGCCGCCGAATCCGAGAACTTTTTGGGTTTCGCTTTCCCCGGTTGAGACACAAGGCCAGCCCCCAGGCCGAGCCCCAGTGGAAGGAGGATTGAGACCGGGGCGTTCTCGAAGACAGAGGCGGGAAGCGTGAGGCCGGGTACGTACGCCATATTGGAGGGATGCAAGCCGTGCTGAACGGCCTCGCTCGGGTTGATAGATGAGTCGGGCCTCGACTCTTAGTACTGTGTCTCTCTCGACGGATCGAGCAAGATAGTATCGCAGCGTACAGTCCCGCTGGTTGCACGGTTGGACCAAATAGAGGGGCGGGACAGCGGATCGTGTGTCAGGGCGCGAGGAGTGAGAGACGCACAGGCAGTGTGACGATGATGTCTGACTAAGCCATTACTCAGCAGGTGTAGCATCACTGCATCAAGCAGTAGATTTCGACCACCAGTGCTCCCTTTACAAAGTCTCGTAGATAAGGATGAGGAAAGCAATATATTGTAGAAGTGCTTCTGAGTTGAAAATAATTTGATGTCGGACAGATTTGCAACGCCGAGGAACTTGAGGTTAGGAATTCGGAATGAGATCCTCGTCCTACATACAACATTGTAGATCATATCTCGTTACTCCTGCGATATCCGCAATGTCTAGCTCCAGTATTGTCCTTTGGGCTCACGAGCAAGGCTCTCTCTATCTCCTGTCGCCTCACTGTTCGGCCGGTCTGAACATGAAATCCAGGTGGTTCGGGTTTCCATCCGAGTCCAACTGTATGTTACAACATCCGTCACTGTTGGACCACTGCACGGCCCTCATCTCTGCTCATATCGTCCTTCTCAATAGGTATCGTCAATGAAGACGACCCCGAGGAGTCAGGCACGACGGATTTCTCCATATCTTCGACAGAGCGATTCACGGCAAATCGACTTTTCTTCCGGATGATATGGCCGTATTTGTAAAACACATATGGTATCGGGGTCAACAGGAGGCTCAGACAAGCCAAGATGGTGACCGTCCAATGATGCCCCACATTTCGGTAGAATGGAATGCCCACGACGGTGAATCCTCCAGCAAAGCAATACCGAATAAGAGTGAGAAAGGTCAGCGCACTGGCGGCATAGACTTCATAGCTATCGATGATGTACATATAGGAGGAGATGAAGATCATAATGACTCCATAGCCAAACAGCACGGAGGCCAGGATCGGAGACCAGATGGACACGGTCGGATAGGCCGTCCAGGCCATCCAGAACAACGAGATCGGGATGGCGGGAGCACCGCCGAGCATGGCGAACCACAGTCGCACTTCGGGATCGAATTGCTTTAGGCCGTCGGCCTCAGCCTGGCGTTGCGCCTGCACGGTCTTCTTGTACACCCAAGGTATCCACAGGCCGCCGAGGCAGACGCCCACAAAGATGCCAACGAAGATCGTGTTTGTCAATCCCTGGGAGATGCAGTAGGTGCGGGTGAAGATGTACTCGTATCCGTCGAAGAAAGTAAACAGAATAATATACAAGACGGACATGTAGAGCGTGGTTAGCATGATGACCGGTTCATAGAAGGCCATGAGGAACGGTCGAGGGAGGGCGAGCCTCAGACGCATCAGCAACGGGATTCGCTCGAGCTCGTGTTCGGCATAGTACCGGTCGTCGCCGGTGATCTTGCGCAAGTGCGCTGCCTTCCAACTCAATAAGACCGGTGGGTAGGTCTCTGGTTGAAACAAAAAGGTCAAGAAGAAAACGACCCCTGCCGTAAGCAGCGCCACCCATTCTGTCCACCGCCAGGTATGGAGGTATGGCGACTCGGGAATCCAGGCCGCCATGACCGGGCCGAGGGCTGGTCCGCCAAACCCGCCAATGGCGAAGATGGGGAAGATGTACGTCTTTTCCAGCGGCGTGAACATGTCCGAGATCGACCCTCCGGCGCACACCAGAGGCGACGCACCAGAGAAGCCTGCAATAAACCGGAAAACGAGTTGAGCCCCAATGTTGGGAGCAAGAGCCGATGCCATCAGAAAAACACACATCAGCGCCAGGCTGACCATGTAGGTCATACTCCTCCCTAGGACTTCGCTGAATGGTCCACATATCAACGCACCGAAACCGAAGCCGACCAAGAACACGCCAACAGCCAACGTTTCCACAACCTCGCTGACTCCAAGATCTGCGGCAGCCTGGGGAAGCACCGCACTGTCGATGGGAGCAGCCGCGCCGACCATGAACGCGATGCTCGAAATGATCAATGTGGCGCAAAATCGTCTCGTAAAAGACCAGTTCCGCGGGTTGAGGTCATCCTCCGGTCCGTCGAAATCTACCACCAGTACCTGTCGTCCTCCCACAACACGGGTCTTCTGGCGCGTCAGGCATGGAAGTTGGCGCGCATCTTCGGCGCCAGACTCAAGTTGTTTCCGTAGGGAATGCCCGATACGGCGGTATTGAAGGTACGTCTCCATGTTTGAAAAGGAGGGTCATCCGCATTGAACCCAGAGCCTGGCCAGGCACTGGTAAGCAGCGTATATACAATTTGAGAACACATCCTGCAAAAAGTTAGAGTCATGATTGAGAACCCTCTCTCGCCGCGCTAGCCATGTCATTGAACATGTCCATTATCAAGACATGGCGGCCAGGTTGCCGAATAGAGGATGCCGAAGGGTCCATGTGGGTCATGAACGGATACCGGATCTGATTTTCATATCGGAAATCGTACAACGTTGTACAATCCGGTGGCAAGCAATGAGATTCGGATTTGATTGCCAGCGTTGCAGTTCGAGGACAGCTTGGACTCGTTGATATGGCATCTGGCGTAGCCTACTAGTATAGGAAGAGCACAGGCCGTTAAACCTGCCTGGCCTGTTTTAACCGTAATTCTTAGGCGGCGGAAGCCAAGCGAGCTAAACCGCTAATCCAAACGATGTCCACGATAAGCGATGCGAGCAGTGAGATGACATAGACGGGATCTTGAGCCTCATACCTTCCCTCGTAAGCAAATACTCTTTCTATACACCTCGAAGCATAGTACTAGGAGCTTGACAATACCGAGGCTCGTTCAGCTCCATTGCTGTGAGCAGGAAACCAGTTCACCAGCAGACGCCGTCCGACGTGGAGAGCAACTCCTCAAGATACAGATTGTGGGGTTGCAACGTACATATCACATATATATTCAGCCTCATCCACGTACTCAAGGACCGACACAAATACACCAAGAGTACCTCTACAGCCTCAGATCGTCAGGCTTGAAAGAATCAAAACGACTACCGGCAGTCGTCCAAAGAACGCTCTTCGCCATGGCACCTCCGACCCTCTCCCCACCATCATCTTCTTCTTCCTCGGCACCATCCTCTACCATCACTCTCGAGCCCTTGACACCCTCATCATTCACCCCATTCGGAACAGCAATATGCTCCCCCCTACCACCGTCTCTCAACAAAGTCCCATCCTCCATCCCCCTTCCACAGCACGCACCCTACCAACCGCTACCCGTCTACGCCAACCAGAACTCGGCGCTTAAAACGTCGCCCATCTCTCAATTCATCAATGCATACCCAGCCTCAAATTCACATTCACACCCAGAAACCCCCCAGATGAGCATGTTCTCCTGTTTTCCACGAAACATCAGCGGCGTCGGGATGGACGTCGAAGCAGCAGCAGCGAGACCGACAGGGCCAAGGTTCCACGTCTCCATCCTCGAACGACACCCCTTTACAACTCAAACATTCAGTCCGGTCGGGTTAGCCGCGGACGACAAGTCGACGGTGTTCTTGGTCATTGTCGCGCCTTCGCTTGTCGACCGCAAAGCGGCAGCGACGAGAACAGACACAAACACAAACCAAACGGTTCAAATCTCCAATCCTCCGGACCTCTCGCGCATCAGGGCCTTTGTGGCCCGCGGCGATCAAGCCGTCACTTATGCGCCGGGCACTTGGCATGCGCCGATGGTCGTGCTCGGTCAGAAGAGAGTTGATTTTCTGGTGTCTCAGTTTGTCAATGGCGTGCCGGACGATGATTGTCAGGAAGTTCTGCTGGGCGACAATGCGGTCTATGTGGATCTGGCGCCTCTTAAATCAGACTTGGGCGTCGTCGCAAAATCGAAACTATAATCCAGCAGCAGTCTGTTCGAATGTGGCGGCGGTTCAAATGCTTTATAAAAGGGCGTTCGAAGATGACTTTTATCGTCTGCAAACGCCTTTTTCAATATTCCCTGATTCGTTCAACCGTCGAACGCTACAAAGATACGACACGCTGAGAGGGTATCATCTGTCCAATGCGAGCAAAAAACACACGCCAATTCAAGACTGGGATTCATCCGACCTCGTGCCTCAAAAGCCGCACGGCAGATTGGACTTCCCGCTACGACTTGCCACCTCCGAGCTTACTGACCAATCTCTTCATGTTCAACCAGTCATCCGAACTCCATTCACCATTTCCGCATTGCAGTCCCTTTCCGACATCAAAGACGGTGACAACCCCATCCAGCCCACCAACCGCGATGTGACTGCCCCGTCTCTCTTCCCAAGCCAGTTTGTTGAGCCCCTTGAACGGGACTGTTCCATTTTTGCCTCTTGTCGGACTAGCCTTCACGATAGGCACTTCGAGATCATAGGTGAGGTCAAACACTTCCAGATCTCCGGCACCCGTGACATAACCGAAAACAGAAGGCTTGTGAGGCGCCCATTTTGCATCATACACCAAATCTTCCCGTCCGAGATTGAGGATTGGCCCTTCAACAGAAGGTCCCGGAGTGGTCGCCGCAGAAGTGATCGCAGCAACCGTACCAGCCGCGGCGGACGGCTTGATGCGCCACAGCTTCACGGACCAATCGGAGCTGGAACTCAGGAGAAGATCACCCATGTCTACCGGACCTCTGGCGGGATGGAATTGAGTGCTCATGACTGGAGCCGTGTGACCTCGATATGCAATACGGTTGTCCACTCCTGCTTGGGCCCCTGCCCGGTCGTACCGATGGCAGGCGTAGATGCTACCTTCCTCTGTCCCCACGACGAAAAAGGTCGGGTCGGCAGCTGGAAAGCTCATGCTGGTGGGTGCGAGGTCGTCCGTCTTTGCGGGCGGAGGAGTATGCAGAATGAGGTATTCTTGCGCTTGTGTCAGCATATCGACCGACCAAGAACAAACCACGCCGTCCATCGACGCGGTCAAGATGTTGTGGGCGTTGGGCGTGCCGACGACGTTGATGCTGTAGACAGGATGGGTGTGACCAAGGTGTGATCCCGATTGAGGCGTCTTCTGGACTGGCTGACCCGTCCGGCCGGACACTCTCGTGTCCCAGAGACAGACTTGGCCGGAGTAGCAACCACCAATCACCAGATTCGGGTGGAATGGTGAGAACCGTGCCGAGAGAACATCCGAGGAGGCTGTAAAGGTATATTCTGGCCGAGAGGGCGCGTGCGTGTTCCAGAGAAGTACCAGGCCAGCTGGTTCATGGGGCGCGGACGGATTTTTGGTGTAAGAGGAGAGGAGCAGCTCGTTGAAGTGCGGTGAGAACTGAATGTCCGAGACTATCCGACGACGTGTATATCGGTCTGAAAACAACTGCAGAGACTCGCGTAATGAATGGGCCTTCTTGCCGGTTCGTGAATAGGGATTATTGGTGTCATCTTCATCATCATCATCCAACGTCGAAGTTCGGGTATAATCTGCCAGCAGGTCATACTCATCATCCATGTCCAATGCACGCTCAATGACTTTCGAAGAACGCTCCACAAATGCGACGAAATCCGGGGACGAGACAACCGCATTGAGTTCGTTGTTTGTAAGGTTCCGCAAGGGGAACCGCTGTTGTGATGTGCTCTGGCTCGTGGATCCCTGATTAAATGTCGCCTTTATTTCTTCCTCTATCTCACGACGCAGGGCCTGTCGGATCTCCTCGTCCTTCTCTTGATCGCGCTTGCTCAGACGCTTCCGCGAGCGCTGCGACAGCTCATCCTCGTCGGAGTCTTCTCGTGCCTGGACGGTATCTTCCGTGTAAGGCTCGGTCTGAACGCCCTTGGAATACGTGATATACTCCTTTTTCGGCGGGGCACGTTCACCCACGGCCGCGTCTTCGTAGATGGGGAACGTGGCGTCTGTAGGCTCGGTCTGCGTCGAGGTAGACTGCATCGGTCTTCTTGATGCCGGTTCGACGTCATTTTGAGGCGTGGTCTGTCCAGTGCCCGTGCCATGCACAGAACTGGGCCGGCTTTCTCTGCGACTGGGTGTAGCGGTCGACTCCTTGCGCGAATCGATCAAACTGGAAACGAGGCTGTCGATTTCAGATCTCCGCTCCTCTGCTGTTTTGCTGGGTGACGGAACCTTCCATACCGTCAGTATAATTTTGTAGAGAAGATAATTGTTTAATGGCCGACCTCTCCAATGCTTCGCCTGGTAGAAGCATACTGCTCTTGACGGAGTTCTCGTTGTCGTTTCAGTTCCGCTAGTCGCGCCTTTTTGGCGAGAAGTTCCTCTTTCCGCGACGACGACATGGTGCCTCTGTCGACGAATCACGCAGGCGGTAACGCAAACAGGATACTGGGATTCAATTGACACGAAGAGGCAGAGAGACTCGGAGTCGCGCCTCGGGTTGGGAGTGGATTCGCGAAGTCACGTGTCATCTCTGTTGGGCGCAGGATGAGCTTCCGGAAAAGCACGAATCGAATTGTTCTCAGATTCACAACTACAGCTTTCATTGAGACCACATTCCCACCACCACTGCACACGGCAACTTTTACGTTCGGGCGGCAACAGGACACTCACAACTGCAGGTCGTGGACTACGAATTTCCTGTTAAATCCCGAGTTCCGCCATCGTGCGTGCTGTTTTCTCACCATGTCCACCTCCCAAGGAGTCAATGTAAGAACACACTGCGACCAGTCTCATCGCGACCTCTTGTGGATCGTGGGCTGATCTCCCACAGGTGCTCCGGTACTCTGCCCTCGTTGCAGGCGTCTTCTACGGCTTTTACCACCAGAGAACGATTTACGCCCGGAACGCAGAAGCTCACGCGCAAGCCGAATACCAACATAAGCTCGAATTAATAGAGAAAGCAAAGAAGGAGTGGGCCAAGAAGACTCTTCCTCCTCAATCTAAGACGTCCGGCGGCGACAGTACGTGTTGAGCAGCCAGCAAGCATTTTTGAGATGCCAGAACAAACTGACACTTGGGGCTAGTCGTAACGGATCCGAACGACAAGAACTTCGACCTCGAAGCATATCTGACCAAACTGGCGGCGGAGAGTTGAATGAGGAGCAAGGACAGGATGGATTGAAAGCTCGTCAAACGACTAGGCCTTGAATATACTCGAAGAGAGTGGGTGCCACCAATAGATTCGGCGTTGGTCTGAATTGATACCCCTGCATTCTGGTCTCGGCCATGGTGTCCTGCCATGGTTGAAGGGGAAAAGCACACCAGAGAACTCATCAAAATTGTACATACATACAACGGCAGCCCTTAGCTGTAATTCAGGAGCATTTTGATATGTTTGAGAGATTCGGCAGCTTGTGGGTTTGGTTTCCTCGCCCAGTCTTCGACCGATCGCCACTTACTCGATGACGGAGATTTTCGACCTATTGGCGAGACGTGCATTTTCCAATTGAGTTGACTCTGATCCTACAGAGCAGACGGAAATGAACGAAGTTCACAAGCATTGACTAGGAACCAGACACCTTGGAACCGGCAATGATCCAGTGCCGGTCCGATGCAGCCAGCAACCGGGCGCTGGACCCTGCCCCAGTCTTGCTTTCTCTTGATACTTCTGTCGGGGTTTTACCATCTCCTGTCGCAATATAGGGCCGGCTTTCTAACCATATACTGTACATGTCCCGATATCGTCCATGAGATCCCAAGTATTGGGTTAACGACGGACCTGATAATCCATCCCACTTGGAGAAAGCGCAACGGCGAGGTCACGGGACATCGAGTCAGGGGTGTCTCGTCGTGCAGCCTCCCAGTGTGAGGTTTGTGCAAAATTGCACAATATGGCACGAACCCATAGGCATATCGCATGATGCCCTCAGCCTGGCGTGAGTCTCCAAGACCTTGGCTGTGGGGATTCTGATGGGCGTTGTTGCGAGATCCATTCTTTTCACTTTACAGTGGTACCATCTCACCATGGCAGGGCGGAATTACGCAAATACAAAGTTGTACACTAGTTGTAAGGTAGTCCTGCTAGCATTCTGCCGTTATTTGGATGGATCGCATGTGCTTGGAGATGGATTGGCCGGACGATGGGCGTTGGGTGATGTGGATCCGTGTCACGTGATTGATACAGGTCTGAAAAATTCTGTTTCCCTCCCAACTCCTACTGCTAGTGGAAGTTCGTGCTGGACTAACGGAACTTGTACGTTCTGCCCCATCTGTCCGGTCATCGTGCTCTGGCGAACATCCATGATTGTTGAGATGGACTGATTGTCTGCATCTCCTGTTCTCATGAGAGTCAATACCATCCGCAAAATCACCTGCCTTCCTTTGCGTCGACGAGATCTGCTCCCCAGCTCCCCCAGCTCTCCCCATACTTTTCCGAGTCCTGGGACCGACGGCACCTCGGTTCCTGGGGACCCCATCAAGCTTCCTCCGACCGGGGCACCAAATGACTGGGGCCTCCGGACTAACGAGCCTAGTGTATCACGCCGTTTTCCCCATGACGACGGGCAGGCCAGGAACCGTCTCATTCGCCTGGCACCTGCTACTAGCACTGGAGTCCTCGCTTCATCGCTGCCAGTCCATTCTCCACTTCATGAAAAAGACCTGGGCTCTATCCCCCTCTCTGAGATTGCTTCTACGCCAATGAGGAAAAGCTCCATAAAGCCAATGTCGGAACAGTTATGGTGTCTGTGCACAAGGCTCGCACCCCGGTCCCAGGACTGCAGAGTCATGAGGCGGCCATGGCTGTCGACGAGAGGTGCAACAAAGCAATCTATTATTTCGTCCGTCACGGACGCTCTAGTGGTTGCATAAATCGTCGATCGGAACTTGAAGAGCCCAAACGGCGGGCATTGGCCTGAGCAATAGTGAAGATTCAAGTCCCGAGATCGAATTAAGTCGACTGGGGTTGGACCGACCCCGCAAATATAGCCATCCCGAGACGGCGACAGTGACAACTGGCTGTGATGGCTTGCGTATGCCAGTGCTTGCCCCCTAGTTCCATTCAACCCAGACTGGCCCGGTGTTGAGTGGGCTGAAACACCACCTGTACTCACTCTACCGTGCTTCACCTCAATCAATAGTGACTTGATCGACCCAAGGTAGTCGGTTCTCCTTACCCATCCACGGGCGTACTGTCGAAAGTGGTGGCTCAGGGGATCTGCGAGTTGACGGTGTCCCTCAGTTTGTCGAGGGCTCACTTGTCAAAATGTTTGTCGTCTTTCCACGCCGGCAAGGTTTCTACCCCAGCATTTCCCCGCAGCGAAGTTAGAAGTGTCTGCTTCAAGCTCGCTCGCTAGACCGGAGGCTGGAGCTTGTTGTCATGGACGTATCATTGGTCGACAGCAGCAGTGTCGCGACATGCTATTTTGGAGCTTTGACTAGAATGGGAGCCGAGGTGACCACTGATGCGGAAATACTACAGCCGCAACTGAGCCAGCGCCAACGACCGGGCCCATGGATTCCGTCTGTCAAGACTGCCTGGGGCTAGTAGGGAGGTGCCCGGTCGCATCATTGGCAGGCCCCAACAAGCCCTTTGTTTGTTTGGGCACTCGGCTCAGCGGGTATAGGGGGTCTCCTCTCCACCGAGAGCTCGACTCGACGAGAGGAGAATCAGTCGATCTTGCCGTGGTCGATGGCCAGTGACGCGAACAGCACCTGCCCTATATTATGTGTATCTTCTCCCAGGTGAGTAGTCACGGCCGAGATTTTTGTTTGGATCTCTCGTCCGTTGCGGTTCAAGTTCCCTTTGTCCCTGTCATCCCAACCTCTCACCTCTTCACTTCTCACCTTTACTTGAACCTCGTTTCATCCCACCTTGGCACCTTACCCTCGTATCAGTACTTGGTCTATAGAACTGCCATACCTCTTTTCGAACGTATTAGCGAGTTTCAAAAATGGCCAACGTCCCTGATGTCGAGAAAGACCACGCCGGCAGCGACTCTGTCAATGGCAAATACGACCTCCACCATGATCATCACGACAGCGAGAGTGCCTTGAGGCGGATTCGAACGGCAGGAAGCATTTCGATCACCCCGGAACTCTTTGAGAAGATCTATTTGTCGCCCAAGAACCGGGTTTCGAACAACATCCGATCGACCTTTGGTAACCCGACTCCTCTGTAAGGCGAGACTCAGGAATGATGCTATTGACTCCCTTACTAACTCATTATACAGGGCCTTGGTCGGCTTTCTGCTATCTCTCACTCCCCTTTCGAATGTCCTTCTGGGATGGCGCGGTGCTGGTGGGCTGGGTGCCGCCGAAGTGTAAGTTGCGATACTATGGAACCGGGTCTTGGAGACTGACGGCTTGTACAGTGGTGTCTTCTATTTCTTCGGCGGTCTTCTCATGCTCCTGGGCGGTTTCCTCGAGTTTATCTTGGGCAATACTTTCCCCTTCGTGGTGTTTGGGTCTTTTGGCGCCTTCTGGCTGTCCTTTGGAGCCACCTTGACTCCTTACTTCAATGCTTCCGCCGCATACACCCCAGACAACCCGTCCGCGGGTTCGACGGATCCGGTCTTCGCCGCCACATTCGCCTATTTCCAGGTCTACATGGGGGTGCTCTGCTTTGTCTACATGATTGTGGCATTGCGAACCAACATTGTCTTCGTCTTGATCTTCCTGTTGCTGGTCCCGGCCTTCGGCTGCCTCGCTGCCTTCTTCTTCTCTCTTGGCGAGGGTGTGGTTAACATGACCTATCAACATGCGGCAGGTGGACTAACCTTTGTCATATCGCTCCTGGGATGGTATCTCTTCTTCGTGCAACTCCTGGCCGCGGTCGACTTCCCTCTCAATCTCCCCGTCGGCGACTTGAGCAGATTTATCAAGGGCGCCAGCGAGAGAAGCAAGGCCGAGTAGGCGGACGAATGTACAGACGCGGAGGTGATTGGGCTGATCGGTTGGGTCACGATGTTGAGGGCTGAAAAAGGGTGAAATGGGATACAGTGAGATGCTGGACTGAGTGAACGCTCACAAGAACAAAACAACAACTTTGCTATACAGCGTAGCCAGGAACCGCCAGATTGGCTGTGCTGGTACCACAACTTACCAACTTGCATCATTAATTCAGACATTGCGGCGGTGATTTGATTTCCCGCTTGCTTGTCACGATGGCTTCTTGGACAAAATCATGTCTCTTGTAATCAGTGCTACAGTACCAATTCAGAAGATCATAAGTAATGATGCTGCTGCTCTGCCTTGATTCTCTAACTTGTAAGATGCTCCAAGTTCTCAACGACTTGGACTGGCTGGGATGAGAACTGTTTCCGGCATCAAGCCAAGTTAGTTTGGCAGCAAAGCCATGTCATCACTACCAGCGCTTCCCATACAAAGGCGGTGTGCCTGACGATGAGGCGGAAGATCAGGGGCATTGAACGAATACAATCAGACCAACGCAGGTTATGTGGTAGAGGGCCCAGGTAGTTGCACCATAGCGGGCATGGATGAGCCATATTGTCCACACCGTCTTCCGCCCTGATTGGAAGGTACTCTGCGAACCAACCATTTGCTCTGCGTACCTTTTTGCATGTGAAGAAATGAGGAATGATCTCTTATCCTCTACCAATGCAGTTTGGCAGGCTGTTACACTGCACCACGGGAGATTCCAGCCTGAGCCTTGGACACGGAACCGTTCCCGTCTCCACATCTCCGGATCTGTTCTCACTGTTCACCCTTCTCTCCCATCCAGTAGTGGACCAGCAGTTGGAGGTGAGGAGGCTGGGGCTTGGAAGAGACTTGTCTGGACTTTCGACCCTTTTTGGCGATGACAGCCCCGTGCTTGGAGTCTGCAGTGGCAGTGGGACGCACCGATGGAGAGCGGCGCAGGGAGCGGTTTCTAACAGTTTCCACTGTATGCGGTGATGTAGTGCGGAATTTCAACCGCTATGATAGACACGGTGGGAAGTTTGGGCAGGACAGTAGTATAACCAAACATTACTACAGTACCATTTGCACGAGCTGTGGGTGTTGATAAGTGGCAGAACTGAAAGTCCTAATGAAAAACTACAGGTAGGTTCTCTCGTGATAGTTGTGATGTTTCGGCTTCGGGGCATCGATGTTCCTGGGTTGTAAAGTGTGCCCGGCGAAATGTAACTCCAGCTCCGAGATATGATGCCAAGATATCAAGATACCGTGGTCAGCATCGAGAATGGAGCAGAGCATCAGCAACCTGAATGCTTCATCAAGGAGAGTCTTCAGCTTCATGTTCACCTAAATTCAGGATCTTGTTTCAAGCAGCGATTATTCGCTGCCTAACACCTCCCTCTTGCCTCGAAGTCGAGCTCTCTGCGAAGTCTGTGATTTGACTGCAGTGTTCAAGTTGTTGCCGGTGGTTTCTTGGACCGCTCGACCCACATCTACCGCTTTCACAAAGGTCAAGGTGAGGTAAACAGCTGCGAGGCGCTGTGTGTGGTTACGGGTCAAACGACGCATGATACCAGGTCAAGCGTGGACCGCTGTGTCAAGCACAAGGACCGCTTTCCGCAGAAGTTTGTTTCAGACACTTCAAGTTGTGACTGTTCGTCCCGTCATATCGCACAGTCACCGTCATCACCAATTCAGCATCGGCATTGGTACTCTACGCACCATGGCCACTTCTACTCCTGCTGTCGGACTCATCAACACACCACGGGACCCCAACACGCTGGCAAACTACAACAACTGGCGAACGGTGCACACGACGACATCATTAGATATACTGTTCGAGCAACAGAAGCTGAAGGGCAATGTGGTGCACAAGCTGGAAGCAATCACGGACGGCGAGAGCGACGAGATTCTTCTGGACTCGAGTCACGTGCAAATCCACTCGGTCAAGGCTAATGACGAGCCCGTACAGTGGGAACTCCTGAAACGACTGGAGCCGTACGGCAGTGCATTGAAGATCAAGCTGGACCAGACTCCCAAACTGAACGAAACGATCCAAGTGGCCATCGAGCTGGAAACCACGGCCCTGTGCACGGCCTTACAATGGCTGACGCCGGCGCAGACGTCGAACAAGAAACACCCATACATGTTCTCGCAATGTCAGGCGATCCACGCGCGCTCCATCTTTCCATGTCAAGACACACCCGACGTCAAGGCCACATTCGACTTTTTCATCCGCTCACCACTTCCCGTGATTGCATCGGGCATCGCCGCCAAAGATAACCCGACCAGTCCATCCCAGGACGGCAGTTTACAGCTGTACAAGTTCCACCAATGCGTACCGATCCCCGCGTATCTTTTCGCCCTGGCCAGCGGGGACATAGCAACGGCCAAAATCGGCCCACGCAGCCTGGTGGCCACGGGACCCGAAGAGCTCGAGTCCTGTCGCTGGGAACTCGAGGCCGACACGGAAAAGTACATGGAAGCCGCTGAATCTCTTGTGTTTCCGTACGTGTGGGGCCAATACAATGTTCTTGTCTTGCCGCCGTCGTTCCCTTACGGCGGCATGGAAAACCCCGTATACACGTTTGCGACACCGACCGTGATTTCCGGGGATCGTCAGAACGTGGACGTGATTGCGCACGAGCTGTCACATTCGTGGTCTGGCAATTTGGTTTCTAATGCCTCCTGGGAGCATTTCTGGCTCAACGAGGGCTGGACCACGTATCTGGAGCGACGGATCCAAGCGGCCGTCCATGGCGGCGACCAGTGGCGCGACTTCAGCGCCATCATCGGCTGGAAGGCCCTGACGGATTCGGTCGAGCAGTTTGGTGATCAGCACGAGTTCACCAAGCTGGTCATCGACCTCAAGGGCAAGGACCCGGACGACGCCTTTTCCAGTATTCCTTACGAGAAAGGCTTCAATTTTTTGTATTATATCGAGAAACTCATTTCGAAGCCCCAATTTGACCGCTTCATCCCACATTACTTTGAGACGTGGCGCGGCAAATCGCTCGACAGCTATGACTTCAAGACTACCTTGTTGGAGTTCTTCAAGGATGATGAGGTCACATCGAAAAAATTGGATACTATCGACTGGGACGCTTGGTTCTACAAGCCGGGATTGCCTCCGAAACCGGACTTTGACACCAGTCTCGTCGACGTCGCGTACCGGCTGGCCGATAAGTGGGAGAAGTTGGAATCGGAGTCTACCACAGGCGGTGCTACTGACAGTTTTCGTCCGTCAAAGTCGGATATGGACGGGTGGTCCGCCAACCAGGTGGTGGTGTTCCTGGAGCGCGTGTTGGCGTTCAATAAGGGGCTGTCGGCCGCTCACGCCGGTCTGTTGGGAGAGGTGTACGAGTTGAAAGACACGCGCAACGTCGAGGTCTCGAGTCGGTACTATCAGATCGCCATGCGCAGCAAAGTCGATGCCATCAAGCCCTTTGTCACAAAGTTGTTGGGTGAGGTCGGACGCATGAAGTTTGTCCGGCCCTTGTACCGCGGCCTGATCAAGCTGGACTATGAGTTGGCCGTGGAGACGTTTGAGAAGAATAAGGATTTCTATCATCCGATTTGTCGGGGAATGGTGGCCAAGGATTTGTTTGGTAGCAAACAAGAGAAGAAGAAGGAGTGAAAGAGAAGAAAAGGGACGAAACAGGAAAAGGAAAAGAGGTCGGGGCCACGGCTGTTGTTGTGGTGGTGGAGGTGCGATATGAGGTCAGGTCTGGATACATACATAGTCACTCGGATGTGAAGTACTGTACGACAACAGCCAACCTCGTAGTCGGTTCACTGCCATGCCAAGATATGCAATGGATCATTCGCCTTGCAGAAGCGTTTCCCTCATCCCTTCGAGTTGCCTTGCACATTTCGACAGAGAAGCCCTTTGATTTATCCCTTGAAGCTACCACCCAAACAACTAATTGGTCCACAAATCACAATCATGGTCTAACTATGATCATCATCATCATCCATCCCTCAACCTCTCCATGAGAATGCGCAAAATCTCATCTTCGTAATCATTCAGTTCAAGCCAATCGGGCACGATGATGCGGGATCGGGTGATGATGATTCTGGCGGATTCGTCGTCGTCATCTTGGACGCCTTCCTCGATATCTTCCTCGGCGGGCTGCTGTCCCGTAGTCTCGCCACCCCCGCCTTCTTGTTGTTCCTGTTCCTGTTCCTGTTCTTCAGACCCCGGGTGCCGCGATCTCGAAGTAGTTCTCGTCCTCGTTCTCGTAACCACTCCGTCCTGACTACTCAATTGGCGCTCTAGTTCCTCTTCCGAATCAAAAGTCAAGCGGTGGGGAACCCTGCTTGCGGAAGAATAAGACACAACCCGACTGAGGCGGCGGGTCATTGTCGCTTGAGTTTCTGTCCTTCGAAGGTCGTCCTCGTCGTTCCCGGCGCCACCATTCCTGTCATGGCCACCACTCTCATTCTTTTGCAACGACGTCGAAGAAGAAGAAGTCGACGAAGACTTTGGCGCAACGACACCTTTCTCCGGATCGAGATTGTCAACTCCAGCTCCGAGTCCCTGCTTCTTTACTTCTCCGCCGTCACCATTCTTCTCATGTGCTCGCTCTCGCTCCCGCTCGTGCCGTCTCTCTACCCTCAACTTTTTGAGGTCCACTGGCGTCCACCAATAAATCGGAAACCTCCTCCCCGCGACATTATTCAACACCAAAGCACTCGCCAACATGAGCATAGCCGCCAACAGAACCAAAGGCAACAACCACCAACCCAATTCCTGAATTTCGACATTCGTCGCCGCTAATAACGCCGTAGCTCCAGCGGGGGGATGGACGGTCTTGGTAAAACTCATCAGCACGCTGGCGGCTCCGACGGCAAGGGCGCCAGCGAGCCATCTGAGATGATCGAATCGCTGGTATGTCGGTAACAACAGAAACAACTTTGTAATTGCCACGGCGACCACGGCAGATAAAAAATGTCCGACTACCAAGTTCCGCGGCTGGGCGAGGGGTGATTCGATCGTGTTGTATTCTAGAATCGCGGCGGCGCCGAAGGATGCAATGATGATGGGTACCGCGTGGCCTGAGAGTGGGGGCATGGCTAGAAACACGTTTTCGATGATGGCTACGCCGCAGAAGGCGCCGATGAAGACGGATGTCCATGTTGATAGGGTTTGGAATCGGTGGCGGTGTGCTGAGAGTGGTTTTGGTTTTGATCCGGCTTTGAGAGGGCGTCGGTAGCCGAACCAGTAGGATATCCATGTTGGGAAGAGATGTAATGGGTTGCGGGGGATGTATGGGTTGAGGTAGGTGTCGATGTCGAATGGTTGAGAGAGTTTCCGTGGTGGTGGTTGAGGTTGAGGTTGTGATTGTACTTGTCGTACTTGAGATCGAGACCGGGATCGAGGCCGAGATTGAGATTGAGCTTGGCTCACCCGCCGCGCTGCTGGTAGAGACGACATGGCTGTCTGCTTTGTTATGTTTGTCGTATATTCTGCTCGACTCGACTCGGTTGTCGTGCGTCTAGCCCTTCCACCTCCGACTTGGCCTTGGTTGCGAGGTACTCCTCAAGCCAGCCAATGCGATTATCGAATGCGAATATTTGGGACCTCAGCTTCAGATTTCGTCGCGGGAGACAGTTATAACAAGTCCAGCGTAGCTGCCATCATGTATAGACAGTATAGTACGGTATGGTAGATGATATGTGCTCTGGGTGCGTGTTCACCGATTGTCGTAAGAAAAATGCAATGCCTCGGTAGTATGCATTCAAAGCGACCAGTGCCGGTGGGTTCTGCACAATTGTAATGAACACAATAGTATATCCAACTTTTGCAACCTCAAGGAGCGAAGCCGTGAAGTCAGGTCAGAGAGGATAAGACAAAAATATGGTAAAAAACAGTTGTTGCAGTAGACGACTGTTGTAGTAATGAAATAGAGGTATGTAGGTCGAGTTGGCCTCAGTGCAGTGCCGGCGGCTTTTACCCAGCCCGGTTCAGTCCAGAACCAAATCAAATCGGTGAGAAAAGATGTAATCAACTGGCCTGCCTACCTTGGCTAAGGGACAACCGAAGAATAAGGTAACAAGCTCAAGTCAGTCAATCAGTCAGCCCAGGTCAGGTACAGTAAGGTAAGTACAGTATGTAGGAGAAGTCATGATGGCGAGGAGAAAACATCAAGAAAGACTTCAACAAGCCCACTGCAACCAGGGATTGAGATCTCGAAGCATTGGCCGGCGACAAAGCCCTCACCACCCCAGCTAGCCGGAGATACCTACTCAAGCTTGGGAGTACTAGGAGAAAGATGGACGCGACTCAAACGTCAAGATCTCAAGTCGATGCCGTAATACGAGCACTTGACTGAACCCCGGACGAGCAAAACATCAGGGCATCTCCGCTGCATGTTGGAATCGCCATAGAAAAACGGCCTGTGGAAAAGCAGCAAGATACAACCAGATTTGCTGGGTCTGTGGGTAAACGTTGTGATCGGATTGTTTACGTGAGAGAAACTCTGTGAGTGGGTGGGAAGTGGGATTTTAGTCGTAGCAGTGGTCACTGCGGCGCAAAGGAGGAAAAAGGGGGCTTTGTCCGAGCGACGTGGGCAAAGGAAGAAAACGATTCCAGCTGGTCACGTGTCCACACGCACACCTTCCACCCGTAAAGCGGCATTGAGATATTCTTGCTTCAGGCATTATGTGCTATGGTGCACGTGATACAAATATTCGTCACACGATCATGTCCCCAGGATCTTGGAGAATCGTTTTACCGCATCCGCCTCAAACGCCCCTTTACACCGGTAGTGATACTGTAGGTGTTAAGCCTGGCCTGCCTGCTTGCGCTGCTTGCTCTGGCCGATCTCTTGTCTGCCATGTTGTTGTCTGCCAGTTGTCTATTTGGAACTCTTGACCTTGGCCAGTGCACTTCTCACAGGGATGTTATGTTCCGGATTTGGCTCTGGAAACCCTTCCAGTTCAACACCCTTTCTGAACAAGAGACAGTGGGTCGATCCGCCGAAATGGAACATGCCAATCTCATCACCCTTGTTCATATGTTGACCTTCTTTAACCGTCATTTCGCAGGTCGACACCTCGCACATGCCAATACCCAAAAACGCCATTAGGCCGATCGCCGGATTATCCGCCTCGAAGAACATGATGGCACGGGTTGCCGTGGCGGTCAAGTATCCCTGACTGGTGACTGGCCCTTCTGGGTCTGCTGGATGCTGGGGATTGAAGTCTTCGAACAAGGGTTCCGAGTAGTAGGTGCCGTCGACGACATAAGCCTTGACCAGCTTGCCGGAAACGGGGGCGTGCCAGCGATGGTAGCTCAAGGCACTCAAAAAGGCCTGATAGACGGTTCCGCCCACAAAATGCTCGGCAAGCGGGTCCTGGGCCAGCATGTCGCGCACCGAGTAAGCTTGATTTTTGAGCCAGAAATGATCGCGGTATTTGACATCACGAGCGACGCGGAACGTCTTGGACTCGCACGCATTGGCAATCACCGAGTCGTCGTCCGGACTGGCCACGGGCCGCACATTCTCCCGGAACCGACGGGTGAAGAAATCGTCCCATGACTTGAATCCGTATCGCTTGTCCGACGGATCACAGATAAACATGTCCTCGAACTTTTGGCCCGACTTGCCCAGGCTGGCGGTGAAGCTGAGCTCCTCGTGGCCGTGGTCGCTGAACCAACTGCCTGGGGCGTTTCTTTCCAGCACGCTGGCCGACTCGGGCGAGGTCAGAAACTCGGCCCATGCATTGAGCACCTTTTTCAGCATCTTGTTGACGTCCGGGTCGAGGAAGACGGCAAACCCACTAGGCGTGCCCATCGGCCAGTCAAACAGCGCGTTGAACGGCAGACCGACCAATCCCACTCGCTCCGACTTGTCGTTCCATGACGGCGCCGTGGTGAGGATATGGTTCATCACTTGTAGCATGTGCACGTGGTCACGCACTTGCGGATGGCCCTCGCCTTGCGGGTCGTTGTTGTACGGCGGTTTGTTGGGCACTTGCTGGAACATCGAGTTGAAGAGCAACCAGACGCGCGTGTTGTTCTCAATCAGCTCTTGGAATTCCTGTAGAACCGGGTGGAGTTCCTTGGGGTTTTGGTCGACATAGTCAATAACCCCGCCCAACCATTCTTTGTGCGCTCGATGGTCGTGAGGTAGCCATTCGCCGGTTCTGTAGTCAGGGTGGCCATGGCCCAGTTAGTCTTCAAGACAAGCATTTAGATGACGGATGCACCCGGGTTGGGGATCCATCAGTGGGCGGGACAGAAATACTGTACCTGTGCATATGGTGTTCCTTTGGGATGTTCTTTTCGTGCTTCATGATGGCGACAAGATGGGAGCGGTCGTTGAAGAGGATAAGACAACAAGACGACTAGAGACGAATAGCAGGTGAACTTGAAGTGACTTCAGTTCCGGGTTTGTAGCACAGAAATCGAGTGACGTCGTTAAATTATTTCATCGTGACGCGTCATTGGCGGCCAAACGGCGCAGCCAGTCACATGCCAGGCCGATCAATGCTTGTCTCAAGATTTTGGACACTTTATTTCAACCACTTCAAGTTGCCCGCTTATTACCTGATGCTCAGTACTGGAGCCCTGCTCAACCGTTTCACCAACGGTTGTCTTCAAGTTTGGTTCAAGGCTACCCAAGGATTATCTCCGACTATGATCCATGTTTGTTCAGTCGACCCCTCAGATTTCCAAGTCCGATCCCTGTGCTAAGTACATGTTATGTCCATGATCGCCATGTACTATGTCCCTCTACCTCCACCGCTCAAATAACCCACCCAAGATACGAAGGACCATTCCAAATAGATTATCTCTGGCGGATGTATCAATCAATTCCAGTTCTGCCATATGCATTCGCAACCCCCCGTGCCTCCATCAATCCCTCCAGCGTTTGGGTCAAAGTCAGCTTCTTCTGCACCAACTGTTCCATTAACTAGTGGCGGGGCCGGATTGATCAATGTTCCCCCCAGGCCACGCGCCTCGGGCACAATACTCCTGACATCCGTCTGTATCACCTGCAAATCGTCCACCCCATAACAATACACGGCCTTTTTGTTGATATTTCCCCCGTGTCGGTCCACACTCAGCGTCGTGGGATATGGAAACGACCCAGGACGGTTGAAGTTGGTCGCTGAACTGCCGTTTCCACCGGTGCTGTTGCTGTTGATGATCGGAGCAAGCAAAGTAGCACCGAACGCCGGGTTGGTCCACATTCGCACCAGAAACCGTGTCTGACTGAAGGTGCATCTCAGTTTCGATTCACTGCGTGGTGAGCCGCCATTCTCATCTTCGGGGTCGACGCCGCCATTGTCCGCGAAACCCGTCGTGTTGATGGGTGTGGTCGACTTCAGAAAGATGGCCTTGTCGTAATACATGTAAAATCCGTAGTGTTCGTCGGCCTGACCACGATTGTACAGCTTGATGGGCTGTGATGTCGGATATGGTGCGTTAGGCAGCAGGTTGGCAGGAGCCGCACTGCCGTCATCCAGCACATCGGGAGCCGGGATCGAGTCTGAAGAATTCGTGGCTCGTCGGGCCAGGAAACGTGAAACAGTCGGATCGTTGCTGGTGACATTGGACGGGTCGGCTGGAAAGACCGGAATGAAGGTGATGAAAAACGGCGTTGCTTCTCCTTCAAACGGTTGTGTGATATTATCCGTCGTGTTTCCCATGAAGATCTGGTCCGCTCGGCTAGGAGGCTCTGGATTCGGCTCGAAAAGGTCGTTGGTGAACGGGTCCTTTGCACGCTTGCCCACGTGTCCTGCTTCCCCCGTACCGTTACTCACAGGAACCGTCATATTAGCTGGAACCGTGCCATTCTTGAACGTAATTGAAAACCGGAAGTTGGGCTGATCTGCGTTGTTGGGCGCAATCTCCGCCTGGCTTTCTTTGGGTAAAGAACAGCTCCATAGCGTAGCGGGTGCGACGCATTGAGACTGTTGCTTGACGGCATCGGGTCTGGCTATCGTAGAAATACCCGTGGGTATTGGAGGGTAGCCTGTCAAGTTCAGCCATTGACTTTGGGCGGGGGTACCGTCCCCTGATCGCGTGAGCAAGAGAGCCAGCAGCAAGCATGTCAGAATAACCAAGAACAACGGAATGGATATGATCAATGTCCAATGTCGTTTGCTCCTCGGCGGACCTGCTTGTGGTGTGGCTCGTTTCTTCTTGAGCAAACCCCACAGCTTCGACAGGAAACCAGGTTTTCGGGAAGCATCCGATTCTTCCTTTCTCGGAGGTTCTTCTCTCTCGACAACGCGTCGGCTGCTCTGCCCGCCCACTTGAGGACTAGGGGGTGGTTGTGGCGGCTCTGCTTGAAAGATTTGAACCGGCTCGCGAGCAGGAGACCTGTCCACATGGGTTGTGTAATTGTGTATCGTAATCTCTGAAGGTTGTAAATGCTGAGGGATTGACGGTTGGTTCGGCATGTACGCCTCACCTGAAGGAGGAACTTGGCTTGAATTTTGCCGGACCTCAGTCATGGGTACCGCGCCCCTAGATACCATGTTTTCTTGCATTTCCGGGGAAATGGGACCAGGTGACATGATTGTGGGAGGATCTGCATGCGCCGGCATGACAGTCGCAACGTTTGGATATTGCGTACGGGGGTGGTTACCCTCCGACGCAGGGGACGGCTGTGCCCTCTGGAGCCCCACTGCCTCATCAACTGGTGGTACTGACTGGGAACGCGGCTCTGCTGTCATGTCTCCTTGCTCTCCTGGAGTCTCCAGGGATTTGTCTTTGGGAACTTGAGCTGATTCCACTTGGCCAACCTCCCGTGAGGACGGTTCGGGTCCACCGGATAAAGTAGGAAGATCGCTCACCACACTAGTATCTTTCGCGAAAGACTTGCTACCGTTGGCGGCGTGTCCGTCGACAGGGCGAGCAGCGCGCTCTGCAGGGGACGACGGCTTGTCTGCAGATCTGCAATCAAACACAGACTGCAGTTGAGGAAGTCTTTCCGTGCACGAATGGTTTTGGCATTCAAAATAGTGCCCACCGCTCAGCTGTTCCACAGCGCATGCGTGATAATATTGGCTAGTGTTGTTTCTGGAAATATGGCCCAGAGATTCGGCAGCATCATGAGTTGTCTCAACCTGTTTGTCCTCATGAGAAGCTTCACTTTGCTTGTTTGTCTCTAGACTCCCACTGCGTTCCCTCTGCCATGGGCTCCAACGAGACCAAACACTGGCCCTGGCTTCGGCCAAACCGAGGCGTCGGGGTGTCATTGGGGAATCTGGAGAGCAAGAAGACACGCAAACCGATTTGTGCGTATCCGCCGCAGCTGGCACCGGAGGAACATCCGCCCTTTTGGTGCCGCGCTTATCCACAATGGTGCCTTTTCTTGAGAGCATGGGTGAGAGCATAAGATTCCACCATCCTTGTGATCGAGGCCGTCCAGCATCGTACTCCGTGGACAATATGGGTTCTTGACTCTCGAACGAGGGCCGTGGGGCGTTGTCCACAGAATCTATCCCCCGTTCGTCATCAAATTCGGACTCGGTATCGTCCTGTTCGTGACCGCTTTTCGTAGTGCCAGAAACAACTGCACCAGGGGTGCTTGAAGTCGTCTTTTGAGGGTTGAGATGACTTTGAGGGATCTTCGGCACAGGAGGAGTGTGATGTTTCGAGACCTGTGCTTCGGCTTGAGGAAAGATGGAATAGATGCCAGAAGTAGGTCTGCGTTCGCCGTAAGACCCGCGTTTCCATGCCTCACCATCTTCAGCAGGCGTCACCACTATTGCAGGAGTGTCAGGTGTGGGCCCGGAGGCAGCACTGTCTAACCCCTTTGTGAGTCGGTGCGCATCCGCCTCGTTTTCTGGTACGCTAAGTCCAATAAGTATTGATCTTGCCTCGGGGGAATATTCATTGACTATCAGAGCTTTGCTGAGATGCTGCTGGGATGCGGCAGGAAGCCGGAATGGTGCAGTTGAGGTCGTGAGTTGTCCGTCGATCTTAGGTTCGGCCCCCATCTTTCGCTTTGATTTCGCATCTTGCAATTTTAAGCCGGCTTCTTTGTCATTACTTTCCTCCGATCTTTCCACCTTTGATATTTCGATTCGCCTCCCATTCCCATACAGAGAGGCGTGGTCAGGATTGCCAATATGCTCTGCTTTTGCGGAGACAATAGAAGTGGCATAGCGCGGTCCGATCTGTGGTCGGCGTGAGTGTACCTTGTCAATTACCAGGCCATCAGTCTGCGACCGTTTCGCCCGAGTAGAGAAGTTGGTGACGATGTTCAACCCCGGTCGGGGCCTGCGAGCTGACTTGGATGCCGATGTTTCCTGTCGACCCTTCACAGAACGATTCCTCCGCGAGTGAGACACATTTGCCATGCGTTTCGCATCTTGACTATACCGCTCGAGGTGGAATTCGTCCTGACCGCTGGAATTCCCACTGTCGTCAGAGGAGGAACTGGATGTAAACGGGTTGGGCGTGAAGAATGGATTACTGGTTTCCAGGAGGTCAGTAATGTTGCTCGGCTTCAACGCGGTCACTATTTCCAGTACTGGCGACGACAAAGGAAATCCAGGGCTGTGTTGTGGGAGATTAGGTTGCTCATTCATCCTTTTCGACCTCCCGGCTGGTGCAGAAGGCCTTTCCATAGTGGCAACCATATCGATTTAGTCTGGAGCGCGTGAGATCGGTTCCGCTGGAAAAGTCATGGAGTGAATAAAGAACAAAGGGTTGGATGAAGACAGGCCAGTAGGATGTTCTATTAGGCTGGGGCAGAGAACATTATCCGTCCGGCTCATGCCCGCTTTTCGGTGTTCCGTTTTAGTGAATGCTTCTGAGATGACCGCAGATGCGTCGAGTATTGAGTTTCGCCGAAGAATAGACTGTGTATTATGCAGGGAGAATGCAGTGAAGTCAAACAATAGTGACAAAGGTAATGGAAAACATCAAGCGATACCACCGTATTACAGGATGGCGCAGGCAACGCAGGATACAGCAGATTTCTCTCGAGGGGCCTAAGTTGGTTATATTGGAGGTAAGAGGACAAGCCACGTCGTCCGCAGGATATTCTCGGTCTTAGACAAGGACTTTGGGCCTCCATCGCGGTCCCGACCGTTGTTGTTTGAAGCGCGGCCGCGGCTATCGACGTCCATAATCGCGACTGGACGATGCCAAAGATAGCATTCCAGCGAGTAGATTCTCCGGCCTTTCGGCTCGGCGGCAACAGGCCACTCTAGCAGTCGAACAACAGCGGTCGACTGGAGGCTCAATCCGCCGCAAAGAAAATACGCGCGCGCGGCGGATGTTTGATGTTTGATGTTTCCAAGGCTGAAAAGCTGGCAGCCAGTAGCAGGCAAGTCACGTGGAAGGCTCAGACATTTGTTTCACAAGGCTAAGGAGGCTGCAAGGCTGCAACGACACTGTTTAGCGACTGTCCCTCCATCTTGCTGGATAAAGTATAGATACTGGTACGGAAAGGAGCCCATGGCTTCCTCTGGAATTAGTCCATCTACAAGATTCGTCACTAGACACACAAAAGTTTTTTCACGCCCCCGAGAAGCACCAAATGCTGCGCCATCCTCACGCCTATTAGAAGGCTCACGACACCATCAATTCCCCTTCCCGTCCTCTTGGATATATAACCTGGTTAATGGTATCATAAAACAATTCGCCTGTTCAAACATCAAATCGAATGCCATCCGCCAATTGTGATGGCAAGAAGAGCGCCGCAGTGCCATGAAGCAGATGCTCAAAAAATTCCACAACGAGAGGCATATAGAGACATCCCGAAATTACCAAGTACTTAACCCAAAAACTGTCTTCTCGTCAACGCCTTTCATCTGAATACTGTATCCCTTGCATAGATGAACTGTTCATTATGGGCGGCAAAGTTCGGGCGGACTCGTTCGGCCCGTCTAGGTGCCCATTGAAGTGTGATCCGTAGCCCATGGGACTCTGTGGCATCGCATTCGGCGGAGGAGGAAACGAGCCCTGTGGCTGCTGTAGGTTACGCATTTGCTGACTCATCTCGTGCAGCTTTGCCTCTAATTCGGCAATCTTCTGCCGCTGGCTCTCATATTCCGCTCGGTGTTGTTTATTCTGGTTTTCGAGTTGGGTGATGTAGTCGATCGCTAACACGACGTTAGCAGCTGCCTCTCAACGCCTGGACAGCGGTACTCACCTCTCGATAACGTCTCCCACTTGCTAGATTTATTGTTTTGACTTGCCGGCAGCCGCGATCTGAGCTGTTCGAAACAGTCCTTCATCTCGCTCCGTCTCTTGCGCTCAGCCAGCTTGTGGGTCACGCGGAGTTCGGGCGTACGACTGTACGGCGTCGTGCCGTTTGGCGAATCGGGGTCACCCCTGACACTGTCAAGTTGTCTGTGTTGTAGGCTATGGTGGTGCGTCTCTGGGAGTTCTAGACAATGTTAGCACTGCCGGGTTTTTTGGCTGAGGAGGTGAAAATACCTTGCTGACCAAGCGGTAACCGAGATGACTCCACAGTCAGGACACTGCTGGTGAATGACTCGGCAAAGCTGTTTCGCCGGGAGAAGTTCGACGGAGGTCTCCCTTGCCCTCGCGGGGCGTCTGGGTCAGGAAAAGCGTAGGCTTGACCACGCGTAGGGGCCTCCGCACTATAAACCTCCTGCTTGGGATTTTCCAGGATAGGAGGAGCCACTCGTCCCGCCGCAAAGCTTCGTCCGCCACGGTTGGAATTGAACGAAGACATAGAGCCATTCATGGTCGAGTATCGCCCCGCGTGATAGCCGTTTGTCTGGATGCCTCTTTCTCGTTGCAAGTCCGATACCAGCGACGTTTGCGAGGCATTGTTGCTTGTGTAAGGCGAGGTAGGTCCCAATCCCAGGTTATTCATGCCGTGGTGGATGCTGTTGGTCACACTGCTCCTCCGAGAATCATCAAAGTCGCCGCTGCCTCGGTGGGCGTTATGATCCACTGTCGGCGGTGGCAGCCCGTTCGACTGATGTTGCGTGGCACTACTGAAGGGCGCCGGGGGAGCAGAAGGATGGTCTGGCGTAAATGGTGAGTGTCCCGGCCCGGTGGGAGAATGGGCCGAGTTCAGATATGGCATGGAATTGCTCGAATGCGCGGAGGAGCCTGAAACTAGGAAGTTGATGATCAGCAAACGTCACAACAACCTGGGAGCACTGGGATAGACTAACGGGTACCAGGAGTCATCCAACTCCCCGAATCTCGTTGAGGTGGGTTGATGGAGAGGTCTGACGGGGCCCTCTCCGCCAAAGAACCCGGTAGCTTCGAAGTCAGAGAAGCTATCGAGGGGAGCGTCTGGGTAGTCTGTGGGAGACTGGGTGGAAGCTGTGTCTCCCACGGACGGCGGCTTGTTGTCTCCATCCTGCGACGAACCTCGACTTGTCGCTTTCCTGTGGAATATGACTAGCGAAGAAGGCAACCAGAGTCGTCGCTTTTTGGCATATGCTTCTTGACCAATGCCGCGTTGCCCCTGACTCGTCGCTCGACAAAGTCCGCAGCCCAGCAAACTATTGGCCAGTACGATCTGAGGGATGATACGTAAAACCGTTGGCGAAAGAGCGCAAGTCAAGGATGCTCACACAGCAGAGAGGAGTGGCACAGGGTTTCTGGATGAGTGTCGCGATGCTTCGACGCAAAGTCCCGTTTTTGGTAGACGTCTGGCACCGCCAATGCGCCCGAGCGGTCGAACACAAAGGGCCGCTGCGTGGCGGTGGATGTAACAGAACAAAATGGGGTGCTTCTGTGAGACTGCCCTTGCAGTACCCAGAGTCCACTCGGGGTTGCGAAAGGATTTATCTTGTTAAGCAGAGCTGTTCAATGTTCGCCCAAACCCTCCTGTTCTGTCGGAGTCCACGAGCACCTCTAGAAAACGTGGCCTCGGAGATCTTGTGGAGCAGGATCGGGGGCAATGCGGCTTGCCAGTGCGTCGAGAAATTCGAGGTATTGGGGCCGACGGATCGACTGGTGCCACAAGCGGCGGTAGGACGCAGGGGGGAAGGATTTGATCTCGACTTGGTAGTATGCGTCTGGAAGAGCAGTGGAAAAGGAGAGCTCAGCGATCGGACAATGATATGGACGTGCAAACGGTCGAAGGAAGATTCATACAGAATCGACTTTGACAACTCCAGCCAGTGCAGCGAAATCGTGGCACCGACAGACTGGGGCAACAGAAAGGTGTATGTATGTATAGGCGATCGGACGATGAATATTCGCTTGCGGGAGCCAGGCACCGCACGTCGAGTTTGGTACGGATGTGCTGCGCGACACGGGCGGAGGAGGAGTTGGGAAGAGCAGGACAGAGGGAGAGAAGACAGTCGAGAAGTTCTCGTTACAAGATGCAGCACATGGAATCCTCGTTTCCGATTGCAGTTCAGCGTCGCCGACGTCGAATCGAATCGAGGAGACCGTGGCAGTGAGTAGTTGCAGTGGATGTAGGTGTAGCAGTAGTAGCAACAGCAGCGGTAGTTCGCTGGAGGGCTTCAGGAGGCTTGGGAGGCCATCCGACTCAAAGGAGGCCCGACTGCAGTTCGCTCTTCTCCAGTTTTGACTGGATCCTCTACTAAGGTAGCCTCACTCTTTAGCCCGACGCACTCTTGCACTGTTACAACCTAAAAGCACGGGAGGGTCTTCGGGCGATGGACGGGGGAGGATAGTGTGCGCCAGTGGGTGTCAGTGGACGGCCAGGGAGCCACACCCAGCAGCGTCCAACGCCCGAAGCAGTTCGTGGCAGGCATAAGCTTAGGTGTGGGCCACGGCCAGCAGGGCCGAGGAATAAGGGAAGCGCAGGCTCTGGTGCCGTGAACCTGAAGCCCACTGCCCTGAACGGCTCAACGGGGCTGTCAGCGTCACCCTCCAACAGCTTGCAACCTGCACCCGGTCTTTCAAGCCCGCTCCCTCCACCAGCTGCGCTACTACTACCACATGTGCTTCATTCTGCCTCCTCGCACCTTTTGTTGCTAGTATCTTGCGCAGTGCATGGCACCAGGCGTGCCTTGGGTCCAGTCACCGTGGCTCCCCTACTGTATAGGGATAATCAGCAGTACATCAACTTGTCTCCGTAACATTCAGCATGAGAACAGTCCGATCTCAGGCGATTTCCGCCGCCCTCATCCATCGAAGTCTATCTACGAACTTGAGACTGAACAACGAACCATGCAGTGGGTGGAGGGAGCCTTGACGCCTCCCTAGATAGGTACGCTCCCAGAATCACCTCCTTGGCCTGTCCGTGCCAATGTGTCCTTCACCCTTCAGCATCCGAAGCTGGCTGCTGTGCCGGACCACGCCCACGTGCGCCCAAACCCAATAATGAACCTTCTCGAGCTGAGGGCCGAGGGGGCCGCAAAAGCTAACCGAATCATGACTGCTACAACTGCGGGAGCTAAAGGTCATCTTGCGTCCGACAAAGCAGCTCCTCTCGACCTGCAGCAGGCTGCAACCGACCTCGACTCGTGGCAAACCCATGTCTGATGTTGTCTACTAGGAGCCACTGCATCCAAGCTGCGGAACTTCTCGCCTCTCGTTTCACGAGAGCGTTGCTGCAATGGTCAGCCATCGTCCACTTCGGATACAGAATGTTCGTTCTCCAGGCTCGCGTGGTCAAAAGAGCGGTTACAGGACTACCTACAATGTACTACCAGGTAGGTAGGTGCTAGTAGTAGGCGAAAGAGACGTTTTCGGATGAGACACGCCAGTCTTCGGAGCATTCTGTTATCATCTGGGAGAAGACACGCCAACGACTCCACCCTTCCACGCCCCCTGGCGACATCGAACGCTGGGGTGTGACCATTTCAGCTGGCGCCCCTGGAGCCGCCGCCGCCACCCAGATTGCTAGGCAGTGCCCGACCCCTCTTTGCCGTGGTGGATGCCGCGGAGATATTATTGAACGCTCTTGCTTTTGGCGTTGCCCGCGACGCCAGCCTGCAAATAGTAGGCAATATTATTGACATATTCTCAGCCAGACCACCCGTATAGCTGCGAGCGGTTGTTCTTCTATCGCCTTTCCTTGACTCCCATCCAAGGCGTGGGCGATAGTACGGATGGTAAGCTCTCAACTGTTGGCAGTCTGACCGCCTGCAAGGAGCTCGTTTGACCTTGCAGGTCTCCCGGGACTACAGCATCTGGATCATGTCACCACACCGAAAATTTTCCTGTGGCCGACTGTGGCATCTGCGACGTCAGTGACGTTGAGGAACACGAGGTCTAAAACCATCGTAGTAAGACATTTTACTCCTTGTGCTCCGTGGCCCCCTGGCCTGTGCTTTGGATTCGCCAGGGCTGAATCAGTAATGCGAAGCTAACCATCGCTCGCAGGGGTTCTTGAAAACGTGGCAACGGCGTGTCTGTTGTCCTTGTTCGGGGCCTTATCCACATCCTACACGAATCATTTTTCTGGGGTTGGCCCTCAAGCTCTGCTAGTTGATCGCATAAAGCTTTCAACCCGCAGTCTTCTCCCTACTGAAGTTCGCTCTCACTCGTCGGGCCAGGTCCCGAACGTGGCAACCTGGTCTTCAGCTTAAAAACACTCGGACGGACCTGACAGCGCATCGTTGAGGCGAAATGTGACTTCTACTCAGACACGGGCCGAGTCATCCTCTCCAAATGGACGGGCACGCCGAAGTTTGTTTGAACAGTTAACGAATCAAGCATCATGTCTCATCATGCTCGATAGGACAACTTTCAACAGCGGCTTTGAGCGGCGGTACCAGAAGTAAGGTGTTTCTACGATCTTGGGCCGGTAACCGCCTTGACTGCATCGCCTCAAATCCCGGGGAAGCTCCGTTCCACATCATCCGGCTACTAGTAACACAGGCATTTCCTGGGTAGCACGTGTTGAGTTAGCTGGGCTACACTTGCCGTATGCTTGTCCTACGTGGACCACCGTGATGCGACATTGTTGAGATGTGTTTCGGTAAGCCCGTTTTGCTCAGGTAGGTACTGCAACAAGCTGCATCATTGAGAACTCTCGGTCTGGTTATACGGTTATACGGCGATCTGGTGTTCTCTACGGTTCTCCGTCAAATGAACTCACTCTGAACACCCAGTTTCGACTCCAAACTACCTTACTAGCAGTGTTGCACAATTTTCTAGCCCATCGACTTGGGGGAACCGACTTTTAGGCACATCTCAACGGACTCAAGGCCGGGCTCGCAAGGCAAATCAAGAGTTACCAACACCTCGACCAGACAGTCTCTGAGCTTGCCTGGCTTACAGTGCAACCTCTCACAACCACAATACGATCTCACTACTGCCGCCACGAGTCCATGGACAAGCTCTCCTCTGGCCTTTTACTTGTACTTGTACTTGTACTGTCCCGGCCTGTTCCACCATTGGATTGAAAATGATTACCTTGCACCGCCCCCAAAATAGGTAGGCGCCGCGGGCTGTGGAGACACTCCTACCGACTGATCTTCAACTGAGAATCCCTCGGTCAGAAATGTAGAGACTACGCTGCTCACAGCAGCATACTCATTCCCAGCGTTCCATGGGGGCTAAGTACTCAAAACACGCCAGCAGGCAGACTTCAGTTCAAAATTCCCCTAGGTTGATTACGGCCTCCAATGGACCCTAATGTGCCTACCATTAGCACTCGACCGCATCAACTATACAAAGGAAGGGCTTGTATCGTGCCATCCTGCATATTCAGAGGTCAGGGAGTGGAGAGTGGAGTCCTTTGCGGTTTGAATCCGTCGAGACTTATCCTGTAACTGCCAAAGAACGCTTGACAGCTGGTGAAAGTTGCTTGCTCGTGGTGATTACACATTTGGATTTGGTCAAAGCCGTGAAGAACAAACATACAAGGCAGCAAACAAGGCGGCAATCATGTTGGCAAATCTTCTTCACATTTATTTTGCCCTTCATTCCCATTCCACAAAGCAACTGCAAAGTTATCTTCTTCCACCCACCACCATGCGTACTAGAAGTGGTCAATACGGCGAACAGTCGTCCTCAGACGGCTTCGTCATGGTGGACGAGATGCCAGGTCTTCCTCTCCAACCACAATTCAACGTTGGTCAAGAGAAGACATCCATCCAACTGCACCCCCTTGACAAAGAAGACGCCTTCATTGTGTGTGTCCGACCTCCAATGGCGCCGGCGACTCTCGAGCGTGCGCCTTGCGATATTGTGCTGGTTATCGATGTGTCCAGTAGCATGACCGCCGCGGCGCCTCTGCCCATGGTTCAAGACATCGACGAAAGAGAATCGACAGGCTTGAGTATTCTTGATTTGACCAAACATGCTGCGCAGACAGTACTCGAGAGGCTGAACGAAAAAGACAGGCTTGGAATTGTGGCTTTTTCCAGAGACGCGAAGGTAGGCATATTCTGTTCCCATTTGGATCAACTGTGATGCTCAAAATCACACGCAGGTCGTGCAGAAGCTCATGCCGATGACTCCTGCGGCAAAGAGAGCGACCTCAAAGAAAATTGACCTCCTGCGAACGGACAGCCACACCAACCTCTGGGCCGGCACATGTCGAGGATTGGAGCTGTTTGGACAGGCTGATGCCATAGGAAATCTTCAAGGTCTTTTCATTCTGACCGATGGCATGCCCAATCAATGTGTCCACCACAAGGATATGCCGCTGCACTGGGTCCCAGATTGTCAGCAATGGCCAAAGATAGACCTAGCACACCTGCCATCCACACCTTTGGATTTGGCTACAAGATCGAGTCACACTTGATGCAGTCGATTGCCGAGGTGGGCAACGGGAACTACTCGTTCATCCCGGATGCTGGCATGATTGGGACGGTATTTGTACATGCAGTCGCCAACTTGTTTGCCACCATGGGCACCTCGGCCACGCTTGAACTGAATACCTCCAAGCGGGCAACCCTGAACGCCACGGCAGGCCTTGCTTCCACCTGGGACGAACGACGCAAGGCACTTAAATTGGAACTGGGCAATATTCAATATGGACAGACCCGAGACGTGGTTATCGAATGTCCAGGTATTGCCAGAGAAGCTAGCATTCATGCGTACCTCAACTACAAACTGCCCAACGGACAATCTCAAGCAGCAGGGTCTCAAGAATCCTTTGAGAAGAAGACAGCATTGGATCGAGCTACTGTTGACTATCACAAGAGTCGAGCGGCCATCTGTGGTTTCCTGTCCTCGCTGTTCCCACTTCAGCCGAATGGTGAACTTGGAGTGATACGAGGCATCAATGAAATGGCCCAAGCGCATTCGCGTCTCAACTCCATCATCGCATCAATTCAGTCTCTATCGACCAAGAATGATCCGCGGGTGAAGTCACTGCTGCAAGACCTTAAGGGTGATGAACCGGCTGGTCAAGTCACCAAGGCACTGATCCTGATGAGCGAGAAAAAGGAAAATTACTGGGAAAAATGGGGTCGACACTACCTTCCGAGCCTCCTCCACGCACATCAGCGTCAAATGTGCAACTCTTTCAAGGAGCCAGGCCCGCTGATGTACGGAAAAGAAAGCCCACTGTTCCTGAGCTATCGGGACAAGCTTGATCTGACATTCGACACTCTTCCACAGCCGACACCCAGCCTGCCACAAAGGCAGTTGCCCATCTACAGCGAAGATGGCTCAAGCACTGGCACTAGAAGCGAGCGTCATCGTTCAGTGACAATGAGTGAATACAGATCGAGTGAGGCGCCATGCTTCGGAGGCATGTCTAGAATCATCCTGGCTAACGGTTCTGCGATTCCGATCGTGACCCTCCAAGCAGGCATGTCGGTCTGGACACCCAACGGAGCACGCAAAGTCATCGCAGTGGTCAAGACACGGATCAGCAGCAAGGCCGGACAAACCCTCTGCCGCATCGGAGAGCTATTGGTGACTCCATACCATCCCCTCCTGCAGAACGGTAGCTGGGTCTTTCCGCAGGACGTTGCAGAGACTACCGAATCTTGTCGGAGCAGCGTGTTCTCAGTTCTCCTGGCACCGTCGCGAGATCCTGCTGATCATGCCATCAAAATAGGAGGGCAGGTCTGTGTGACGTTGGGGCACGGTGTTGTTGCGGGGCCCGAAGATGATGTTCGTGCACACGCATTCTTTGGCAATCATCGGCGGGTGGCCCTCGGTTTGCTTCAGCTGCCCAAGGGTGGATCTGGCCACTTCAGATGCAGTGGTGTGAAGAGAGACCCGGTGAGCGGACTTGTTTGTGGGTTCAAAGGCGTGAGAGACGATAAGACCCTCCTGAACACGGCCAGCCAAAACTGTCCTTCGGTGATGTTAGGGTTAAATGTCATGCATGATGGGCTTGGGAGATAGGTGATGGCACCTGAAAGTGCGTATGCAAGGGACATGGCACAGTCTCATGGGTGAGCCAACTGGCTTCTGCCCCGACAGGCAGTGAGAAGACCAGCAGCCTTCTCAGCCACAAGTCTATGATTGATTTTTCTTTTTTTCTGTTTCTGTTTCTGTTTAGTTAAGGCGTCTTGCGAGTGGATGCTTTTGAACAGGCGAGCGAGCACGCAAACTGCATTTTTTGCAGGCCACAGATGATGTATGGATTAGAAAGAAATGTTGTTACAGAACACGGAGTGATTTGCGCGCAGAAAGCACCTCATGATCATGTAGCACAGTTTACCAGTACTGTGTATGGTAGCATTGACATCCTTGTAATCTGGGGCCCAAGGCTTGGGTCTTGGTGTCAAGGGACGAGGCTCCGGTCGGCGAGGCAGTGAAGTCGGGAGGAACTGATCTAAAAATGGAAACCATGCGGACCCTGATGGAGACCCTCGATTTTTGTTTACGATTGCAAGGGCCGGACTTTGGAAAAGGGACACATTGGCAGCCAGATCGTGTCCCGCTTTAGCGCCCGCGTCTTGCAATGGTTGCACAGAGACTGGCCGAGGGGGCCATAATAGCAATATAGCTGCTAGTTTCGTGTGAGACGAGGCGGTGTAGTCGTAGCCCGTAGTAGTGGCTGATAGATGGTTCTTGGTCTTGGTTTTGGTCTTGTAAGCGATTGATGTTGTTGCTGCTGCCGCTGCTGCTAAATAATCAAACTGCGCGCCTCGTGCTCACCATCCTCCCGCTTCTCTCTTCCCAGACACAACCACAACCACAACCACAGCTACAGCTACACGGTCTTTAGCTTCTCTTTGTGTCACATTCGTTTGCTGTGCCCTATACATACCCAACACAAACAGCAACTTCCACAATGGCGTCCAAGGACAAGCTGGTCTCCTACGAAGGTGAGTTGGCGGTCGTCCAAGTTTAAGGCTGAGTGAACTGCTCAGCCTAGCTGCTCGACCTGCGTCAACGATGGTCCGAACAAAACTGACATGTACTCGCTGCAATGTAACAGACTACCAAGGCTGCCTCACAGCCTACTTTGAATGGGCCGAAGCGTACGATTCCAAGGTCAGTATTTGTGTCCCTTCTTTCTCGCACGACTACTGCTCCGTGGGTCTCCGATCTCCGTGAACTCTTGAGACTGACTTTTGAACTCGAAATCTAGGACTGGGACCGCCTACGCCGGATCGTCGCTCCCACCGTCCGCATCGACTACCGCTCGTTCCTGAACAAATTATGGCCCGCCATGCCGGCGGAAGAATACATTGCCATGGTGTCGGACCCCAAGGTGCTCGGTGACAAGCGTCTGATGACACAGCACTTCTGCGGCGCGTCCAAGTGGGAGAAGGTCTCGGACGACGAAATCATCGGCTACCACCAGCTGCGAGTGCCGCATCAAAAGTACACCGACGAGACCCGCACCAAGGTCCTGGTCAAGGGCCATGCGCATTCGTCCAATACTCATTGGTACAGGAAGATTGATGGCGTGTGGAAGTTTGCTGGCTTGAACCCGGATATCAGATGGAGCGAGTATGATTTTGATAAAGTCTTTGCAGAGGGCCGTGATGAGCTGGGCGAAAACGAAAAGGCTGAGGAGGCGGATAAGATTGCCAAGGAGGCCCAGGGTATTCCGGCCGAATAGAAATATACACAAAAGAAAAGGCGTGGAGAACAAAGGCAAGGCTGTATGTCTGTCTCGTGGCCTAGCTACTGGCGGGTTGTGTGATGTGGAAAACCGCGCAACGATCAGATATCAAACAAACACAAATATCCTATGGTTGACCTCACCCTAGCATTATGTTCAGGGTTGGCCGCACAGATACACTCCGGAGTGGTCGAGTTATTGCGTTGAGCAGCGCAAGGCAGTTGTCCGGTTCTTTCGCTAGGGTAGACACCCGTTCGAAGGAACAGAAAGACTAGCTGTTGTATCCTCTGAGAAGCAAGACCTGACCCAGACTCGTGCCAACCTTGCACGGCGACGGCGACGGCGTCGCACATGCATGACTTTCAATCCCGGCCATACTTAGTACCAGTATCCCCGATCAAGGAAGGCCAACAATGGAGTTGACTGAGATACTGAAGTAACACAGCAGAGCAGAACTTCCGCACAGTCTACTATTACTATCAGGTAGAGAAAGGAATGTCTTTGTCAGTCGTCGAGGCGGCTGGATGCTCTACTAGGACGCTGACGGCCCCCTTTACCCGGCCAAGGCTGAGCTCACATTGACCAATCGCAGCCGTGACATTTCCTCCGCCAGAAGCAATACCTACAGTAATAGTATGCCAACACATCTACCCTACTTCCATATGCATCCAGCTACTGAGACCTTTCCTCGAGAGCCGTTCAAAAGACTTCGGTCTGGTATAGCTGACTGACCATCATGGACATGGCTACGACCGACTTGCTCATTCGACTCGGCATTGCCATCCTTGTCATTCTGTTGGTTCATGTCGTCTGTGTCGCAATCTATCGACTGTACTTGAGCCCGATTGCGCATTTCCCGGGACCGAAACTCGCGGCGTTGACCACTGGTTACGAGTTTTACTATAATGTCGTGCAAGAGGGGCGGTTTTCGTTCCATGTGCGAGAATTGCATCGCAAATACGGTATGATATATTGATATTGATATTGACTACTTTGGTCTCGTGCCTATGTATCGAGCCGGGGCTGGCAGCAGATAGAAGGTCATGGGTGAATTCAACGTCGCTATCTATGTGTTGATCTTGATCCTTGGGCTGCTATGTCTTCAGTATTGTTCGAGAACTGCTCTATTTCCCGACCTGATAACGGAACTTCCAGGCCCCATCATCCGCATCAGCCCAACCGAGCTACACATCATGGACCCGGAATTCTTCGAAACCCTGTACGCACGCTCGCCCAACCTAGACAAATACGACTACTTTGCGCGGCGATTCGGTCATGCGTCCGACACCTTCTCGACATCCGACCACACGCTCCACCGAAGCCGACGCAAGGCATTGGGGCTGATGTTCTCAGTAAAACGAATCGACGAGTTCGAACCCACGGTCAAAGAACTGATTGAGAAACTGTGTTCCGTCATCGCAACATATACCGAAACTGACAAGATCTTGTCATTGTCGAGGGCATGGATGGCTCTCACCACGGACATCATCACCGAATACGCCTTTGCTCGGTCTTACGGACACCTGGACTCGCCGGGGTTCGAGGAGAGCCTGCACGACGCTATGATGACGGTCGACATCACGGGCAACTTTGCGCTCCATTTCCCCATCATCTTTCCGATTTTGGAGAGGTTGCCTGTCTGGACCGTCCGCAAGTTCAAGCCGGTCTTGCTTCCGGTCCTGGGTCTACGCTATGTATGAAGCGAAGCTTCCATTCCGAAATTCTTTCTTTTCAGCTAACACGGTTGAAACAGGACCTCGCCGAACAAGTCAAGCAGATCCGCGAAGGCACCAATGCAGCCTACAAGGAAAAAGGACACGCCACCATTTTCCACGAACTTCTCAACAGTAACCTCCCGCCGGCCGAAAAGACAGATGCGCGTCTGGGCGATGAGGCACAGCTCGTCATCGCCGCGGGTCTGTTGACCACGTACTGGGCACTAACGGTGGCTAGTTATTATATTATCAATGATCCGCACATACACGAAGCCTTGCGACGCGAGCTGGAAGAAGACGCAAAAAATGCCGCTCAAGAATCGCGGCAGCACAGCTCTGAGTCCACGTACAAGCAATACTTTGCCCAGCTGACATGGCATCGTCTCCAGACTTTGCCTTATCTAAGCGGTTGCGTGTACGAGGCCGTGCGACTTTCCACAGGTGTACCCGGTCGGAACCCGCGCATTTCACAAGACAAGGACCTGCAATATGGCCCTTGGACGATCCCCAAGGGAACACCCGTGTCCATGTACAGCATGCATGTGTTGATGGATGAGACGGTGTTTCCCAACCCGCATAAATTTGACCCGAACCGATGGATTGATAATCCTGGCTTGGAGAGGTATTTTGTTGCTTTTGGGAAGGGGTCCCGGTCATGTTTGGGAATCAAGTAAGTGAAGCCGAAGAGAAAGGAGTTCTACCTCTTGCTCCCTACCTATGATTACATATGCCCGTGTTGTTCCTATTTTTGTGTCTGCCACAACCTCTCCGTCGGTTCAGATGCTTTGGTCCTGTGTGTGAGGGATGTGTGACTAACCAGAAACAAAGTCTGGCGCAGGCTGAAATCTATCTCGCCCTCGCGGCCGTCTTTGGCCGCTTCACATTCCAGCTGCACAACACCGACGTCTCGGACGTGCAGACGGCACATACGTATCTCTTGCCTTATCCCAAATGGGACTCGAAGGGCGTGAGAGTAAAGGTTGTGGAAGACAGAACACAACAACCTATCAATCAATGATAGCCGATGACTAGAGAACAGACACTGTCGAAGCGTTGCAGCTAGCACCTAGCTGTCTAGCAATGGAAAAATCAATCTTTGCCCTGGCGCGGCGCGCACATACTATGCCAGGTTGATTTATTTACTTCATTGCGGCAATTCAATTCGAGTCTGTTCGACCCTGAACTAGAACGGAACTATGATGCGCTGCGCACGACGAGAAGCGCGCCATATCTTTTTTAGTCGTCAAAGTGGACACAAAGACTACATAGTAGTAGTACCACTTTACCACGGCGAATGGGGCTTCAGATTTCTCTTTTTCCGGTGCCAACTGGGTCCTCTGACAAATCTTGGATATGAGGTCCTTGCACGCTTTGACGCTTTGACCTGCCATGTTGAAGGGGGAAGAGGATGTCAAAATCCAGGCCCGCCCCGCAATGCAATTCAATGGCGGCTCTGCCTGGGAAAGCCTGGATGCTTGGACACTGTACAGCGTTGTATCGCGCTGCCACGATGGACAAAACTACCTTATGCTTTCCATGTTGGCCAGCTTAGCACATGCCGCGAATTGAAGTGAACGGAACGGAAACATCATGTGCGAGTCCTGTGCAAGAGACCAACCAGGAGCTCTAGCTGCCAATGCAAGCCTCGGCCACGGCACAGGGTGATAGCGGAGGAGGAAACGCCTCAAGCTCGTCCCGTCACCGAGGCGGTCGTCGATTCATTATTCGTTCGTTGGCCTAGCCGCGTCAGGGGTGCCGGTGTGCTATACCTAAGTTGAAGTCCGGCGCTTAAGTTCGAGGTCAGTTTGACCGTGGCAAAGCATCGCTGCGACCGTCCTGCAGTGCAGTGCTTTGGTGTGCCTGAGCACGAACATGCTAGCAAGCTACCTACTACTGTACGCGTGCGGTATATGACAGGAGTCGTAGTAGTAGTGAGAACGGGGCCAACGGGTGTTCAGAATCTCCACTGAGAGTGCATACCGGGCGCCTCGGGGTCCATGAGCTTAGCACAATTAATGTAGGTACCATTGTACTGCAGCAGAGCTGTGCTGTGGGTTTGGGGAGGATGGATCACGAGGGCCTTTACAACTTGAACTCATATGGCCAACATCTATATCTGCTATTGTACTACTGTTTGGGATCTCATCCACTGGCCATGTCTCCAGATAGTACACAGTGTTGGCAGGTGCGCTAAAATTGTTGTATTTGCTCTCGCTCTATCCACTTGACAGTGTATAGAGTAGTCCTATATATACTATAGAAATCGGAGAGAACATCGTATCTCGTACGGTCTATAGATCATTCTAGAGAGTAGTAAACCTCGTCGTCGACGTCGTTATCGAGCGTTATTTAGGGTCGATAGCGAGGTTTAGGAAGCGTAGCTAACGTAAGTATTCCTTAGTAGTAGGGTATCGGAGCCGACTATATATAACACACCCCCTTTAGGCTATATCCGTCGCTTTACCGTCGAATATAGCCTATATATCGACTAGGCGAAGATATATATAGACGAATCGTTTATAATTCTATATTATTAGTACTTTCGTAAAGCTATCTACTCTTATATTAGCGATTACGATCTATTCTATCCGTATTTTACTAGCTTATATCTCCTATCTTAACTAATACTTATATATATTAACGTATTTTAGCTTTATAGATAGTTAAAAGTTATCCTTAGTTAGTAGACGAATAGTCTATATATTATTAGCTTTAATAGTAAGCGGTTAGTTAAGTTTTAAATATATCGAGTTAAAGAAGCGACTCTACTAGAGTATTTCCTTAGCTATACGAGATAGAGCGAGTAGTTCTACCTCTATATTTAAAGTTATTACTATATTCTATCGAGAGGCTTTCTAGTTAATAGAGCCTTCGAATAGTATAAAGAGATAGTTATCGGAACTCTTTCGGCTAGTATTATTAGTAAATACTACGTCTAAGTATACCTTAAAGATATTAACGCTCTCGTGTTTATTATTATTTTAAGGAGTTATTTTAGGAGGAGTAGAGTATTTAAGAGTAAGAGTACGTATACGCTTTAAGTAGCCTAGTACTCTATTAGCGGTAGCTATATATTCTAGTAATAGATTACGTAAGTATTATAAGAGTATAGAGTAAGCCCTTACGATATCCGATCTCGTCGTTATAGCTGCGAAATTAATAGACCCTATACGCTATTAATATACATATATCTCTTATAAAGTAGCTTAGCTATTATATAGTACGAGACTTTTAGTTAAAAGAGATATTAACGATATCTTTCTACCGTACGTATTAACGTTAAACTTGACTAATAGTTTATTAATATATAAATCCTATACGAGCTATAACTTATATAGTCTTCGATCTCGTACGATTCGTATATCGAGAAACTAGTTAACTTCTAGTATAATACGTAGAGTAAATCGCTCTTATAGGCTCTATAGAATTATATTAACTCTCTCCTTAGACTTACGCTTATAGTATAGAATAATATCGTCTACGTAGAATAGAACGATAAGAAACTCGTTATTAAGAATATAATTAACTTTTAGTACTTAAGAAAGACCTAGTATCTTAAGAGTATTACTAAGAGTATTATACTATAATAAAGAGCTTTACTTAAGGCCGTAGAGCGCCTTAAGTAGACGAAGTATTATATCTAGTACTTTAAAACCTTCTAGGAAACGTATATAGATTTTCTTATCGATTTTACTATTAAGGAATACGTTAATAGTATTAAGTTATATAAGATCTAGGTCGTAAGCGGCCGTAATAGCCATAATAGTACGAAAGATACTAAAAGTAAGAGTAGCCGTATAGATATCTTTAAAGGTAAGTTATAAGTCTTCTCGTATATATATACGTACCTTAAACTTACTTAAGTAGCCGTTATTATCGAATTTATATTTAAATACCTAAATAAGAGAAAGAATATTATATCTATTTATATCTTTAGTAGAGACTAGTACGAAGGTTTACTTACGTTTAAGTTCCTCGTATTTAACTCTTACGACTTTCTTAAATTTCTTTTAAAATAGGTAATTAGCGAGCTATTTTTATAATTTTAGCTTAGAAGAAAGAGTATTTCTATATACTCGTTAGTAATCTTTTCTAGTAGTAAAGGCGGCGGCGAAGACTAAGTAGTACGTCGATAAGTCTTCGTTAATACTATTATCTTTAAGCGTAGCGATATACGTCTATTTCCTCGATTTCGAATATCGTCTTATCGTAATAATATTTCTTTTATTAAAATCTACTAAGATATTAGTATATCGAGGGGCTTAGACTATCTTATTTTAGTCTAGAGACGTCTAGCGGAGTAAGTCTTCTATAGTAGTCTTCTTAAGTATATATATTTATAATTCTTCTTTCTAAATTTCTTCTCTTCTTTCTTATTCTCTTATTAAGAAGAGATCGGCCTCCGCTAGAGGCTAGTTCTTTATAATAAATAAAGAAGGAGAATTTAACGATATCGATAGAGGTTCGGCGCCGCTAGAGATACCCTCTCGTTTAGGCTCGCGTCTCTCTAAGAAGCCCTCTTAAGTAGGGGCGTCCTAGCGCGCGGCTCGGGCGGTAGAGTCCTCTCGACTAGTAGCGCGGCGAGAGCCCTCGATACTTTCGGTTATAGACCGCGAGCTCCGTAAGCCTACGATTACTTCTATAATAGTTATCGGTCTTATAGATATCGCTAGTTAAGAAGAAGAAAAAGAAGGTTTAGGCGTAGCGTTAGAAGTAAGATATATATCTATAGAATTACGTATAATTAGCGCTTTACGTAATTTAACCTTCTCGGTCTCTAATTAGCTAGAAATTAACGTCGTCTAAGGCTCCTAAGCTCCTAATTAGTCGGAAGTAGTTTCCGAATAATTCGGCGCTAAGTCGTTTTTAGAATTAATTAGGATTATACCTATTTTAGATATCGACTCGTATACTTCGATATCTAGCTAAATCGACTTAATCGATAGTAATTTATTATCTTTATATAGAAGTAGTAAAAACGTCTTATTATCGTTAAAGATAACGTCTTATATCCGTATAATCTAGCCTTTATCGGGTCGCTAGATTCGAAAGATATTTATTAAATTATACTTAATAAGATACTTAATCTACGCGTATTATTAAAGTTTATCTTTTCGTAGAATATTATACTATAATACGTAGGCTTTATAGCCGTATACGTATATATACGAGATATCGAGTCGTTACCCGTATAATATTTCGAATAGCGTTTTCTAGCTAAGCGTACGAGATAGTAATCGGTTTAAGATATATTCTACAGTTTTTACTATCTTAGGCTATAGATTCTTTAGTAGGTTTATATATAGACGTATTATTCGAGCTATATTAATAAGTAATCGGCCTACTCGCTTCGTATAACCGTTTTAAGCGAGAGTATACGGTATACTTCGTTTAGTTATTAGATCTCTATCTCGTGCGTCGTTATCGTAGATCTTCGATAGCGATCTTTCTCCGTCTATTCTAATAAACTTAACGTTATAGCTATATCTCGTATAAATTATATTTATAAAGTCTTAAACTATTTAGGATAATTAATACTTTCGTAGATATATATAGACGAAATATATTCCCGTATAGTAATCTTTAAAATAGCTAATCTATTTATCTCCGTTATAGACTATATTAAGTAGTATTAAGTTATACGAGACTCTATTAAATAGTCTCGTCGCTAATTCTTCTTATAATAAGTCTCGAGAGATAATCTAGATTACTTTTAATAATCGATAAGGCTCGTATTAAATAGGAGTAATCTTCTTAATCTTCGGAAGTCCGATTACTACATCTAGTAGGTACCGGAGCGCTTTATATTCTATATAGTCTATAACGGCGTATAGTCTATCTAGAGAGTCCTCGTAGGGAGGCTTACCCCCTTAAGCTACGGTAGCGGTAGTAACAGGAGCCTATCTTATCGGCGCTAACGCTACGTCGGAAGCCGCCCGTATATAGGGTATTACGAGAGGAGCTAGCGGCCCTATATTAAAAGCTTCTCTAACTAATTCCGACGCCGTAACGTTAGGAGTAGTCTTTAGGGTTATTAAAGGAGAAGAAGAGGATAGAGAGTCGGATATATATAGTTATCGAGACGCTAAGATAGGGTTATCGAATAGTACCTAGTAACCGTCTTTTCTTTATACCGTACGTAGTATAGATATTCGTTATTTAGTATTAAGACTTCGTCTAGTATATTCTAGTTAATATTCTTATTATATAAACGAGAGAGCGATACTAGGTTCGTTATAAACCCTAGAATAAGAGCGACGTCGAGTAGTATAAGTCTCTTAACTCTATTTTTAGTAGATATATATAGTTTAACGCTTCTAAATACTTTAATAGAATATCGATTTATTGTCACGGACAGGTCCACGGCCGCTAGAGTAGAGGTGTACTCTAAAAAGACTTGAATTCCAAGCACTTGTGCTTGGGAATTCTGGACCTGTAATTGATATCCTACTATTCCTAGTCACGTGTTTAGTTCGTGACATTTATCCCTATAATAAGAATATCGGTTTCGGTCGCTTCTCTAGTCCTTATAAAGTTCTCTAGCTTATTATATATATATATATTAGATCCGGAGTTGAGTATCTAGTAATTCTTTAACTTATAATCGGTTACGGTAGTATATAAATACGCGATAAATACTCCGAGTATTAGTTCTCCTTACTATTATTAATTATCCTTACTCTTTCCCTTATTCTTATTAATAAGTCGTTTAATACGCTTACGTAAGGCCTTATCGTTATTTAACTTAGTCTATACTTTATAATTAACTTTAGGGTTTAGAGCCTAATTATCTAGTCGTTTTAAAGGATTTAGATAATAATACTTATTAAAGAAGTATTTATATCCGTAGATATACTTAGGTTTCTTCTATTACTTCTTATCTTCTTTTAATATACTAAATACTAAGTATAATACTACTTTCGCTATTAATTTCTTCGAATTATAGTATACGCTTTTAACTATATTAACGAGGTCGTATAATAATATATATTCTATTTCTCTTCGGTTATAGAACTTAGTAAGTTCTAAATCTACTATACTTAGATATAGAGATTATATAGTAGTAAGGAAGTCGATTTATACTACGTCTTCTATAGCTTCTATTATATATAGAGCCTTATACTGCTTATATAGGGACTTCTATTAATAGAACTATATCTTTAAGTCTTTACTTCGTAGTACTTATTTTAAAGTATACTACTTACTCGCGAGACTTTGCCTCTTTATCGCGTCTAAGGGTTCTAGACGGTCTCTTAGTATCTTTAGCCGACGATAGGGCGTAGACTTATCTTCGTAATATAGGCGGTTAGATAGAGATATCGTTCTATTAAATCGATTATTAAGGCGTTAGATTAGGATAGTCTATTATCGATATAGCTCTAATTAACGTTAGTAGTCTCTATCTTTCCTATCTAGCGCCTATTTCTCCTCCTATATAAGTATATTCGATTCGGTATAGGGAGGTAGTTTAGGCGGCTCTAGTAATAGAATCGGTTCGGGTTAGGAGAGGTCGATATACTACTATAATTCGTTAGCCTATACTTTACTTTTAAAGGCTCTATACTAGTTATTCTAGTTATCGAGAGTACTTAGAATAGGAGTAGTTCTAACGGAGATAGTAGAAGAGCGAGTCGACTCCTCGTAGTATGCTACTATTATTTCGGTTACGGTAGAGAATAATTCTATTAATACTATTAATTAGTTCTCGTATTAGGGTATAAGTATTATAGATAAATATATTCGATTATTAGTCGTTCGTAGAGTAGTTAATCGTAAACCGGGCTTATAACTATTAGTAGGTACGCTAAAATTATTATATTTACTCTCGCTCTATCTACTTAATAGTATATAGAGTAGTTTTATATATATTATAGAAATCGGAGAGAATACCGTATCTCGTACGGTCTATAGATTATTCTAGAGAGTGGTAAACCTCGTCGTCGACGTCGTTATCGAGCGTTATTTAGGGTCGATAGCGAGGTTTAGGAAGCGCAGCTGACGTAAGTGTTCCTTGGCAGTGGGGCATCGGAGCCGACTGTGTACAACACACAGGATTGACTACTATACTGCGTCCAGGCTACAGCACAGACCTACTACTAGTAGTAGTACATCTGTACCCTCGCCCTCGCGCCACCATCCTAAACTCCGTGGCTAGGACGATCGAGCCTCAGGCTCCCCGAACAGATCCCGGCTTGTGAGCCCCATAGCGGAGCCTCCGCGTGGCCTGGCGCTGCCGGTGCGGCCGGCGAACTGCACAGGAGTCGTAGACAACATCCAAAGTAGGTTGCCTACCTTATTAGCTTGACTCTGAAGCTCATCGAGACCCAGTTCATTTCCCTCGTTCGATCGAGCCGGACGGGACTACTGGAGAACGGGCCGACCGATGCTTGAAGTTCTCTTCCCCTCCAGATACTCATCATTTTCTATGAAATATCTGCCATGATAAGAATCCTGAACAGATTGGTCTCTCACCTGTCCTACAGTTAGCAGAAGTCAATTCATCAGCCAACGGCCGTTGCTTTGTGTTTGTTCTCCAAATGGCCAACATGACCAGCGAGCAAGACCACGCCGAAGACGTCGACCCGGGGTACTGGGATGACGACGAAGCGGACCTGGAATCCCAAACCACGTCCTTGTACTCTGCCATCTGGGAACACGTCTATGAAAATGGCCGGACGTACCATGGCTACAGAGCTGGGTCTTACTGGTACGTACAGACTTACAGTACAGCACTCCGACGTTCCGTTCACACATTTTACTGTATCTATCCATGCACGACCGTTGCAATCCAAACTGGTACTTATTGTGATCAATGTCTCGCACTCGCTCCGTCCACTTTCTCTCGCAGTCCCCTCTTGGCTCAATTTCCCTTTTTTTGTTTTTGGCCTTTCTGTCTCTATCTCTCCTGGGACATTAGTATTGATTTTTTTTGGTATTTTTAACAGGGGGCCCAACGACGACCAAGCCAACAGCAACCTCGACCTATTCCACCACATTTTCAACCTAACGCTCAAAGGACAACTAACACTCGCACCAATCGGCGAGAGTCCGCAAAGGGTATTAGATCTAGGCACCGGAACAGGAATCTGGGCGATGGATTTCGCAGACCGATACCCGACCGCCACAGTAATTGGAACGGACCTATCACCAATCCAGCCGCAATGGGTGCCGCCGAACGTGCAATTTGAGATTGACGACTTTTGTCAGCCGTGGACGTTCAAGAAGAACTCGTTTGATTTCATCCATGCCCGCTGTCTGTACGGCTGCATCGCCGACTACGGGGCTTTTTACGAGGAAGTCCTAAATCATTTGCAACCCGGCGGCTGGTTCGAACAGGCCGAGATCAGTGTCGTTTCTCGGTCCGACGACGGCACTACTGACGGTACTTATCTCGAACAATGGAGCCAGTTGGCCCTCGAGGGCGGTGACCGGATCGGCAAGACTTTTCGCATCGCCGACGAACTCGAGGACCGCATGGTCGATGCCGGCTTCGTCAATGTCCGGTGTTTCCGCTTCAAGTGGCCTATTGGGCCTTGGCCCAAAGACCCAAAGTTGAAGGAGATTGGGGCGTATAATCGTCTCGCTTGTGAGCAGGGGATCGACGGTTGGGCCTTACGGCCTTTGACTCAGATTCTGGGGGTGAGTATGAGTGCAATTACGAGTTCTATCCACGATTCTTTCTTCAATGACGATGACGCACGTGGTGTCTTGCACTGCTGTCATGTTGGATCGGATGGCTTTGCCTTATCGGCTTCTTTTTTGCTGCCACGCCCGCTGACTGCCGTGGTTCATCCTTTGCTGGCTGGCTGAATCAGACCGCCCTGATTACTCTTCTTGTTTGTCGAGAGACTTAATGTCCGTCTGTCGGTTCCAAGTGGGAGTGGCAGTGGCAGTTTTCAAACCAGCATCCGAGATCCCTTATTTGTTTCTCGCTGTTCCCGATCGCGATCCTTTTTCCTCTCTCGTGTCCCACCTTTCTTTGCTCCTTTTCAATTGTGTGCTCTTTCTCATACTATATGGCTCAGAGCTGCTGCTGACTCGACTTTTTTGAACCGCAGTGGTCCATCGAAGAAGTTCACGTCCTGTGCGCCCAACTCCGACGGGATTTTCGAGACCGGAAAATCCACGCTTATCAATATGTGTAAGTTTGGACCATCCATAACCATCAACAACGGCACTACCCTGAAAATATCCTTTTCCTTTCATCATGCCATTGTCATGGCTCGTTTGATTTTTATGCTAGCGAGCTGCTAAGCAACTGCTAACCCCTACCCTCACCTAGCTCCGTATGCTACGGTCAGAAGCCGGCAACTTGAGGATTGAGGTTGTTTACAGTTTCCCTGTTGCTCAAACAAATGTCTGCCAACGACCTCCTGAGTCTTGTTAGTTCGGTCAAGTCCGATCAGGACTTGTTGCAGTCCGTCACACAGCTTTCCGGGTCCGGGAAACGCCAGAACTAAAGTGACGGGGTCTACGGTCTACCCTGCACTACGACGCAATGCAAAGCAAACCAAGTATTTGAGCAGGTGCACCACAACAAGCAAGCTCCTTTATCTGGAGAGGATCAGCATCGGCATCGACATCAACTCAGCCTCGATTACCTTGCCTCTCTCTGTCTTTTACTCTGGCTGATGAAAAGTGGAACGAACATCGAAACCTCGAGAGTCGAAAAGGCCACTAGAGCGCCCGTTCTTCTCGTCAGTCAGCTCGACCAATGGGTCCGGTTTAAGTACGATAAAATCAGATCAAACCAGACCAGACACGACTCCCACTTGGAAAACCAATCCACTTGTGGCACAATCCAATCTTCAGCCACTGCATGTCAACATCAAAGCCGACAAAGACGTGGTGGGCCATCCATCAGAGGCTGAGCATGGAACCGATCCTGGAACCAAAGTGATTTTAACTCTGGGCGACCGTCAAATCTGTCCGAGAAGTCAACGATGCCATCCAAAGACCCCAACATAACATCCCAACATTGTAATGAGGAAGATAACGTCGATAACCGGGCCCAGTCAACATTCCTGGTAACACGACGTGTGAGACAAGCTGAGCTGAGCCTAGACAGCACGACACGAAACACATTAGTATGAGGCCAGACACAAACCGAGTCGACGACCGCCCTGAGAGGACCGGACACCATAATCATGATAAGGCACCAGACACGAAGCTTTGAACGAAACACACCACGACAGGCAGGACACGAGACCTGCATCGCTTACTATACATAAGCGCGAGCGAGCGCGCGCCCTGGAACTGAAACTCAAAACTCCCACACTCCTCGAAAGCGCGGATCTAGCATCTGCATCTGCCTGAACACTGCCATGAACCTGATTCCGAACTCGAACTTGGGCCAAATATGATGGATGGACATGGACATATATCCGACCACCACTGCCATCAGCCCACTACCTGTATTCATCAAATACAAGGACAAACACTTAATGTCCAGCTGAGCTACTGCAATCCAAGAACAAAAAACAAATGCAGAATGAACCCAATTGGACGACCCTGGGCAACTCAGTTTGACACAGTTTGCCTCGATGACAAACAACGACTTGCTGGGCGAGAGTACTGTAGAACAAAAGGTACCTTTGGTATGCAGTGGCTGCAAACATCACGGTTCAGATCACACACACAGGCTGCAACAGCTTGAACCACCATGACATAACATGACATAAACACATTCATTATTAGATCGTTATCGTCCAAAGGGACAATAGTGATGGTAAGAGCTGGCCAGATACAAGATTGGTCTTGTCTTTCTTTCCCATTTCACACCCTTCGCGGGAATCACAAAATCTGCGCGATATTTAGTCTCCTTTCTTTCAACACCTATCACGCCCCCTTTCTAAGATGGAACTACCATATTTTGGTCGTGTCATTGCACCAAAATCCCCAAAATGTCACACACAGAGAACCGCCCACTGCATTTGGCGCCATCTCCTCCAATTTTCAAAAGCTCTCAATCTCAGTCTCAATCCAGCTAGCTGTCATGTAATGTAATACATTCCGGTCGAGTCTGAAATCTCAACAAACTTCAAGAGCATCTCGTCAATAGTCACGGTAGGGTTCGAACCCATGCATAGAACCGTAACCGCTCGGTGGACGCGTAGGAGGTTGCTGGTTCCAAACACTTCCGTTCGCCTGAGCTCGCCGTTCTAAACAAGTGACACAAATTAGTCTCCACGAGTATACCACAAACACTAGAACGCTGGTCAAGCTTACCTCTTTCAAAATCTCCCCATCGTTTCATGGTGATCTTGCTACTGTCGAATTCTCCTTCATATTCCAAACCGGCCTTCTTAGTCTTCTCCCCAGCCGTCTTTCGAGTCTCACCCCAACTGAAATCATCAAACTTCCAGAACGCATAAGCTGGAAGAACAAAGTTCCAGATAGGTAATGACAGGAGGTAGATGCCCATCCAAAGAATGTACGACCAACGGTGAGCGGTCAAGACGATCAAAATCGCGGGAAGTCCAAGAATGAGGGCCAACAGGACCAATGGGATGACCGGAACCGGTTTCTTGACGATCGAGATGATGATGAGATAGAAAGTAAACGAAATGGCGGCGGGGAGAACCAGAGTGCCAATCAGTTCGATAAACACCACAAACTGCATGCTGAAGCAGAAGGTCCCGCAAAGATCCCGCACCAGCACGAGTTCCATCAGGTTGTGCACCGTACTGTTGATCCATCGTCGACGTTGAGACAGAAGAACCTTGAATTCGTCGGGCACGGTGGTCTTACACACTGCCTGAGGCACGAAGACTTGTTTTCTTTTAGGGAACGTCTTCAGCATCAGAGTGGACAGATATCGATCCTCGCCCAGAAGCAGCAGATTCTTCTTATGAAGAGTGTCGACCACATTCTCCGAGTAATGCTCAACAATGTCGGGATTGGCCAGGATGGGAACCCAGTAGTTCTGACCACCTTTGGGCGACTTGATCCGGTACATGCAGAAGCAACCAGGAAGACAAGTGACACCGCCAAAGACGGACTCAAAAGATTTCGACAGGTGATGAGAAATAAAGTACTCAAACACCTGGATCCGTGACACCCAAGAAGCGTTCTTGTTGGCAATCTTGGTTTCGCCACAGAGACCCATGATCTCGGGATCTTTGACCATGGCCGATACCATATGAGTCAAACTGTCCGGGAAGACTTTCGTATCGGCGTCCACCATGAGCACCATCTCGTAAAAATCGGGCGACATGCCTGTCACCTTCCACAGACCGTTGAACATTTCGTATTCCAGTTCGGTCATTCTTTCGTCGAACATGACCTTCTGCAAGAAGGACATCAGAATGATCTGACTGTCACGTTTACCTCGGTTGCCGGGTTTGCTCTTGGTGGCCTCGTCTGGAGTTCCGCATTTGACAACCACCATCATGGGCACTCGTTGTTGCTTGGTCGGGTCGATTCTGGACTTTGGGCCATAGTCGTAGAATCCGGCATACACTTTGGCCATGTTGTGCCGCTTGGCACCGCTTGACACAGCCACGTACGAGAAAGCCTGGACGTCCTCGGGAGCGATCACAAAATCGCCCATCATGCCGAGAACAATGTCTGGGGTGGATTGAGCTTCGCCTTTTCCTTTGATCATACCGTCACAGACAACAAGAATGGCTTTGTGGCTGTTCGGGTAATCTGTAGTGGCGATCGAATCCAGCGTGGTGCGAATCCCGTCTTCACCCTCCGAGTAGGCCGTGACCAAACAGATGACATGAGCGAGGGGATATCCAAAAGGTTGCCACTCTGGAGGTGGTTGGGGAACCACGTTTTCGTGAATGAAACCCACAGGGCCATTCGGATCCAGATTGTCCATGACGGCCGAATACCTAGTTTCCTGCCCGGACAGGAGTAAGCTGGATCTACTAGCACCAACACTCATCCTGGAGTGCAGGTCAAGAGTATTCTGACTGCTGTTAAAACCGGATTTGTACGGGTTGCCGCCAGGCAGCAATTTCGCATTGGATGATTGACTCGTCATCGTGGTTGGAGGAGGTCGACTGCTTCTTCGATCGACGGCATACGGACTGGTGAAACGAGATGTCTGAGGGAGAAACATGCTGCCACGTTTGCTGGTTCGTCCGTCAGATCCGGTAACCGTACTTGCAGGGTCCGTGATTTTCGGCGCAGGCTTGTAGATATCGTCGGTCCAGTCTTCGATTTGTTTGGCTCGTTTCTTCGGATCAGACGTCTGAGAAGTTTTGGCCGCCGCAAAGCGCCGAGCGAGGAACCACTGGAACGCCAAAGCGAGGAAGAATTTGGCAGCGACAATGGCGAGGATGAAAACCAATGAGACGTACAGCACAACCTTCGATGCGATACACCCAACACTCTCCGTGTCGATGGAGCCGACCTTCGCAATCTGGGTGAGACATCGACCGACCTGTTTGTCGGTTGCCGACTGCAAGACATGCGTGAGGTCCATGCCACGGACCCGCCCATTCTCTCGCAAGTCGTCAAACTGCTGAGGCCATGCGACCTGACTCTTGTTGAACCATTTCAAGAGATCCAGATCCACGACAGAGCCGGAATACACCGCAAGGTTTCGGCTTTTGTTCTTGATGTCATCCCACGTAAAATACACGTCGCCGGCCTTCTTAAGGCTGTAGAACGTATTCCTTGCTTTAGCGGTGGTATGACAAGCATAGCCAAGATAGTATGGGCTGGTCAGGTTGACCTCAGACGAACCATCCTGGTTGAATGCCGTGCAAGGAAAATACCACGCCAGGTCTCCGTCGGAATTGGTAGGGACATCAGACCCTTCAGCTAGCGTGATAAGACCTTTGCAAGCGCCATTGACCTTTTGGAACATAAAACTTCCGTCCTGGCCACCGTACTTGTGGGGCAGGTCATAGAGCACGTTGGCGTCCAAAGGAATACCACGGGCAGCTGGATGCATGGATCCGTCCAGATTGTAAGCACCACCATGAAAGATCATATAGCCTCGGTCGACATGGTTGATTTTGAGCCGCAGACCCGGGGCTGCACAAACAGCTTGTGTGAAGCCAAAGGTCAGGAAACCGACAAAGGCGGCGATAAGAAGGATGATGCTGATCAGCCCAACCTTTTCTCTCCATGCCCTCCGCTGTGCCCTCGCAGGCATACCGAAGCATTGTAGGAGACAATCTGGAGCCCAGAATGTGACCACCGCACAGTAGATGTTCCAAATACTTGGAGGCTTGATCTTGTCAAGTTCCTTCTGTCTCCTCTTTTCTTCTTCAGTCAAGTTTCGCGTATCCTTTCTGACCAGCTTGCGAGGCGCTTTCTTTTTACCCACAGGCTCCAATTTCCCAGGCATACGTGACTTTTGCGGATTGCCGACAACTTCCTCCTCGATAGAGGTGTCTTGCTGGGTGCTTCCCGAGCTCACGGTGCGGTGCTCGGCCAGATCCTCTACCACGGGGTCATTGCCGGTGGTGGAAGGAAGGACTTCCATGTTTGCGGCATGTTTGCGGTAGTAGTAATTGGGATGGTCCCGGTCAATACGGTTGCGTTCGGGACGAATGAGAGACTTCTTTCGACCGAGGTCGCTTTGGCTCATGGGATTGGGATTAGACATGATCGGCTCCCAGTCTGCCGTCCTTGAGCTGGGTGAGGGAGGATACGGCTCAGTGCCGTTTCGCTGCGGCGGGTATGGGGGATTTTGTGGTGGGTTGTAACCTGTTTCGACGTCCCTCAATCGGCGGGAAGGCGACTCTCTGTACGGTGAATGTGACTTGTCACGGGTTGGCGAAGTCGCCGGCCGGGGCATACGTGGTTCTGCCATGGCGCTGTAGGGGGAAGAATGTTAGTGGGGACAATCTCCATCAACAATGGCATTATTAGCATAGCACGTACATTTTGGCTATATGTCACTCCTTTTCCACATGGACTCGCTTTTTCGACTGTTGGTATTAACGAGTGAAGTCGGAGGCTAGCGCCTGCGCAGCCTTGTCCGCCGATGTCTGAAGAGGTTTGTCGCCGAGGAACTCGTGACGGTGCAGGGCGATATGATACAAGCGGCGGCGTGAAGCACCCGATGTGCAGACTGGCCCTTGGAAGAGTGTTGGCGGGCAAGAGGTGACCAGGTTGAATTGATCAAACGATTGGGATCACTTTTGGTATTGTTTGTTGTCCAGGGGAAAACTGCGCCCCGAGGCAAGCCGGAGGCAAACGAGGGACAGTTGTATGGAACAGTTCGCGGCAGTGCCCTGGACACCCCGTCAAGAAGTGATTGCAAGGCGAGGAAAAAGAATGTACTGTGGTATGTTTGCTTGTATGGGGAAAGAGGGTATAGCCAGGATACAACTTGAAGGAGGATTAGAGCCGCTGCCAGTGTGTGTCTGGAGTCTGTGTCTGGGTTGCTGGGCTTCGGTGGTGGTGCTTCGGGTTTGGATTTGTTGGTTTGTTTGACATGGGCGTGTCAGCCAGTGCCAGTGATTGCCGGGCGCAGTCCAGTTCCAGTCACACTCATCAGTGGCCAAAACCAGGCCTGCGCAGGTCTGCTCCAGGGCTGCTACTATTTTACTGGTCTCGCCTACTAGTGGTATCGATCATCAGGAGAAACATTGATCGAGGCCGCAGCGCCACAACTGCAGGATGCAAGACCATGCAGCAGACATCTTGACGCTGCAGTCTTTTACCGCGAGGGCGGTTGAGGCCCCAAACACAACTTGTTACTACAGGAGAAAATCACACCCACACAAATTCCGTCCTGGTGTACTATCCAAGGTTGTCAACATGGCACTTCTACGTCCTCCACTTTGCATCGACCCCCGACTCGGTGGGAATCAATCTGTTGTTGCCTTGCTCAATCAGGACTGCTCAAGTGAGTTCCTGCATCCTGCAGACGCACTCGCTTGTGGCTGAGTCGATGCGCTTGATATTCGGTGGGGGCCCTGTCCATGTCCCTGTCGTGATGGATGTTGTGCCTGTTCTGCTTGCCCTGTTCGCAAACCAGGTATATTCCTGGTAGCTGAGTATAACCTAGCAAGTACCTACATTGTACAGTACATACTACTGGGTACCTAGGTAGTAGGTAGAGTGCCCCTGGGTGTCTGGTGGTACTAGTAGTGCTCATTTTTTATCTCCGAGCGATGCGGTTGCCCTGCCAGTGGACAGAAACACGGTGCTACAGCGGTTACGCACTTACCAGCTGCCCACTGCACCCCGGCACGGTGATGGCATTTTATTCAAGATACCTAATATAAGTATTGATTGACAGGATGCTGACCCTTGGCAAACTACCTCAGAACTCCTTGTCTACGGCTTTAGGATTTGTAGATTCAGCATTGACGACTCTCCATCGAGTGGGCCTCAAGGAGCCATCCTAAGCATGCCCTGCCCCCTGGGCGACTGAACATCCCGGTACCTTGTCCTCCATGGGATCCCAAGATCTGTGCACCAGCAACTTGAACCGTACGGTATGATCGAAAATAAGGATTATCTACCAGTATAGCAACCAGAATAAAGAGGCTCCCCCTCGCCCGCCACGTCCGCGGACAGACAGGCATACAATGTTGTACCACTGTATATCCATAGCACAGTAGCAGTAGTCATCTCTGGGCTTCTCCCCTCCATCCGGCTCCCTCGGAATCCGCGAACATCGCAGTGTAGCCCACGGCAGAGGTCTCTTATTATAGTAGTATTGTACCACTGTACAATTGTACTAATCGTGACCACAAGGTAAAACTTGGACCCGCGCAGTTCCAGAAACAGATTTTGGCTACCGGGGCCATCCGCCGGGCATGTTCGTTGGACCATGAAAAGCCGGCGCTGAGAGTCTGGCGGCCCCCACGAGAGCTAGTAGTCCCAGCGCCATCTTCAAGCCTAGACGAAACAGTCTCGGGCTGAAGAGCCATCCACTGGCACTACTTCCTACCGCGATCCATTCACTGCGCGACTGCTTTACGACCACAACCCCAGTAGGATGCGTTAGGCACCCAACTTCTGTCTAGATACAGCCTCGTCTGGCTTAAGGAAGCACTGACACTATAACCACAGTGATCGCGTCTTCTCGCTAAGGCAGTCTGCTTCAGGATAAAGCTGCACATGATCCTAGGACCTAAAGTTCTAGGGATGAAGTAAGTTTGGTACCTATTTTATGTACTCTGCCATATATGCACAGTGACACCGCGGATCCTGTCACTTGACTGTCTACCGCGCCTCGATCAACTAACTGCAGCACAAAGCAAAGACCGTTAAGCTGTCAAAGACATTTTCTTTGTCTGCCGGACAGAAAAGCTAGAAAAGCTGCCCAAAGGGCGTCTATTTTAGCCACGGCCATCAAAGAACCACGTACCTGGCCGCGCATCACAGCACGCAGAAAAGGAGACCGTCAACCCATCAGGTGGCAGTGTGGGGACTGTCCACGTCTAACCAAAAAGTGCCTGTTCGCCATCCTTCCGCTCCCTTTACCCATCAATTCCATTCCATCCCATCCCGCACGCTCGCTTGCTCGCACACTGCTGCTATTGTTGCTTCTACTGTCTTCCACCGTGATATCAATCGTGCGGATGAACTGACCGGGGCTGCCTGGAGCTATCCCGTCAAATCCGCTTGCTTTTAGCATTGAAGCCATCGTCCTTGCGTTCAGCCAGCGACCGCAACCTCTCTCTGTCCATCAAAGGCACTGCATTCCAACCACCATTCGTTCCCACGGCCGTACAGGCTCACGGCAAGACGCCACAGCATTCCTTTCCGTCCATCCATATCCAGGGCTTCCGCAGAGTACCGCTTTGACTCTACCCCAGACGATTAAGCACATTCCAGCATCGGAATTGCCTTGGGCTGCTGTCCAACCATTCTGCGCCGGTTGAACCTCTCCAGCCTGACACGAACTGTTACCTCGCTCTCACCTTCGTAGTAGTGGCATTTCAGTCGGAGCTCAAATGTCTGCGGCTTAAGGCGCTCTGTCCTTCGATACCGTCGAAATGGCTCAAGTCGCCAGTCCTCCTCTCCCGCCCACTCCTCCACCACCGATTTACTCTCCACCCCTTCGGGCGAACAGTCCCCAGGTAATGGAGCCTCTGGAAGAGAAGGGCATTGTACAGCAACCTCCTGCTTATCAGCAAGAAAATCAAGAGCCCAAAAACATGAGCAACCCTACCATATCCATGTCGCCCGCCGACGGCGGATCTGGAGAAGAGGCCCTTGAAGTCACTGAAGTTCAGATCAGCCCACCCGAACCCGCGCTGCCGAAACCGAGTGATGCCGCTGCGCCGGAGGGGACGTTAACTCCAGAGCCGTCGCTTCGACAGGATCCCGCCAGACTGTCGCCAGGCCCTCAGACAATACGACGACAACTAGGCGAGCCCCAAACTGACATCAATCATCGGAGAGTGTCCTCGGAGAATCTCAACCCTCAAGGAGGGCCTGAACTGACACCGTTCCAAAAGAGATCTGTGCGCCATGTTTCTACTTCTGCTGTTGATATGGACCCCCCTGCGGAGTCCTTCGAGCCGCTGCGGTACCATCACCAGTCTCTTGAAGACCCTGAGATGAGAACATTAAACAGACGAGCTTCTCGGCTCACCGTTGCTACCGACATGTCCGGCCCCGCAGACAGCTCGCGGAATAGTACGTACGGTCTAAACCTGCGGAGACCTGACTCTGCGTTTTCAAGCACATCTGAGTTCCGTGGTCGAACATACTCTCCAAGTTTGTCTCCTGCCCGGCCAGTGTCAAGGGGATCCAGGTCGCCTGACACCCGACCGTTATCATACGTCGATCTCTTGAACGTTCCATACCCTCAACCGCCGCCGAGTGGCGCCGAGAATCTCGTCAACTCAGGACTTCGTTCGGTGGTTGGTAACAATGCCAACCTACTCTCTACCCGCAAGACTTTGGAAATGTATCGTGCCAATGTCAAGAAGACCAATGATCCGGCCGTGCAGTATGAATTCGCCATCTTCATGATTAGTGCCGCTCAGGAGGAAGGATTGGAGCAGGAAGGCGATGCTGCCTCTGCCGTGTCTGGAAAATCACATGCCTCGGTTCGAGACGACCTGCTGAAGGAGGCGAAGCATATCCTGCAAAGACTGGCCGACCGCTCATATCCATTTGCTCAGTATTATCTGGCAGACGGCTATGCGTCTGGGCTGTTTAATAAAGGCAAAGAAGACTGGGATCGAGCCTTTCCCCTTTTCCTTGCCGCGTCTAAACATGGTCACGCCGAGGCCATGTACCGAACCGCCCTGTGCTACGAGTTTGGCTGGGGTTGCCGGATAGATGCAGCCAAGGCTGTCCAATTCTACCAGCATGCAGCCAGCAAAAACCATCCAGGTGCCATGCTTCGACTTGGCCGAGCCTGTTTGACAGGTGATATGGGATTGACAAAGCGGTACCGGGAAGGTGTGAGATGGCTGAAGCGAGCCGCTGAAGCAGCCGATTTCCAGTACAACCAAGCACCTTATGACCTAGGTTGTCTTCACGAGACAGGCTACGGGCCAGACGTCTTTAAAGACGAGGCTTATGCTGCACAACTCTACACCAAGGCTGCTGACCTTGGACATGTCGACGCGAACTTTCGACTCGGTCGGGCATATGAGTTTGGTGAATTGAACTGTCCCAAGGACCCGGCTCTGAGCATTCACTTCTACACCGGGGCTGCAGAGCGTGGACATCCTGAGTCCCAACTAGCCCTTTGTGCCTGGTACATGGTTGGCGTTCCCGGCGTGTTGGAAAAGGATGAGGCCGAAGCGTACGAATGGGCTAAAAAGGCGGCCGAACAGGGTCTGGCGAAGGCACAGTACACTGTTGGATACTTCACGGAGATGGGCATAGGGTGCCGTCGTGATCCGCTCGAGGCCAACGTCTGGTACGTTCGGGCTGCGGATCAGGGTGAAGAACGTGCCAAACATCGCATTGCTGCCATCCGAGCGGCCGGTGCTGGCGCCGACCCGGTCACTGCGGCGACAGCAAAGAAAGGTCTACTGACCAGCAGCAAAAGTTCGGGAAATAAAGGACCTCAGGGTGAGCCACCTCTCTCCCGCGATGCGCTCGCTAGCGGTTCGGAATCACTGACCAGAAAAAATACAGAAGGCGAAAAGAAGAAGAAATTCGGAATCTTCTAGCCTCGGATTCGAATTTCACCACCCGACAGCAGAGGCCGACCTCAGGCTTGGGATAGTAAGTCAGATGTCGGCGCCAGGGATTGTCTCCACCACCATACTACTAATTAGACGACTGGCATTTGGGTTGGGCCTAAAGCATCGAGCAATGTCAAGCATGTGAGCTGGAGGATCGGATTTTTGAGCTGAAGATATCCCTGTACGGGGCGAGAGCGGACGAGTTTGATGAGAGCACACAACATTGCGGGCAGCCATGTCTTCTTTGGGCGTTCAGGGCATGAAATTCTTCCTGCATAGCGATGATACCAGGCCTCATAGAGAGACTCGAGAAGAGGCCAGTGTTTGAACCCAAGAAATTTCTGTACAAACAAGTGCTTCTGTATGCTTCGTTTGTCGCTCCTCCCCTCCACTAACGACGGTCCAGAAGTCCCAAATGGTGTCTGGCGTTGCCTTTCACCTTCAGCTCATACTGCGTCTTCATTCCCTCAAAGTTTCTTATTTGCTACAACGCCGTTCAACATTGCTCCATACTCTCCGATCCCCTCGGCAGTCAGGTATTTGCTTATGCTGCAGGGCTTGGAATCTTGTCTCTTTACGGAATTCGAAGCGACGGATCCCACCCTCCGCAGCTGCTGTGTAACCTTCGAGATACTCCCCCGCCTCGAGCTGAAAGAGTTGGGCGTTGGCATTATGGTGAACGATACTTATACACTGGGACTGCAACTATCTAGAGCAGAATGGTCCTCCTTAGAATCGCGCGCAGGCTCTTGCACACTTCTTACAACTACACGATGCTGCCTTCGAAAGATACTGCGCAGAATTCAGAAGTGACCACCAGTGTCGAGGACAGCAGTAATGCTGGGGAGCGTATCACTCACGCACATATTTGGAAGCGAGACAGGTCAGTAGTCATGGAGCTGGCAGGCTTGCCAAATCGTGCTGACAGCCGGCAGATTCTCTGGTGCTATCTTATTCAACTTCCTGGCATTTGTTCTTCCTGCTCTCTATGGCACAATATCCAAGCTATGGGTGGCCAACATCGACTCGAGCATGGTCGTCACCGTGGATTCCTACACGTACATCGGGGTCGTGGCCGAGGTGATTAACGAAGGGCTGCCCCGAGCTGCCTGGGTCGTCATTGGCGACCGGTCCGCTCGGCCACTGGCTTCGCGCATCGGGCTCTCACAGACGCTGATTCTATTCCAGAGCATGCTCGGCTTGATCGTCAGTCTGATCATTCTTGGGGCTGCCAGAAATTTCGCTGCGGGATTTGTCCCAATCCAGGTCCGTCAGGCCAGTCTGACATATGTTCGTCTGAGCTCGTTTTCTGTCTTGAGCGGCGCTATCGAGGCCGCCGTCACAAATGCTACACGAGCATTGGATCATCCTGACGTTCCTCTTATCATCAGTATAGTCAGGTTTGCCGTCAACATCATTCTGGATCTCTTGCTCATTTCTCCCTTTCATGTGGGAAACTTCTCCCCTTCGGTCAACACGCAAGCCGGGATTCGACTTGGCTGTGACTTTGCTGCCGCGTTCAGCGGACTGGCTGCATTTCTCGTCATTGCGATCAGACTTCGCAGAGCCCATGCTCTCGAAGACGTTCCCCGGCCCAGCGTGAAGGCTCTCCGGGTCCTTTTCAGACCGGGCGTTCCGCCTTTCGTTGAATCTGCCGTACGGAACGCCCTCTACCTGTGGCTCGTGGCCAACATTGTGTCCATGGGCACCGATTACGCCACGGCTTGGGGCGTGTTCAACACCATTCGATGGGGGTTGGTCATGGTTCCGGTTCAGACGCTCGAGGCGGCCTCATTGACATTCACCGGGCACGCCTGGGGTCGTTGGCGGAACGAGGTTGGTGGCGAGATTCGCGAGGCCAAAGCCAGTAGGAAACAGATTCGAGGTAGGTCACCACAAGTCATTCGTGATAGATCTAACTTTGACCTGGTTATGGTTCCTTCAGCCATGGCATACCCAGCGCTTGTTTCGTCGGCCGCCGTCTTGACGGTCGAGGTTGCTCTCTGCATTTTTCTGTCGCGGTTCGGATGCAAGCCGTTTGCGCAATACATCTCCGGTTCCGAGACCATTGGTAGCATCACTGGCCATATGTGGCGGACCATCGATTGGTGCTACATCTTTTATGCCCTATCAACCCAGCTGGCAACAATTCTCCTGGCCACCGTTCCTCGGTGGTATCTTTATCAGTCGCTCGTCTCGAATCTCTGCTATGTCTTACCATGGGCCATTGTTTGTCAGGCTGCACATCTCAACCCGGACGACGCCTGGACCTACCATTCCTTTGTATTTGGAGGCAGCCTGGTCTTCAGCTTCTTTGATGTGTTGCTGTTTGTATCGCTGTGGGCGTGGAAGCTTCAACGAGGCACCCTTGACTTTGACAAAGTGCGACTTGCGTAGGACAACGACCCTGGTGTCACCAGATCAGTAGTCGATGTGGCCGGTCAAAGAATCCAAGACAAATATGGCACAAATATAACTATATCCACCAATATGGGCAGCATTTAACCGTGTTTCGTCCGCGTCAATTTCAGATCAGAGTCCCAGATCTTTAGTGAACAGCGGTACCATCCGTCATCTCACAGTAATACCTCGGTCGGTTGCAATGCAGCTCTCAACAATATTCACCAGGACGCGGACTTCACCACCACAGCACGTACTGTAAGCGGCCCCCGATGAAATCCATCCCTCACATTGACAACACCCTCGAATACGGTGGTCATCAGGACAACAGAAAGACACCTACTAGTTTGTCAACCCGTAGCTCTTTCGCTTCGACGTCGCCATCTTGTTGCGGCATGATTGGCTCTCTTACACTAGGCGGTGAACGAGATGCAGGATCATGGACCGACCATCGATCTAGTCTTCTGCCCAAGCGACTGTTTACCGAAATCACCCCTAGCCTTCATAGGCATTACCAATCAGCTGCCTGGCCATCAACCGAATATTCTTGTTCTTCTTTGAGCTCACCGCTTCAACTACGCTGAGCTGACTCGGATTCCTTTTTCAATCTCTGTTAAAACTGCCCATCTTCCCCACAGAAGTCCTTACCGTCTGTGGGGGCACACTACTGCTTGCAGGTTTGGTTTTGGCTTTTGTCGGACATTCGTGCCGGTCACTACCCCCATCATGTGCTTGCTGTGTTGTTTGAAATGGTCGTTTTGGCTAGCGCCTGACCACTTTTGATGCGCGTCTCTCGTCCAATCCTTGATGCAGACGCCGAGGACATTGATGTGTTCTAGTACATTAATGCTACTGCGGACTCTTGCAAGCGTCCCCAGGTTGAAACACCGAGGGAGACACCGACATGGAGATGATCGGTTGGCTAAGATCGCGTGGCCGTGACAACTTCTTTTTTCGGTCCTGCAATGTACAAATGTGGTGGTGTGCAGACCACAAGATCAGGTGGTCAACGACTAAAACTGATAGATAAAGTATAGCACCTGACTTCGATTTGTGTGACATTGAAAGGCTGTGAAAAGGTCTGTTTTTGTGCTTCTCATCTTTCATCCCATGGTTCGATGATAGACCAATGGGTTAGTTGTTAATGTTCTGTTACTTTTCTACATGGACTCGAGTTGAACGGCCTCACGGCGAATAAATCTCAGGTTCTGTTCGGTCGGTGACGAGCTCTGACTTGATCGACGAATCAGTCCACACCGCTGCTTCGAGTGGTGTGAGACAGAAGGATTCTCACCTACTAGAGGACATCACGGACAAGACGCCCTTGAAACTCTTTGTTCACCTTACCAAAGCAGGAGACAAGGGACCGAACGTGGAGCGAGACAACCACATGGGAGAAGAAGACACCTCACAGGAGGGGAACGTTGCGAAAGTCTTCGAGTCGGTCGCAAAAGATGATGCCAGCTCGAAAGATTACAGCAGCAGCAACCGCACAAGAACCCGGACCCGAACCAGCACAAAGTCGAAGTCTCGCTCGAGAACCCCCAGCCAATCTGGAAACAACGGTAGTCCTTCACCATGTCGGCGGCAGCGGAAGAGCAAGAAGCACTCCCGGCAAGAATCATTAGCACTCCACCGCCAATCGTGTCTTCTATTTTCCTCGCCGGACGGAATGACCGTGTTACCCAGTCGAGAATTCACGCCTCTGCCGAGCGCCGCTGCGAGTTTTAGGTCTTCGTCGACGACTTCGACATCAAGCGGCGGCGGCCGAGAGAGACATGGTTACGTTTATTCATACCCACCAGCAGCAGACACATATACGCGTGAAGCTACGTCTTCGGACGCTGGTCACGGTGGCGGTGGTTTGGACGCAGCAGCGGCGGCGGCGGCGGCGGCGGCAGTTCAGAGAAGGATACTATGTGAAACAATCGATGCGAAATTGAATCGGCTGGCTGCGCAACAACAGCAGCAGCAAAAACACAACCGACGGAAGGATCAATCTACGGTATCTACGTGTTCGACGTCTACATGTTCTTACTGTACCATCTCTCCCCGTGTTCCGATTCGTTCTGACAGTTGTCGAGGCAAAGGCGAAGCTGAAGCTGAAGCTGAAGAATCCATCGACATCAACACCAACACTGCGAGTATAGTTGAGGTACCCGTGATAGTAGAGTCCAGATCAAGGGCGGACTCATACTCAGGCTCAGGCTCCCGTCATGGTGAAAGAGAGACAGAAACAGGCATAACAACCCCAACTGTCACTGGCAGAAACAGAAACAGAAACCTGGAACTCGACACCGTCATGACATGGACCTCGGACGCAACCCGGCGGCGCGAATATGCCAAGATCGACCGTGCGCACAGCGGTCTACGTGGCCTTTGGCGTCGGTGTGTTTGTGTCTTGATCTGTGGTAGTAAATATAATCAAAAGAGACGAAGAGGGTTTTTTACGGGGCGGTGTGATGGTGACAGTGTTCGAAGGTTCAGATTGGATTTAGGGGTTGAAGGTGATAGTGACGACAAGGATAGTGACGATGATGAAGGAGAGAATGGTGCCGACGATGATCAAGTGCATGGGCACGTGCTCGAGGATGAGGATGAGAATGAGAATGGAGGGCATGAATATACGACGACAACGAGAAGAACAACGACGACGACGACAGCAGCGATGACGATGATAGATATAGATCAAACGAAACGGCCAACGCCAACGCCAACGCCGACACCAACTCCACGACAAACTACAACCACAACCACAACCCAGTGTCTCAGTCTCATGGAAATGGAATTGGAAATGAGACAACTGAAAGGCCAGACTCGGATGGCGATAGTACAGGTGAAAGAAGAGGATGGACAGCAACCACGGCGGGAAACTCATAGGGGCGGCCATTGGATGCGGACGCAGACGCGGACGCGGACGCAGAGGTGGAAATGGACACAGGTGCAGAAATGGAAATTGGGATCTAATGTCCTCAGTACCTAGTACCTAGTAAGAATGATATTCAGAGACACATACTGTACATGCTAGCAGTACAGGAAGGATGTCTGGTGATCATGATCACCTGTCACGGTCACTATCCCATCAGTCTGTCTTTCAGGAAATCAAGATCCAGAATGATCTAATACATGGGACATTTCAGTAGGTCCCTGTAGGTAGCAGACCATCGAGCTGCAGTGAGACGAAAGGAAAGGGCGGCGGAGAGATTCAGAGAATGAATGACTTGAATCCACCGCGGCGCGACCTCAAACTTCAATTCCGGACCCGGCCTCGACCTTAACCCCCACATAAGGTGTCTAGGGCTATCGGCCTGCTTGGGCTTGTGTGATACTGGACCTGGGAGAACTTGAAGCAAAAGCTACTGCCTCTTGTCCATAATGCAGTGGTGCACCATTGTTGCACGTCCGAACTGTATATACAGTACAGTACTGTACACATAAAGTGTAGTATGTATGGGTCATCCATACTGCCAGTTGCTATCGCCTGCTTATTTCGCGATTTTGATTTTTCAATTGAAATGAAGCGCCATGACGGGACGGAATGGGCGGATACTGTGAATGATGCAGTGCTGGTTCATGGCGTGTGCCGTCCTTTCCAGTCATGAAAAGGGAGGTAGATAGATGCGTAAAGGGCCGGGCCCGCTGGGGCAGAAAAGATGTCGAGGGAAGAAGAAAGAGCTCGTTGGCTCATCAGAAGATCAAGCAGATATCGATCTCTGGACTTGTAGTGGCCTGATCAAGAATCTTGGCTCCTAGAAAAATAGAGACGCTGCGTCGGCTTTGATGAGGAGCTGAAGATTCAGTGTTTTTCTTGCTCCGCTCCTCCACTGAGGACCGAACTAAGGGACCCTCACGGGATCAATGCGTCTCTGGGTTTGTTTTGGTGGAGTTTGGTACGCTGTCATTTCAAGGCAGAACTGGAGGTCGTCCAGTGCACACTGTGACACGCAGTGAGCCGAGCTGACGGTCAGGCTTGTTGGTGGTGATTGAAATGAATCCTGGGGGTTCGTGGGAAATGGGATCCGTCGCATCCATCGAAGTGGCAGTCCCGGGTTCCGCTTATAGCCCTGCACAGACGGCCATGAACCCTAGGTCACGCCCCTCAAGCTCATCATCTCTGGACGAATCCAATCCTGGATCATGTCTGTTTGTCCACGTCACTGGATTGCGATAGTGTAGTAGTCCACATCTTCTCATGCGATAATATAACCCCCCAGGACTTTGATCAGTTGTAACCCTCTGTTGTCCCAGTTACAACAAATCGAAATCGTCCAGTTTCTCACGGTACTGCAAAACCTGTCTCTTGACTTTACTCCCGTCGACCCAAGTGACAAAGTCCTCCATCCCACGCGAAATGAGAAACGCCGGATCCGTCACCACCTCGGTGCCCACGCGGACATGGCCCTGTTCCACAAACTTGTGAGCCGTACTGATGTGCTCGACCATGCCAATGCGCACCATCAACACGCCCAGTCGCCGTCTGCAGAAAGCCGACACGGTCACGTCCTTCTCGACACTACTCAGTCCGGCACCCTGACCTCGATTTTGTTTCAGTATGCCGATTTGGTATAACTTTTCCAGCATGACGGTTTCCATTTCCACTCGGTACGGGTCCGTCGGGTCCAAGTTCGACAGCATGTGAGCCAGCTGGCGCAGCCGCCCGCAGATGGCGTTGTATTTGCTGTAGTCGAGCGGGTGGGTGAGGTGGTAGCGACGGCGGACGGCGGCTTCGCGGTGTGAGTCGCCGTCGGATTTGTAGCTGATTAGGTCGACTTTGCGCAGGAGGCGGGACTCGTGGTGCTTGAGTTTGCGGACCATGGTTGTTGTTGCTCGAAAAACGCACGGTGCTAGATCCAATAATTTCGGATGCTATTGGATTGTGATTGATCCTGAATCGTCTGCAGAGTCGTCGAGCGGTGCACAGGTCAGGCTGGGGTGTTGGGGACCAGACTGAAGTTTTGGTGTCGGCCGTAAGCCAATTTTCCGAGTCGAACTTGACGGGCCGTTAAAGTTCTGCGGCGCCAAGGGATCATAATCCGCAAGGCTGTAGTACTACTATGTTAAGCGTAAGGCTGTAAGGCTGAGGTTTCTGGTGTCTGGGTGTGGGGAAGCCTGATTTGTAATCAACCGTTGATATTGGCAAGGCTCTACACTACACTGTACAATCTTCGTACATTGAACAACTGAAGTTGCTTACCCATCCACCTTGTTTATATGGTCCCCATGGTGTCACCAGATGGACTTACTTACCGTTGATTGGCTCGCCCGAGCGTCCGAATACTGTTGGTCTTGGAAAATCACGGAGTTAACGTGCTCAGAACCTGGACGAAACCGGACGAAAATGGGCTCTTGGGAATATCCCGACGAAAGTACAACGCTGTAGGCCGAGACTGGAGGCAGGTCAACTTGTTTCAGGAATATTCCCTCCAATTACTGTGCAAGAGAAGAACACATTGGCTATCGTACTAATCCAACAGTAACGATCTTAACATCGGACAATGACTTCGGGTTGCCAACGGTGTGCTCCGCAGACCAAATTCGAGGACAGCTAGGTACGATTGCCCAATGGTCTGATCCATGATTGTTGTACAATAATAATGTTAAGACTACAAGTACAAAGTATAAATACAGGCATACAGCCACAAGCGTACAGGTAAGGGTACAAGCTTGCAAGCACAACCTACTCGTACAGACCTACAAATCCAACCCGAAGAGTCCATTCTACAGGGCAATTGCACGTTCATTTTATCAGCCGTCACCAAGCATACACGAACTCTACAACACTCGACAGCCTCATTCGCAACCATGAAAGCCGTTGTTATGACCGGAGAGCCTGGCAAGGCAACCCTGGTTACTGACCGGCCATTCCCCCGGCCTCGACCCGGATATGTCCTGGCCGACGTCAAGGCGATCGCACTCAACCCTACCGACTGGAAACACACGGATTTCTTCAACAGCAAGGACACTTTGTTGGGCTGCGACTTTGCCGGAGTGGTCGCGCAGACCGGCACGGGATATTCCAAACAGTGGAAAGTGGGCGACCGGATTTGCGGCTTTGTTTCTGGAGGCAATGCACTGGAGCCCGAAGATGGTGCCTTTGCTGAGAGAGTAGCCGTCAAGGCTGACGTAGCGTTGCGCATTCCCGATAACATGTCTTTTGAAGAAGCGTCAAGCCTCCCGGTGGCCATCGTCACTGTTGGTCAAGGCCTGTTTCAGCAAATGGGCCTGAACCGGCCCAGTCAACCAACCACCGAGAAAGAGTTTATACTCATCTATGGTGGGAGCACTTTGATCGGAACCATGGCAATACAACTGGCCAAACTAGCCGGTTATACACCCATTGCGACGTGTTCACCGCACAACTTTGAGCTGGTCAAGTCGATGGGAGCTGTCGCCGCGTTCGATTATAAGGATCCCAACTGCGTTGCTCAGATCAAGGAGTTCACCAACAATAACCTCAAATATGTCTGGGACGCCATCTCATTGCCGCCCACGGCCCAGCTCTGTGCCCAGGTCATTGCTCCAAATGGAAGGTATGGCACGATCTTGCCAGTCGACTTCCCGCGGAAAGACGTGAAACAAACCCATTCAGTGGCATATACCGCCTTCGGAGAGCCTGTGAAAAAGCCCTTCTTCGAGGCACAGGACACCACGGCCGATTTCGAGTTTATGAAGGGATGGATTGCAGAGGCGGAGGGCTTGTTGCACCAAGGTCAACTGAAACACCATCCGCTGAAGATTGGCAGAGGACTGGAAAACGTGCTGGAAGGGATGGATCAGCTTAGACAGGACAAAGTCAGTGGGCAGAAGCTGGTTTATGTGCTGTAACGACGGAGGCGCGTATGGAGGTCCAACTTGACGTTCGACTCTTGTCCCTAAGCGAGAGACCTTTCCACAAGCGAGCCTCGGGCGAAGATTACACGCAGGAGGTTGGGGAAGCTGTCGAAAAACCTATGGATTTGTAGTCATGTGCGATGTTTCAGCGTTAGTATAGGCAACAGCTGTATATCTATTCATCATTCTCAGTTATAAGGTAGCCGACCTAGGTAGGACTAAAAGTGTTCAAGTTGTGGCTGAGATACGGTACTCACCTTGACCACCTTTTTTTGATTGGTTTTGGAGTATGACGCAGCGATTGTGTCAACCACCTCACTTTCAACAAGTTAAACATCGTCAGAATTCAGCCGCCGCCAACTCGAGGCTCAGCCACGACTCGGACGTTCTTTGGTGGCACTGCTTCTTCGTCTGGTCGCTGTGTGGCAGACCCAAAGTTAGACTGAACTCTACTATTCATAACCTGAGCATTCACATGATCATCCATTCCCTACACGGTCCTATTATTGACAATAGTAGCGCACCCCTGCCTACTAGTATTCACTTGTCACTCCTAGGCCACGTAACGTCTCGCCCGGAGGCATTTCCAACTTTTTGTGTCCATAATAAAGTCCTTCTCACAGCAACCTGGCCATGTCTGCTTGATCATTGACCATTTGCTCTATCCTCCCTGCGGAGTGCCTTCGATATGTCCACCGGGGCAGCAACCCAATACCACCAGGTCACGACTGAGCCTGAGCCCAATGCCACAACGGCGTCTGAACCAAATGTCCCAGCTGTGCCTGAGCCCCATCTCACAACTTCCGCTAAGTCCAATGGCACTGTCGAGGTGCCCGAAGCGCCAAAGGTGCCCGAGATCACGGTCGACAAAGCCCCTTCGACACACGAGTCCATTCCTCCCGCAGGACAACTGCTGACGGGCAAGCAAGAACATTACTTGAAACGAGAACTTATTGCGACACAAGTCCATGCCGAAATTCAAGAATTAAACAATCCTACCGCTCTCCAGCGCTTCGGCGCTCCCTTTCGATCAGAATATGGCGAAGTCTCTCCTATGGACTCGGAATTACCTATCCTCCGCTTCATTTTTGTCAATCACGTCCGAAACTTCCCCTTCCTCGACAAGGCGAAAGAGAAGGAGTTCTGGCAGGACAAAGTCCAGGTGTTCTTGGAATCATTTGCGAGCAAATATATCTCATCCTCGGAAGACCGCCTGGAGGAGACGAAACGACGCAAGCTGGCGAAGAAATGTGAGAAGCTGGTTGAGCTGATGATGGTTTCGGGTATCCCAACGGCCTCGGGCTACGAAGAAAGAATCCGCTTCGCTGAAATGGAAGTGGTGGATCGAGGAGCCAACGAGCAAGGTCTGTTGGTCAACATACCAGAAGGCAACTTCATTCATGGCTGGGATGTCAATGTTGCCGGTGTTAGGTTCACCTCGGTCAAGCGCACCGTTCGGTACCATAAACATGCAGAGTTCCTGATCCGCGTCAAGCGACCTAATCAACCCGAGATCTACGTCGGAAGGAGATATGGCCAGTTTGCAAGACTACACAAGAGACTGCGTACGGAGATGCCTGGTAAGGTTCTTCCACCGCTTCCTCGAAAGAACAAGTCCTCCACCATCTCTTCGGTCATGCCTGCGGGTGACGATGACGCATCGTCTGTGTCGTCGGCGTCCACCATGGCCAGTGTACAGGAAGACGCAAGCTCAATGAGGAATCTAATTCCTGGCCATCGACGAGGCAAATCCAGCGTTTCACTGAGTGCCAGTCCCAGCGGGAATTCGCCCAGAAGTCGGACATCACCTCGTGCCAGTATATCGAGAGACAGAAGTGTCAGTCCGAATTTAGTTCGTCTTCATCGTGAAGATCAGCGGGTCTCACTTAGAGCATTCTTACGGACTCTCCTGCAGAACCCTCAGATCGCCGAGTCAAGAGCCATGACCGAGTTCCTTACTATGCAGCCGGTGACTGTGAACGAGGAAGAACTCGAGGACATTGAACGCCGAAAAGAGATGGATGCACGGCGCTTGGAGGAGCAGAAGAAATTCTACGAGATTGCCCGGCAAAGAGCCGCAGAGCTCGACATTTACATGGAGCAATTTCGCCGGGACATTGTCGAGAGCAACGGTCTCACGAAGTTGTTTGCTGAGATCCGGAACAAGAACAAGCTTGATGATCTCAGCCCTGAATACCGCAAGTTCGCTGAATGGTTACGAATCGAAGTGGCCGCTACAATCTACCATCTATTTCTTGCCGAGGATAATTCGCCCGAGTTGTTCGCACAAGCCAAGCGCATCCACTCCTTGGTGCCGTATAGTATGCTAAAGAATGTTATCCGGATCGCCAACCCCGCTGCAGTCATGTCGGGAGTGCTAGATCTGTTTCTGGCACAGCCTTTCGGGGCACGGTCACTGCTACAACGCATTTTTGCCCTGACCCTTGCGGACGGTATCAGACAGTTTCAAAAGTCGATCGACGATTTGGTGCTGAAGATTGGCGATCCCATCTTGACCAACAAAATTAAGGCCTTTGTGGACAGTTCCGAGGAGACCAAGACTCTGGTGAGGCAGGAAGCTCAAGCTGAGGACGTCGACGTTGTGGTCGCCATATTGCGGTCGGAAAAATTCCAGCCTGAATTGAGTCCGGCACAAATCCAGCGAGTGTTCAATGCATGGGTGGCGTGGAACAGTGCTGTCGAAAGTCCGGACGACGAACTCAAGCAAGGAGCCGAGACGTTCTCATATCTCAAGCAGCTTCTCAAACTGATGACCCGGCAGCGTGATAAAGCAATGATGGCTCAAATGATCGAAGAACCTACCACGCTACAACTGTTTCGGGACCTGTTTACCATCTTCTACGAACCATTGATTCGGGTGTACAAGTCGGCCAACGTCTACAGCAGTATCACGGACTTTGCGCAGTTTGCCGACGACATAATCAAGACAGTAGAGGTGGCACAGCGGCAGGACGTGTCGTCAGATCCGAATCAGACCGTGCAAAGCTTTATCGACCTATGTGCTCGGCACGAGCATAATCTGTACAAGTTCATTCACGAAGTTCATATCCACGACAATGGACTGTTCACGGCGTTGATGGAATGGATTGAGGGCATTCTCGATTTCCTGAGGAAAGGACCAAAGGGCGGCAAGCTGGACATGAACGCCATTTTGCGGGGCGCCCTGGATATGGGCGTCGTCGACAAGGAACTCGTGATTTCGGAAATCAACTCCCTCATCAAGTGGCAAGAGGCCCGGAAAAAATGGCACAACGATAAGACGAGGCAGAAGATGGCCGCTGAGGGTACAGGAACCAGCCCGGCGGAGGGTATGCCTGGCATGTCGTCGTTCAAGAGCAGTGATTTCGGGCTTAATGAGGTATGTTTGTCCATAACAATCACTCTACCCACGAACTCTTGAGTGATTGGCTGACTGACTGTTGGTACTTTTAACATACAGACCGATCTCATGGAGCTCCGCATCTCAGATGAAGAAGACGACGAGGACACGGACGAGGAAGAGGCCGCGGACGATCTGGACCCGATCCAAGCGGAGCGACGACGACGGAAAAAGGCTCAGGACCGACTTCGACGCACCGCAGGCGAGCCGGTCAAGCCTGAAGTGCAGGAGATTTTGAAGTTGAGAGAACCCTTTCTCGCCATGTTAAGAGCCGTTTTGAGCGAGTGAATGATGAGTTGTGAAGTCTGGGCAAATTTGTGCACGAGCCAGACCACGAGTGACGATAAGCAGCAAGAAGAAGAAGAAGCCCTACAAAGCATGAAGCATAAATCAGTCTTGATGATGTGATGATTTGATACAAAGGTGTACGATTGAATCTGTATTGCATGGATGATAGACGGAGCGACGGGGAGACGAGCAGACAGACAGACAGAACGACTTTGTTGTGGCCACGAGTACGACAGTACGACTGACGAAAGTCAACGGCGGGATAGTACTAGTACAGTGCTCTCTCTATTGATGTCACGCGTATCCGGAAAGTAGAGAAAACCCCGGATTGCAAGGGGAATCAAAATCGATCAGGCCTCCAGTTGGTGACTTGTCAATATATTTTTGGCCAATGGAAAACAAGAAACAGCAACAATTATTTTAATCTTCTTGTATGAACCAGGATGAAGCACAACAAGTTTCAACCGCGGGAATTTGTTGGCTACTGCCAGTAGGTAGTACTTTGGGGCGTTCCAGGTTCCTGCTCCCTCTGTTGAGGAGCAATGTTATTGGCTTCCGTAACCGAGATGAGAGGACATGGATGCGGCGGTTGGATGATGGACGGATAAATAGAATAAAATGAGCCTGCAGTGGACGAGGAGGTGGTAGGAATATTTTGGATGGAAGGCCTGATATTGGAACATGCCTAGGAAGCACGGCAGTCGGTGAATTATTACTACTACTATGTACAATGGCCGGATTCGAAAAGAACGTCGGAGGGGCTATTACTAGAAATAGACTAGCGTCGCCTCTTTTACAGCCTTCACAACCTACAATGTCCCCCCCTCGAAAGATCGTCAAAACAGAACTATACTATAAGTCGTCTAGCGTTGTTTTATTTACCACTATACCGCCTATTTCACGTGTTTTACACCTCTAGCCATATAAATAGGCGAGGAGGGGTGCCAATTTTATTACCGTAATTTCATTATACTAGTCCTAATTAGGGTAACTAGACCCGTTCGAGAGCCTTCGGTGGGTATGTTTTTACGATCTTTAGGCGGCACTTGTTGTATTTCACGTATTTTACACTACTTGGCGCGAAAATGACCAATAATCCTTGGGCTACGAGTACTATTTATACCGTATTGTAATGTGGTTAGTGTTGTTAGTCAACCAGAGAGACCAATCGGAAGTCTTCAACACCCCCACCGACGTTAATTTCAAATCCGGCCGTTGTACATTATTGTATACCTTAAAAGTACTGAGTTGTCACCTTCAGCATCTAGCGACAGGACGATCAGGTCACGGGGCAAAGAGGCGGGGACTTCGGAAGGTGCGACAGTACTACTAGTACCTTCCCGCAGTGGTAGTACTACAACTGCTGTGCAGTTGGAGAGGTTGGTGTTGGGTTGGGGTCAGGAGCCTCAACAAAGTAAACAGAAGCGAGGGCAACAGAGTGGCGTCATAGTGCCCGGCTTCTCGTAGGAACCAATACTAGGTACGTAAAGTGGCATACTGGACTGACCAGCTAAGGCACATTAGAAAGTCAGCGCCTTCCAAAGTTGTGAAACACCATCACGATTGGTGAGACACTAGGCCGGACCCAGCAGCTACCGCAGCCTATCGAGACTAGCCAGCTGCTAGACCCTGGATCACTATTTCGCAGCGGTACTGTTCTGTCACGCATTATTAGCCTATGTGATCTTTGTGCGGCGGCTCCACCGACTGATCTCAGGCGCCGGCTGGTCAGTCAGCAACGGATCAACGACAGGGTCACAGCCAGTCCGCCCTTTCCGTCCGTCCCTCGCCCTTCCTCTTATTTTCCCTCTTTTTCTTCTCTCCTCCGTTTCGCCCAATCGCCCTCGGTTTCGTTTCTTCGTTTCTCTGCGCCCAATCACCTCTCATTCGCATCACTCATTCTTGCCATCACCCATCCACTCGAAACCACCAACCGCAAGAGACATATCAGAGTAGAGTCCGACGCTGCTCACGTGGGTCTGTGACAACCGCGAGGCTGCGAGAGGCTGTTGCTGCAACGCCCGCCGAATCACCTCCAAGAGCCCTTCTTCTCGCCCGTCTTTGCAACTTGATTCGACTGCCTCGTCCCCAAGATCCACGCTCGTGGTAAACCGTCACCACCTATCATCGTCCGCATCGACCTGCGACGACCACGACGAACCACTCGCGACGCCGGCGCTTCAATATCATCGAGCCTCGTCGCGTCGCAGAACGACAAAACAACCTCGACGTCAGAAGCTGAGGAAAAATTCGAAGCGAGCTCCGGAAAGTGTAGCTACGGTGCGGCGCGTCGCCCGTCATCTACCTTACCTTGCAACTACTGCGCCAGCTCCGACTGCGGGCGATCGTCACCCAGCACTGAACAGCGCACACTGGCAGCAACGCAAACGCATCGCATCGCATCGCGTAGCAATCAATCCCTGCTTCCGCTCAACTCTGCCCTGATCTCATTATAGTCTCGCGCGGCAAGCATACCGCCGTCCTCAGGCTCGACTCACCGCCGGGAACCCTGTCGCTGGGTGCACAGTCGTCACGGCCACGGATCACACACTACCTACGACATACTCGCTCCCGCCGCCAACCGCTCACCGAATATCCCGACCGCAACTCCATCTTTTCCCGCAGTTCTTCCACCACCGCCGACTGCCCACTCAGCACAATCTCGCCAACCAGTGCACTGTCGCAACCACTTCTGCGTCACGGTCGCATCTATCTCGCTGCTGATTGCACCTGTTCGCGCGGCTCGCCCACCACTTAATAAAAACGCGTCAACTGAAGTCGGTTGTATTGCATCCCTTCCGCCGTCGCGTACCATCCGCATCGCAACCAAATTCACGAGGTTGGCTTGTAGTTCGGCTCCAAAGCTTACAACACCCGAGTGTTGCCTCACGTCTTGGGCATAAACAGCCACAGGCCCGCGAAGCACGAATTACAAGAATAGAACCCAGCTCGGCTTCCATCCCAGCGTGGGACGGACTAAAATGTGAGTTGCATGACATGCCAGCGCATCAGCACATGCGCCTCCAATGGGTGTTACTTCATCATGCCCACTTACCCCCTCCCTCCAATGACCGCTCCTTTGTCTGTCACGGCCAATACTGATTCATGCCATTCTCCTCTGTAGTTCAGCAATCGAATAGCAGATCGCCCTGCCTTCCGCGTCCGAATCATTCCCTTTTGTTTCGCCGCAGCTTCAGAATAGACAATCCAATCCGACCGCGCGCGCAACAACAAGCTTCTCGAAGGCGTCGCAGCAAAGCTCGAAAATATCGAAACGAGCCTCAACCGCGAAAGGTAGGCCGCAAGAGCTGGAAACGAAGAGCTCTCGATCAGGCATCGTCATCTTGCGCAACACAGTTCCGACTCGTCTCGTCCCGCGACCAGGAGAGGTGACAACTCATCAGACCGCCACGCTACGCGCAATTATCCCAGCTTGTTCTTCTGCAAAGGAGCCCAATCTGAGGCGAGTTCATCCGGCTTTGAGCATTTGACAAACCTGGCTGTGTACGATCCCGCCTCATTTGCCGGCGTGTTTTTGTCGATATAGTGGACCGCTGGTCAATCGTTCCAGTCTTTCCAACATCCAAATCGCATAATCTGCCTCGACCGCAATCAGACGCAGTATTGGTCCTTCGACGCTGATCCAGTGACCTGGACAAGCTGCGCTAGTTGCTCACGCAAGGGACCAGCCTTCAAACTATCCTACCTAGACCCTCCTATCAGAGACTCCAGGCGCCTTCTGCCGCAGTCTCCAGGCACAACAGGCCCCATAGAGCGCGTCTCGGCCGTCACATTTCGCCGCTTCAACCTGTTAACGGTCCAACCTAGGTCCAACGACCTCACTCCTCTGTGCACGACGACGCCTCTGAGGTAGACCGTTCAACAACCTACGGGTGCGCCAACGACTCCTTGCCGCGCACTCCAGCATTTAGCTGAGCGTGAACCAATTCGAAGCTTAAATCATAAACCGGCCGTCAAGATGGAGTACCCTCCACAATATCAACAACACGCTCAACATCCGCACCTGCAGGGTGGCTATCAGACATCACCTCAAAGCGCTGGGCCGGGTGCTCTTCAGTCGCCTTCCGGCCCGCAGTCACACATGCAGCAGCACAATCCCAACCAAGCGTCTCCCATCCTGCCCTCTCAGAGTCAAAACCACTACCAACCTCAGTCAGCTGGGGCGGTTCACTCGTCGATGGGTTATCCTCAATATGGTGTCGGCACAGGAATGACACAAGGTTATGGAATATCTCCTACGCAAGCTGCGGCTATGGCCACTGCCGCCGCATCAGGTTCGTTCACCCACCCACTGCCGGCGCAGGAAGCACATGTACTGACCAGCACAACAGGACAAATGCCATCATTGCCGGCCACGGTTGGCATGCCTCAGGGAAATCAGATGGGTCAACAACGACGAATGAGCCAACACATTACCAGCCCTCATGGCCAAGTGTCGCAGCCTGCCATCAACCACAACATCCCGAGACAATCTGTTCCTCCTGCCATGCCGCCTCAACAGGGGGTGCAGGCAGCCCCCGAGGAAATGGTAGCAGGAGGGGCGGAAGAATCTCCCCTATATGTCAACGCCAAGCAATTCCACCGTATCTTGAAGCGACGTGTTGCCCGGCAGAAACTCGAAGAGCAACTGCGATTGACGTCCAAGGGGCGCAAACCATATCTCCATGAATCGCGACATAACCATGCCATGCGCCGACCTCGTGGGCCCGGTGGTCGATTCTTGACAGCCGATGAAGTCGCGGCATTGGAAAAGGGTGAGAACAAAACGGGGGAGAATGGTACCCCCGCCGCGAAGAAGACCGAGAACGCCACCTCGGGAACGAAGAGAAAGGCTACGGACACCGACAACGAGACACCGGTGAAGAAGTCCAAAGTGGGCAGCGAGAGCGCCGAGGATGAAGAGGACGATGATGGTGAGGCGGATCTTGGTTGAGCTGAGTCCGCCAATCATCCATTCCCGCGGGCATTATCTTCTTCATCTTTCCTTGTCAGCATCGACGGGTGTTCTGCCACTTTAGCAGGCGTTTGTGACTTTGAATCGGGCAGTGGGAGGCTTCGTGGTCGGCTTGGCTAGGCAGAATTGTACTTTTGTCTGCCCAAGCTGGCTGTGGGTAATCTTTGAACGACTTTTTCCTTTGTCAGAGAGATACGGGCTCACGCCAGGACATGCCAAGCATCGCTGCAACGACGACATCGACTCTCCTTTCACTCTCAGGCTTGGTACGGTGGGGTTCAATGACGATTTGCATACTTGTTTCGCTCCAGGCGATGTTTTTCCTTTTCCGTACAGATTGTCAAGAGGGTCAATTGAAAGTTGGTACAGATCTATGGACAGATTCCGTCACCGGAAATAATCCACAGGCGGCTTGACGGATGGTACCGGATGCCATGCTTTGTTGCATGCCCCGGGGCCCACGTCGACCACTGCCGCAAGGGCTGGGAACGGGAAACTCCAGATGAAGAACCTCAGGGTGTGGGAAAACGAGAAAACAGGAAAGAGAGAAGACATGTTTGAGGGTATCCGATATCAGAGGAACCGGTCAGCCTGTGCTCGCGCACCATGACGGCATCTTTTCTTTTCGAACATATAAAAAGACAAAAATCCAGCTCATCAACTGGCTCCCAAACAAAACTCGACACTAGGAACGGTGTTCTCGACCCGGACACAGACATTGTTCCATTGACGATCGTTGTTTCCACGGCCTCTGATACGAATTTCCTTGCTGATTGAATGTGTTGTTTTTGATTTTGATTGTGGCTAGGTACTAGTATGGTTATGTTTTGTAATGTTGTCTGAACAAATTGTGGCTTGTGCAGTGTGCAGTGTGCTCGATTGAAGTTGAATTCGGGGTTCAATGCAATGCACCTTTATTCTTTGCAAATACTGGCGAAATCGTGTCGATGATGGGACGGAAGGGAGCGAAGGAGGGAGAGGGAGGCGCTGGCTGAGGTTGGGTAACTACCTACCTACCTTACCTTACTGTACCTAGAGTGGGTAGGTAGATTAGCTCAAACTCGGTGGTGCGGTCAGTATGGTGAGAAAGGTAAATAAATAGGTTCGTAACCGCTAGTTAGTAGCTGAATGAATATGAATCAAGGTAGCGTGTTAATGGAGTTGGATTGCTCGTAAGAAGAGTGACCTTTGCCACAGGCAGTCTTGGGGCCTGTTCGGCACCCGCATGTAAAAGTGGCATCTGGGCGATTTTCGCGTAAAAGCGCGGTCTTGCCGACCGCGTTTTGCTTTAAGTTCGACGGCGTCTAACGCCGGTCTAACGCTAAAATTTAGCGTCTTTTTAAATAAAAGTGGCGTTTTAAAGCGTTATCTTAGATATACTAGAAAAAGTAGTATCTCGAGAAGACAACGCTTTCGGACTTTGCGAAAAAACTAATGTTTTTAGGCGTCTTTTTACGCCTTTTTTGAGCTATTCTACTATAATTCGCCTCCGATTTACCCTCTACGTATATATACCACTATGCCGCCTAAATAGTCGACCTAACCGTCGGTTCAAAAGATATAGTAAAAGCGTACTATTACGCTAAAATATAATTAGAATAACGAGATAACTAAGCTATTACTAACCGTATACCTTCTCGCCTTACGTAAAGGTACTAAGTAAACTACTAATAGCTAGTTTAAAAAGCGCGTATATTAAGATATCGTAACTGCGTTCGAGGAGAAAGGCTTTCTAGTATCGACTAAATATTAAGTAAAAATAAAGCGTAAAAATATATATAAATATAGCTCTTTTTTTAGTATCCTTTAACGCTTATTTAGCACTTTTTTCTAACGGCGTAGTTAAGAAGCGACTTTCGTGCGTAAAAGGCTATAAAGAGCTAATCGGGCGTTAAACCCGATAAATACGGCCGTCTCCAGGCCGACGAGTCTAAGTAGCGCTAACTTATCGAGGATAACCCTAAAAACGCTTAGTGGCGTAATACTGCGTTACCCTTTAAAGAGTTATTAGAAGAGTTGTTTACTAGTACGTACGCTAAAGAAGTATACGTATAGGGCGGCGTATTCGATATATTACTAGATACGCCTAAAGATACGTCTCCTAGCTAAAATTTGGTAGAGAGCGTATTATAGGGCGTTATCGGCAATACGTAACTTAATGAATTCGACTTCGATTCTAACGAGCTAACGCCTTAGGTAAATAGCCAAAATAACGATAGTTGAATAAGTATAACTAATCTAACGCCTCGAGGTTCCTATAACGCCTACCGCTCCTACGCCTACTATAACGGGTCCTACTAATAAGTCGTAGTCGTTAAAACGCGCCGTAACTAGCGACTTATTACAGTTGTAACTAAAATAGCCAAAAACCGCGCGGGAGATAAATCTAGCGTAGTTAGATGTTATAAGGCGCCTAGTAACGGTGTTAGAATGCGCAGAGGGGAAAGATTCGTCTATAAACGCACTAAATTCGTCCGCTAGATCTACGGTTATATAATAGGCGTAATAGGAATTCTATCTCTCGCCCGAGTTACTCGCTCTCGCCGCGCGCGTATCTACTATCGACGCTAAAGTCGATATCTAGTAAGCGCTTATATTCGAGCCGTACGTACGTAAGTTATGGCTAGAGAGCGAGTTATCGATACTATTAGGTACCGATATCGAGTTATAGAGCGATTCTATCGATATCTATCTCTATTAGTAGATCTCTCTATTGTGGTAACCGATCTCTCTACGCTATTAGGTCTCTTCCTACTAAACGCTCTTTTCTATCCTTCTCGTCCCGATACTTTACGTAACTATCCTATATTTCTTACGTAATCTCGTCTCGTCGCTTATTTATTAGGTTAGATACTAGCGTCGTAGTCTCGGGCGTAGGAAAAGACGTCGGCTCGTTAGAGAATAGCTCTACTACTGTAGAATTAATATAGTCCGTATCTTTACGTAAATCGACGTAGAAGTCGATTAGTAGGTTATATATGGTAGTAAGCGCCAGAATAATATTTACCTATTACTTAATTATAAACTAAAACGTCTTTTATAGGATTTAGTACTTACGCTTAAGTACGCCGAATACTCGCTCGATATAAATACGTAGTTAAGAGTATCTTAGATTAAAAACCTCCTCTTTTATCTCGAGCCGTAACCCCGCGGCGGCCTATTTACGTAGGTAGTATCTCGTCTTTAGATAAGGCGTAAGAGTATATTTATTTAGGCTGCGCAACGGGTTGGGTAGGGCAGGGTTTGGGGCACCTACCGCCCGCCTAGTTGACCCATTAGGGTTTTTAAAAAAAGCGCCGACGGGTTTTGCCAAGAACCCAAAATTCTTAAAAATAGCGAGATTTTCGCTAAAAATAGCGACTTTTCTTACGTAATCGCTTACTAATTTACAATACCGTATAGTATTTTTGAATATTTCCTAGTAAAATCGCGTATTTTTCGTAAAATACGGTAATTTTTTCGAGGGTCGTACCCGCCCGTTAGGGCGGCCCGACCCTAATGGGTACCGCGGGTAGGGCTTAGATTTTAGGCACCCGCCCGGGGCGCCCGTTGGGCTCCGGGGTGCCTACCCGGCCCAACCCTTAGGGTAGCCCTAACGCGGGTAGGGTCGGGTTGACCCGCGCCACTGCGCAGTCTATATTTATTCGAAGCGTATCCGGCGTCGGCGAGGAAGAATCGATAAAGAGGAGGTTCGAATCTATACTTGCGAAAAGCGTCCTAAAGAACTCGAGCGTTATACGCCGAGCCTTCCTAATCTACGTAAATAAAGATAAATCTTAGGTTAAAATTATAGATAGCGAGTACGTTTTAAGATAGAAAGCCTTTCCTATTACGCTAAGGCGACTGGTCCTTAAGAGGGACGTAAGCGTGAATATAAGTACTATTAAACGTACTAACGTAGTTATTAAGGAACGGCGAATACTTACTATTCTTATAAATCTAATAAGGAATAGGAGACGCCTCGGTAGGCTATTTTACTAACTCTTTATATAACTTTACTAGAGCGAGAAGTACGCTATTAAACGACCTCGAAATAGTATCTATCGACCGGCCGAATAGTAGTTAAGTTTATCGATATCCGTAGTCTGCTCGATAGATATTTAGGAAAATCGCTAACCTCTCTTCTACCGTAATAGTATAGGAGTCTATTATACTACCGTTAGATCGAAGTCGACTTACGAGCGCCGTAAATACGTTAAGAGGAAGCCCTATGTCTATAAATAGTTAATTCGGATAGGCTAGCTAGCGAGCGACTATCTACTCGCCTTAAAGAGGATTAGGACCGAGTGGATAGGGAGGTTTCCTATTATTTACTTTAACGGCTAATAGAACGAGATAGATAACGAGTAGGCGTATCTACGCCTTCGTTAGAGCTATTGCTAACGGCTCGAATACGTGCGATAGAACGGCTCGAATGCGTACGATCGATCGACTCTCGAAATTCTCGATTATATAATATAGAATAGGCTCTAAGATGCGCTATTTACCTAAATTTGGCTATAAGACGTACCTTTAAGCGTTTCTATTATGCTGGTACCTACCTATCTATCTACCTATCGATCTGCCTACTTTATAGTGCCCTACTTAATATACGTGACTACGATAAATGCCTTATAAAAAGGTAGATATTAAGTGGATAATAACAATAAGAATAGCGCGCAATTTGACGGCGCTAATGTACGTTAAAGTGGTTGAAAACGCGGTCTGAAGATGCCACTTTTACATGCGGGTGCCGAACAGGCCCTTGATTTGAGCATAGTGTCGTGTCAATTATTGGACGCATTGTCTCTGTCCTGGTGTGAGGATATTATTATGTCGAGTCAAGTTCGGGCCCTTTCATCCACGAATGCTCCTATTTTGCGCGAAGGGAGACCGAGGTCATATCGACCACGACTGACTTAGGTAACAGTCGGTGGTAATTGCTCTCGTTTGAATGGCCGGCGGGCTGATTCCCTGGACATGCCGACACAACCTGGAATCCTCTGATCGTGACCCTCAGCTGCTCAAGACTTGGATTGCATCTTCGGTGCCAATGGACGAAACTAGACCCGGATTCCACTTCCGACGCGTGGAGAAATAACGCGCCGTTGCCAGGCTTGTCATTGGTGCGGAATCTCGTCCCTGGCCACCATGAACTTGAACGACATGCAAACAATTGCCAGTCATGGCATCACGGATTCTGGAGAATTGCATCCCAGTGTCCTCACCTAATGGGCCTCAAGGAAAAGGTCATCGAATCTACATCAGTGCCAGTACTGATACAGGTACTAGACTCTCTTCGGGTCATTCTCTGCGACCTCGGGAGCCTACAATGTGGACGGCCAATGATGGTGGTTGGATTGGAAACCATATCCAAGTTTATCTGGTACCTCGCTCTCCTTTTCCTCGAACAGTGTCTCCTGGATAGATTCCAGGAAGGATTCTCTCTGCAGCTCGGACAAGATCTGTATGGATGGCTTGACAGATCCTGCCAGTGCCTCCCGGCCGGGACAGACCAAACCCAGACGTAAGTGTATTTCCTCTCCACTCATCAGTCGCGTTCAAGTTCAGTTGGCCCCAGAAAGTCGTAGTCAACGGTGACAGTGATATATCACTTCTAGTACCAAGACAAGTGGAATCGCGCATGCTTCTGTTCCTGACGTGTGGATTTTCACCTACAGCTTGTACTAGTAGTAGTAGAACACTGCATTGCATGGACTGAATGAATGACTGACCGACTGCCGGCAGATTCAATGCCTGTCTCTTCCTGCCAATCCGACGCGTGACTCGATTGAATCCCTGACGTCTTGCGCCTCTGCTGCAGTGTGCCAGTTTGTCAAGATGCGGTCATGTTTCAACAAGCAGGACTAACAAAGAGGCACCTAACAACCCAAGGTACAACTTGCACTACTACTAGTAACAAGGTAGGAACTCAAGTCCGGCCACTGCATCTGCAGTAATTATATCCCCCCGGAATCCCAGCTGTCTCTCTCCTCTCTTCTGTCTCTGGTCGACTCTTTTTCTTGAAGCCGCAGTCCTTGCAGTCTCGCGTCTGCCTTCCTCCCTTTCTAGTTCCCCTGTCAAAAGGTTGAATGCTTCCTACAGCCATGGCCCATCCCATTCAAGCCGTGCAAGAGCTCGCCGGCGCCGCAGGTGCAGACCCTCGTCCGCTTCAACGCACCACTGTCTTCCAGGGTCTCAATGATGGCCCTGCAACTCTGGCTGCAAAGATCACCGGGGTGAGCAAGGGTGGAAAGCGGGAAGACGATGCGTCGTACCACACCAACAACGACGGCAGACCATGGCCCACTCCCACCCACAGCAAGACCGTTGGAGGTATTCCCGTGGCCTCGGACATCTTCCTGTTCCAGAAACAGCAAGCTTTCAACAGACACAAACTGTTAGAAAGAATGGTCCATCCTTGTGAGTTTGTTCGACAGTGTTGTCGCGCAGAAACAACCATTACTAACAAATAGAGAAAGGCGGCAGCGGTGCGTTTGGATATTTCGAAACCACCAAGGACGTGTCGCATTTGACCAAGGTGGGCATGCTCAATCTTTCACGAAGCCCGTGACATGCACTAACTCGAGGCAACAAGGCCCATTTTCTTCGAGGCTCTGGTGTTCGCACCCCGATCTTCATCCGATACTCTACCGTCACTCTGGGCCGAGAGTTCCCTGATCTTGCCCGGAATCCGCGTGGCTTTGCCGTCAAGTTCTACACCGGCGAAGGAAACTACGACATTGTGGGCTTGAACTTTGTGAGTTACCATGTCAAAATTGTGGGTTGACCGCTGACCATACGCAGCCCGTCTTTTTCTGCCGTGACCCTATCCAGGGACCAGATGTGATCCGCAGTCAAGGCAGACGACCCGACAACTTTCTGCTCGACTACAATGCCACCTTTGACCTGCTGGCTCATACACCGGAGGCGTAAGTGATATATCCAGTTGTGGAAAAATCGCACAGACTAACAGTTTGTATTTTAGCAATCATGCTGGCATGATGTTCTTCAGTGACCACGGCACTCCCAATGGTTGGCATTCGAACCACGGCTATGGCTGCCACACCTTCAAATGGTATGATTGCCGACCTTTGACGAAAGCGATCCACGTCGACTGACAGGTGTGTGATACAGGGTCAACAAGGAAGGCAAATTCGTGTACATCAAGTACCACTTCATTGCCGACAAGGGCCAGAAGCAATTCACCCGCCAAGAGGCCGTCGAAATGTCGGGCATCAACCCGGATTATTCCAAACAAGAGCTCTGGCAAGCCATTGAGCGTGGCGACCCAATCTCCTACACGGCTCATGTCCAGGTCATGCAGCCAGAGGAGGCCGATCCCGTGAAATTGGGCTTCGACCCCTTTGATGTGACCAAGGTGTGGCCTCGAGATCAATTCCCGGTGAGTGTAACATTTAGCCTCCTGCGAAGACACGCCTGTTAACATGCAGTGCCACGACTCCAGATGCAAGAGTTCGGCAAGCTTCATGTCACAAAAAACCCGGAGAACTATCACCGTGACGTGGACCAAGCATGCTTTTCTCCCGGCGCCATGGTGCCGGGAATCGAAGACAGCCCGGACCCACTGCTGCAGTTCCGCATGTTCTTTTACCGCGATGCTCAGTTCCACCGTGTTGGGACAAACTATCATCAGATTCCAGGTATGTCCTGTCTGCATAGCACTTAGTTTCGCTTCATGGAATGAAGTTTTTCGTGGCGTGGCCACTGGCTGACTTTTGTCATGTTTGATTCTTTCCAGTCAACTGTCCCTTCATGGCAGCATCCATGTCCAGCCTAAACTTCGACGGCGTCATGCGCACCGACGCCAACAACGGCGGCAACCCGGACTACGCGCCCAACTCGTTCGAGCCACTGACAAGATTCCGCCCCGACACCGCCGAGGCGCCCTACAAGGTTTCCGATGCCGTGGTCTCTCGCAAGTCTCACTTCTACCACGAGGGCAAACTGTCCGACTACGACCAGCCTCGCGTCCTGTACGAGAATGTCATGACCGAGACCCAACGCGACCATCTCCACAGCAACACGGCCGTCATGCTCGCGCAGGTCTCGGAGCCCAAGATTCAAGTCTTGTACCTGGGTCAGCAATACTGCATCAAGCCGAGCTACGCAAGGGCCATTTATGACCTGTTGCCTGAGAAGAAGTTTGATTTCAGCGAGGTCGAAAGTGCCGCCAAGGGCGCCGAAACTCGAACAAAGGATCCTCATTTCATGCATAACAATGACCAGGAGAGATTGGTGGGGTTGCCTGTGGCGGGTATCTACAACTTTTGAGCAAAACTTGGTCTGGTCACCATACCACATGGTGCTGGAAAACCAGGGTCAAGAAGACTACTACTACTACTACTACTACTACTACTACTACTACTACTACTACTACTACTACTACTACTACTACTACTACTACTACTACTACTACTAC